TTGGGTATGGATCTTAAAAAGATTTTTATGTTAATTGAAATAAAATCTTGAGATAAAGTTTGTTTATTCTATTGATTTTTATTATGTTTATTCATGTTTATATTTTTTATACAACTAAAAACATGTTTTAAATTGAAGATTTTTAAGATTAACATAGAAATGTTTGTAAATAAAAGAAAATAAAATTTTTGACAACTCGAATATGGTCAGCTTTTTCACTCAATTGAATTAGAATGATCCAACTTTACATTTCTTGCAAAAGTTTCTTCTTCATTAAATTCCAGACAGTTGCTTTCATCACTTTCCTCGAAATCTTTAAAGTAAAAAATAATTTTCTTGAGTTCAACACTGTTAATAAAATTAATATGAATAGGAAGTTCGCTTACTCTCTTCATTGCATTCATTGTATCCCTTCATGAAACATTCGTTACCAAAATATTTGTATTCATTTCCATTGTATCCGCAAACTGCAGTTAACTGGGAGAAAAATGTAGGTACAAGGATAGTAACAATCGCCCACTTCAGCATCCTCTCCTTCTATGAAAATATTCAAATTGTAGATGGAAATTATTCCAACAATTGCAAATAAAACTTTTAAGGTTTCCATAACTCTTGATTTTTTTTAGAAATTGCGTTAACACTGCTAAGCTGATGAACTGTTATTAAGTTTAACATTTTATTTGCGAACCGTTATATAAATATAGTGACAATTAATTTCTTATCTTTGCTTATGTATTATTCATGAACAGAAAATTGAGGAAATAAAAGCAAACAAATTAAAGTGACACTCAATAAATAACTAAAAATAAAATTTAATCGCATCTAGCGCCATTGCCATGTGTATTTAATTATTTCAGCCAATTATTCAACCATGTTTAGAATTATGGAAACAAAATCATTGCAATAAAATTTGTTCTTGGGAAGTGTTAATAACTTTTATAAAAGATATCAAAAACATGTGATCATTTGAATACTTAGAATGTTTGCAAGCATAATAAATCTCATTTAAATCCCTTTAATTGATAAAGTTCCAGTTTACATTTGTGGCAAAAATTTATGGCAATAAAATATGTTGTCGACCATATTTGAATAGGGTTGCTCAAAACCAGCGAAAAAAAATTACCAGCAAACCAGCAGGTATAATTTTGGAAAACCAGCAAACCAGCGCTGGTTTGCTGGTTTTAATNGTGAAATTTAAATCGATTTTTCACTTTTCAATCAATTTCAGATTTAAAAAATCATTGAAAAAAGCATTTTTTTAAAAACGCTGGTTTTTTTGCTGGTTTGGATTACCAGCATGCGGTTTTTTGGAGGAAAAACCAGCAAAAACCAGCATGCTGGTACCAGCAATGAGCAACCCTAATATTTGAAGCTTTTCAGATAAATATCGAAAATTTATGACATTAAAACATATTTACAATGTAAATAAACACAAATCCAATGACTGATAAAGTGTCAATAATGCGAGTTAACATTGACAATTTATTAAATTATTTCCAATAGTCGTAGATGTTTAATTTTGTTATCAATTAATTTAGTGATCGATTAAAAATTTCTATTTCTTGTGAACTGATTGATCGATAGACGGTTATTTTTTCTTTTTTTAATTCTTATAAGAAGTAAATTATTGGAAAAGATTTCATTACTTTAGTTTGATTCCAAGTGGAAAGAAGTTGGCGAAAATAATAAGTGATGAAAAGTTTAATTTTCGTGACAGTTTTGGTAGCATTAAGTTTGAAATTTGAAACATTTGTGAAAGCTGACAATGACAGTGGATTGTTAACAAGCACAGTTGTAAGAAAAAGATTTTTTAATAATGAGTTGATTAAATATTTTTCAATAGATAAATCAGTCAGAGATGCTTCTGAAAATATTCAAGATGAGTTAAAAGGAAAACTAGAAAATTCAGATAATTCTTCGATATTTCAATTTACTTTCATTTTCAAATGACTTTTTACAGATTTTTTCTAAATTTGATGATAATGGCTCATCTAATGAAAGCGATGGAACAACTGGAACAGATACAACAACTGAAGAATCAACAACAGAAGTTGCCGAAACAAAGACACAATGTAAGAATGCACTGGGTCTGCAAATAAAAAAATATCTCATGAAAGTTTTAAAATATCAATAGCTCCTACTGAAAGTACTAGAACAGATGCAACGACTGAAAGAACAACAAGAGAAGTCACCAAAACAACCGAACCATGTAAGAATGTTCTGGTTTACTAAAAAAGAATTCTCATGAAAGTTTTAAATCATCAACAGCTCCTACTGAAAGTACTGGAACACCATTTACAGATGATGAACTTGGAAGCGATGAAGTAACTGGAACAGTTGCAACCACTGAAAGAACAACAGATGTTGCCACAACTTTTCAAATACATTTTGCATTGCTTCTTATTACTTTAATTTTTAATATTTTCTGTTAAACTTTAAACTGATTCTGTTTAAATGAATGAATTTCATTTTTTTAATATTTTTGTAATTCTTTTTGGTTGATTTCTGTTGCTTCAGGAATATTTTTGTAGAGCAATTAATGCTCAGAGATCCTGATTCAAATTAAATAATGCTTTAAATTACTTAAAGAAATTAAATCAAAAGGCTCATATTAATATCTGATTAGTCCGGTTAATTATTTCATTTAATTTCTTAAAAAATTCATTGAGCGGAGCTCGTAAAATCCCACGTAGAAAAACAAATATTAAATTATTTATATGAAAATTCATAAATTATTATTGTGAGAACAATACCAATTGCACGGAAGCAATTAAGAATAATTCCCATGGTATATATTTTTGAAGAATTGTCTCATAAGTTCATTTCAATTTTAAGTTTCAAAGAGAAAAGTTGTAAAACTTAAGTAAAAGTTTGTAATGGATTGGAAGAAACAAAAGAAAATTTTTCACTTAGAACGTTGCATAATGAGATTTGCTTCGATTTGGTACTTTAAATGAGTTTAAATCACATTTATTTATGATTAAATTAATTCAAATGCTTTTAAACCTTTTTACAGGCCTGGAGATGATCTCATAAATTTCTTTTTGCTATCAATTTATTTTGGAAACATCATTTTTGTTTTGATTCCAGAGATATTTTATCTAATTCGTTCTGATGATAGCATTTTTGATATAACAATTGTAAGATTTCTTTTGAAATTTTATTCATAATTCTGAAATTAATTTTTTTTTTTATTTAGGGAATATGTGAATTTATTCAAACAATCGTCTACAACATGAAATTGATTTCGCTATTTAGGTACCGGAAGGAAGTGAAGAAATTAATATCACAATTATCTCAAATATTCAAAGGTGAATTAAATTTGTTTAAAAATTGTAATTAACTGAAATAATCTTTAACTTTTATTTCATAAAGAATTCAAAAACGGTCCAAAAGAAATTCAAGAGTATCATGAGAAAGTATTGAAGTTTTCATTCTATTTTATTATTATCAGCTCATCAATAACAACAATAACGCTTTCTTTTTACTTTTACATTCCACCAATTTATCATTTTATAAGTCTTTTGAGTGGTAAATCTAATCTTAATTATCCACTAGCTTTGAAAGCTGATTTCGTCTTTTTTGATCCACGAGACAATGATTACGTCTTTGCATTGTACACAATCTTATCAAGGATTTACATGACATTTTTTTGCGCACAATTTTGTGTTGTTGACATATTTCTCGACACTTTATCTTTTTACATTATAAGTTTCTTTCATTGCATAAATTTGAAATTAAAATTACTATCAAAGGAGATTGATGAAAATCATTTGAAGGAAATTGAGGTGATTAAAAAGCTCAAAGAAATCATTGAAAATCATACAACTGCTATTCAAATGGTGAAACTTCTCGATAAAATGCTTCGAATTAATCTGATTACGCAATTTCTTTTGTATTCGTTAAGTTTTTGTTTTGTCATGTTCAATTTTGCAATGGTAAGATGACAACATTTGCTTTTGATTTGAAATAATCATTTCAATTATCGTCAATTTGCCAGATAACTGATAGCTTTGATAAGTTGGTTTACGTTTTATGCTTTGTTGTTGTTTCGGAAATGACGCAATTCATTTTTTGCTATCTGCTCACGAAACTTCAAGAACAGGTGATGGAATATTTTACTAATCTTTTACTTGAACCAATTTTCATCTTATATTTTATTTCAATTGTTTAGAGTCAATTGATTGGTCTTTCTGCTTACGACATAAAGTTTTATAATTATTCAACCAAAGTCCAAAAGATGGTCATGCTTATTATCATGCGATCTCAAGATAAGAAAATTGAAGTTACAGCTGGAAAATTTTACACGGCAAATTTGGAAAGCTTTGGAAATGCTTTGAAGACATCGATTGGATATTTTACATTCATGAAGTCAATTTATGCTGTTGAAACATAAAATATTTATGTAAGGAAAACTTAAAAATGTTCATGTTTGTTTTTAACTGTTATTAAATTGTTTCAATTGATGTCAAAATAGATTAAATTGTTTACATGTCAATCAAACTTGTCACACACAGAATGACATTTAAGAAGGAAAACATTTTGAAATTTACTCCAACTTCAATATTTCGAATATAATTGCAAGTTCATTCCATCAATTTGAGAGTCATCGTAAAAACTTCGAGTTGTTATATTTTGCACTTAAGTGGTTGAAGCTCTCGAAAGATTATTTATTCGATCAATTAAATTTACTACCAGTTTAAAGCTGTTTCGTTAAAATGATAAAGAACTTAGCCACATGCCACGAAATGACTGAAAAAGATAAAAAATTGTCGGAAAATTAATTGATAAAGATTTTGTGTTGCGCAGGTACGTTAAATAATTATTAATAATCTCCAACAATTCTTATCTTGCCTCATGTCAATCTCGTGCTGTTCAAGAAACTTCCAACAAAAGGTTGAAACAGAAATCTTATAAGACTTAAAGTACTTTCAAATAAATATCTCTTAATTTTATTTACTGATAAAAAGAAAATTTTCTTCGAATATTTGATAAAATTCAAAACCACAGTTTTAGACAAGATATCTTTGAATTAAAGAGCCCAAACGCGGACGTAATCGATTTGTAAATGTGAGTCATCAGTGTCCATGTTCCATGTTGGCAACCAACCATTACGACCATCCCAGAAGTCTCCTTGAGCACGAGGTGAATCGTTAGTCCATGGCTTGGGTGTTCCTTCATTGACAAAGTTATCAGGGAAGAAGTTAACACCGCCAACAGCTAAATTGATAATGAGATAAAATTCTTGATCGAATGGTGCCATAAGGCTGTTGCTGCGACGCCATGGATTCTCTCTGCCTGTCTCTTCGAAACCTCCACGAGCCCAGAAACCAGCACCAGCTTCAACAACACCAACAGTGTCATTATCAATTTGGAATGTAATTGATTCATTAGTCCAAATCAATCTGTAGACATGGAAGTCTTCATTGTAGCCAGGTTGTTGGTTTCTATTGAAATGTGCTGTTGGCCATCCATTAACATCGAATCTAATTTAACAAAAAATTAATAAAACAACAAAATAAAACTTTAGATTAAAGTTTACCTTGGTCCAAAATGCAATGTGCTTCCACTTCGTTCAACTCCAACATTGACATCACCTTCGAACAAACGGCGATTTCCACGGCTTTCCATCAAATCAATTTCTCCAGATGATGGCCAAGTTCCATAGACATTGTTCTTGGGCATCAACCAAATTGCAGGCCACAACCAATCACCAGCTGGTAATTTTGCACGCACTTCAACTGTTCCGTATCTGAATGCGAATGAATTTACAGTTCGGACTCTTGCACTTTTGATTGGATTGAGAATGTTGAAAGCGTTTCCACCACGTTCACATCCAAAGAATGACGGATTTGTGCACTGATCAGCAGGAGATCCACCATGAAGATTCAACACACCGCTTGATAAGAAACCTTCACCGAATTCATCAGCAACTAATGTAGGTACAAGATGTAAGGTGCCGTCTTCAGTGTATGAGTTGGATCTGTTGTTAGCGTACCATTGGAACTCCCAGTTGCCACCACCAGCCAAAGTATTCTCATGTTGCCAGGTTTCCATGTCAAACTCTTGGAAAGTGTCTTCAAAGATTAAACTTCCTGATTGGAAAATAGGTGGAGCACGGAAGCCACTGGCAGTTGTAATACTTGGATTAAGTAGTGGTGGAAGTTGACAAGTTGCCAAAGCAACTGTCGAAAGTGCGATCAAAACTCCCAAATAATTCATCGTTGTTTACCAGCAAAGACTCACTTTGAAACTGAATTAAATTTTTATGTCCAAACGAAGCTTTATTTATACTAAATCGATCTCGGGTGAAAAACGGAAATGTTGATAAAAGGAATTAATCAATCATAAAAGTTCAAGGTTGTGTAACAAGATTAGATATAATTTTTTTATGCACAATAAAACCCCACCGTTTGAGTTTCAGCACCACGAGTCCTGATAAGATCCACTCTTCGTTCAAATGTTCTGATATTCATCGCAAAAGCTCAAAGGTTTTCATTTCTGCTCTTTTATTATCGTAATCATGGGTGGCGGTTGAAGATAATTTTTTTTATGAACTTAACATTTTCTAGGAGGTTCTCAAATAATTGTAAAGTTCAACAAGCAACGATTTATTAGAAATTGAATGGACACATAATTAGCAATAAGTCAGAGCTAGTTAAAAACTTGAAAATGTGATTAAGAAAAACTTTTCATTAAAGCTTGGATTGAAGGAATTCTGATCAAAGTTATTAACCTCGAATTATGTCTTACAAAATTCTGACAATAAACATACATAAGAAGATAATTAAATGAAGCATCTGTTAGATTATCATTGGCTGTAGAGATAAGCGCAAGTGTTTTTCTTATTATATTTTTTATTACTTTATAATTAGGAATTAAAGTTTAAATGATTTTAAAAGTGGGAGTTGGAATATTATTGTGTTTGGGTTACATTTCAGCATGGCCAAAAGGATCTCGTAGACTTAAAAATCAACCTTGCATAGCTATGTGGCCACGTCATCGTAACTTTCTGCCACAGAACACAACCAGTCCTTTCACTATCAAAGTTTCAACACCTAAAATTCGTCAGGGAGAAGTTTTAACAGTGTTCATTGAAGATCCATCGGGAAAGAACATGTTGAAAGGATTTACGTTAGAAGCGAAAGATTTAAAGCCTTCAAACTTCACAGTTGGATCTTTCCTTAAAGCTCCTGACGTGAAAGTCGTTGAGTGCAAATGGAACTCGTCGGCTGTGACTCAAAATAGTTCGAAGCCAAGGAAGAGAGTTGAACTGAAATGGAAAGCGCCATCAGATCTGCTAGGAAATATTCAATTTTAGTAAGTTCATCGTCAAGAAATTTTAATTCATGAAAAAAAATTGTTTTAAATTAATCTTCAGCGCAACAGTAATGACAAACTTCCATACTTTCTGGATTGACGTTAAATCAAACTTGGTGTCAATTATCGAGAAGAAAAAAGTTGTTACGGAGCTTTAATTAAGTAAAATAATCAGATTTTGCTTTACATTGCAAAAATTGAGGAGAATCATTTCGGAGCAATAAAATCATCTTGAATGTAGTTAAATTTCTCTTAAACTTCTTGCTATGTTTTCAGAAATGAACACTTGTTTAAATGTTTACATATTTCTGAGTTTCATAAACATATTTAAATATAATTGACTGTGAAAAATGTCTCACTAATGAGCTTATTAACAAAACCAATAAGTTTCTTCTTGCGAAAATTAGGGATGCAGTAATTGACCTTTTGATAAAATAAAATTAAAGAATCATTAACAATAGAAAATAGAAATCATGCCTTATGATAAATCATGGCAGACTGCTGGTAAATTATTATAAAATAAAAAATTAACTTGTCAAACTGTTTAATGCTTATGAAACTTTCAAAGCTCGCAAGCTCGTAGCGATGCCTTCATTATGAGCTTTAAACTTAAAAGCTCACATGAATACAATTTGCACTCAATGAATTTTTCAAATAATTTTAAAAGCTTTTCTTTCTTGTATCATCTAAATAAAATTTGTTTGTTGATAAACATTTTCAAAGTTTTATTTGTCGATTAATTATCCACAATAATTATTGATCAAGCAGATATTGCAAAATATTTTTTGATAATTGAATGTGACAGCTTACAAAGCCCATACACGAACGTAATCAACTTGCAAATGACTGTCGTCAGTGTTTCTGTTCCATGTTGGCTCCCAACCAGCACGGCCGTTCCAGAAGTCTCTTGGAGCAGTTGGTGAATTATTGTTCCTAAATAAAAGAAAGTTATAGAAGTGTTAGAGAAGAAAAGGAAATTTCAAACCCACCATGGTTTGGGGCTGTTGCGATTGTCAAAACCATCGGAAAAGAAGTTGGTTCCACCAATAGCTAAATTCATGATGATGTAAAATTCTTGATCAAATGGAGCCATTACCGTTCCACTTGTCCATGGATTGGCCCATCCTGATCCTTGCCAACCTCCACGTGCCCAGAAACCTTGCCCTGCTTCAACAGTTCCAACGACTTGATTATCATACAAGAATTGTATAGAAGATTGAGTCCAAATAAGTTTGTAGACATGGAAGTTTGCATCAAAACCTGGTGAGCGATTTTGTGTATAATGCGCAGTTGGCCAACCGTTCAATGTCCAACTATAACAACGATTCGGATAAAAACATGAATTACTAAATTTAGGTCACGCTTACTTACTCTGGTCCAAAGTGCATTGTCGAACCTGCTTGTTCAACTCCAACATTTGTGTTGCCGTTAAATAGTTGACGGTTTCCGCGACCTTCCATCAAATCAATTTCTCCAGATCTTGGCCAAGTTCCATAAAGACTGAATCTTGGCATCAACCATAAAGCTGGCCAAAGCCAATCTCCAGCTGGCATTTTAGCTCGGATTTCAAGAGTTCCAAACCTGAATCTAAAGGAGTCCCATGTTGTGATACGTGCGCTTCTAATTGGGTTAATTATGTTGGTTGCTGTTCCTTGTCTGTCGCAGCCGTACCATTGTGACTCTGTGCACTCATCTGCTGGAATTAACACACGGCCAGAAGTTAAGAAAGCTTCTCCGAAAACATCTGAAGTGTATGTCGGTCTAAAGTGAAGAACGCCACCAAAAGTGTACGAATTGAAACGATCGTTGACGTACCATTGGAATTCCCAGTTACCACCACCAGCTAAAGTATTTTCATGTCGCCATTTTTGTTGATCCAAAGTGTTGAAATTGTCTTCAAAAATCAAATCACCCGAACAGAAATTTGATGGAGCGTTAGTTCCAGAAGCGGTGGTCACTGTTGGTGTACACGCACTTGCTAAGCCAACTGCCGCAAATAGCGAAACAGCAAGAATTAATTTCCTCATTGTAATTCTTAGTCAAACTCTCCACTTTTAATGTGAATATTTGCTTGGGGTGATTTGACTTTTATAGAAAGAACAAAGCAAAATTTGTTTATCAGAACCCTTTGATAAGATAAAGTTATAAATGTACCAAAGCCATTTTATTCAGCCACTTAGCAGGAATCGTGGATGTAATCTTATCAACAACTAAACTCATCTTATCAAGGAATTATTCAGTTGAAGTCCAATAATAAATCAATTTCAGGGTGAAGTTTTTAATGATAACAAATCGAAAAAATATTTTTATTAAATATCAGAAAGAAAATTTTAGAATCTTTTTTAACAACTTTCGGGAGATTATTACAAAGCCCATACACGAACATAATCAACTTGCATGTGGCTGTCTTCACTGGTTCTGTTCCACGTTGGCTCCCATTCAGAACGGGCATTCCAAAAGTCTCTTGGAGCAGTTGGTGAGTCATTTCTCCTAAGGAAGAAAATAATTAAATCAAAATTTAAGATGAATAAAAGAAGCCTCAGACTCACCATGGTTTGGGGCTGTTGCGATTTTCAAAACCATCGGCAAAGAAATTTACTCCACCGACAGCTAAATTCATGATGATGTAAAATTGTTGATCAAATGGAGCCATGATTGTTCCATCTGCCCAAGGATTCTCCCATATTGATGATTGCCAACCTCCACGTACCCAGAAACCTTGCCCTGCTTCGACAGTGCCGGCAATCATATTGTCATACAAGAATCGTATAGAAGTTGGAGTCCATTCGACTCTGTAAACATGAAAGTCTTGATCGAAACCAGGATCACGAGATAGAGACTGAGTAGCTGTGGGCCAACCATTAGCAATCCAACTATTAAAAGGTAAAGAATTTATTATTCCACTTGAGAAGCAATTGCATCAATTTACTCAGGTCCAAAGTGCAATGTCGAACCAACGTGATTAACTCCAACGTTCAAAGATCCATCATAGAGTTCTCTGTTACCTCGCATTTCCACTAAATCAATTTCACCAGATCTTGGCCAACCTCCATAAGTTTCGAACCTTGGCATCATCCACAAAGCTGGCCAAAGCCAGTCTCCAGCTGGCATTTTAGCTCGGATTTCAAGAGTTCCAAACCTGAATCTAAAGGAGTCCCATGTGCTGACGCGTGCACTTCTAATTGGGTTAAGTATATTTTCAGGTGTTCCTTGTCTATCACATCCATTCCAATCAGGTTGAGTGCACTTTTCTTCATCAATAACTATACGACCAGTCGATAAAAACTTTTCACCGAAAATATCCGAAGTAAATGTCGGTCTAAAGTGAAGAACGCCACCAAAAGTGTAGGAATTTAAACGGTCATTGATGTACCATTGAAACTCCCAATTTCCACCACCTGCCACAGTATTCTCATGCTTCCACTTTGAGTGATCCAAGAAATCAAAATTATCTTCAAAAATCAATTCACCAGAACAAAAACTTGTCTTTTGTGGCGCTTCCGTTCCAGCAACTGTTGTCAGCGACGCAGTACATTGGGCGTTAATTAAATTTATTACGCCGCACAATAAAACCAAAATGAATAAACTTTTCATTCTCTAGTCTGCTTTTGATTTCGACAATTTACAAAATGTACTGTGAGATCCATTGGAAACATCATGAATTTAAGGAAAAATCTACTTAACGCTTATCGATCGATAGATAACTTCGTTTAAGTGCTGATTGATTGATTAACATGCTTAAGTATTGATTTTTTATTTTTTTATCGCTTCAATTAAGCTATTAATGCCTACTACTTGTTAAATAACTTTTTGATTACATAAAATATTGATTAAATTTATTGTTATTAAATTGAACATTTTTCGAAGTTTTTGTTATCGTATTCATCACATTTCTACTTATTTAGTTCATTAAAACAGAAACAGATCAAAATGTGTGATGTTTTCCTTGAAAGATATTTGCACAAATGTTGTAGATGTTCAATACAATCGACACACTTAAGAGTTGAAAATTAAAAAGATCTTGAAGCGCAGCGAATATAAATTTTACTTATCACAATTTATTAATTTACTTTCTTTAATTTAAAACAATTCCAAAGAAGGTGACAATTGATAAGATAAGATTCATTTCCGAAACAAATATTTTTCTGAACAACGTAAAAATGACTCTTAAAGAATAAAAAAGCATAAGCGTAGTTAACAACCTTATCAGTTGTCACGTGCGTTGCAATGAAAAAGTTACGTGAATAAAAGTTTTTGAATTATTTAATTTATGGTTCAAATGTTATAATGAAGATATCAGAGAAGCCTTAAACATTTTAACTTCACTACAAATAAATAAATAAAATTAAATCTCATTTTCCGTAAAAGAATTTTGGCATTATCGACTATCTTTATATGATGAAAAGAAAATCTTTGATAAAAATGTTGATTTAATTTTATTTCTGATCATAATGAAAGATAAAAAAAATAAAATGAACGTTGAATTGAACAATTGACGTTATCACCTCAAATAGTTGTGTTTGATATCTTCGCAAAAATAGATCGTTTGCTGAATTTCTTTAATAAGAATGACATCAAAATTTCTTCTTCTTTTAACTTTGAATGTTTATTACAATTTCATGGAAATTCAAGCATCATTCACGGGATGTGATCTTATCAAGGTTATAAGCTTGACAGGTCAATCGATTGTTGTTAATTATCCTGGAACAGCCAAGGCTGGATCTAACTGTCGTTACATAGTCAAATCACCTGTGAACACAGCGGTCGAAGCGTCTTGTACTTTCAACACTGCGGGGGTGAGAAGTAAATTATAAAGTGATCATTAAATGTTTCTTAAATGCTTCTCTAGTCTCAACCATATTGCACTCTACAACGATTCCTGATTTCCAGAAGCGGAGACTTAGAGACAAGAGATGCGAGTTATGTATGTGGAAAAGGATCAACAATTCAAAAATCAATTGGAAATGAAATTGTCGTTGCTTTTACATCAAATGTTCTTGGTTCAGGAAGTTTTCAATGTAAATTCAAATCAATTACACCTTCCGATTCAAATTGTGATTGCGGTTGGAATGTTCAGTCAAGAATTGTTGGTGGCAGTTATGCGAGTGCCAACGAATTTGTCAGTCATGCTGGTCTGGTTTATAGTAAGACTGGAGAAGTATTCTGTGGAGCTATCATTGGTAAATTTGTTAATTCATTTCCTAATAGAATTTTCCAACTTATTACTAATCAATCAGTTACTCAAAATTGGGCATTGACTGCTGCACATTGTTTCGCTGCTTATCCGACTGCATCTACAATTGGATTACTTGTCGGTGATCATGATTTAAAGAGCGGATCGGATACAATTTGGGCAGCTTTATATCAACTCCAAAGCTATAAAAAACATGAAAAGTACAACATAGAAACGAATGCGAACGACATCGCTTTGGCGAGGACAAAAACTTATATAAAATTTAAGTAAATATGCTTCAAACAATGACAAACAAATCTGAAATTCTAATTTACAGTCGAGGCGTTGGACCTGCTTGTATGCCCTACACTTTCATGCATAACGACATTTACTTTGATGGAAAATCTCTGTCAGCTGTTGGTTGGGGTGTCACTGAATATGCTGGTCCATCTTCAAATATTCTCAAGAAGGCACAAATTCAAGTCGTCAACTTACAAACATGTTTGCAACAAAACAAATTCATTGACAATACAAAAATTTGCACCAAAGAAAGTCAAAGTGGATCTTCATGCAGTCGTGACAGTGGCGGAGGTTTGTATTGGTCGTATGGAAAAAAATACGCTGTTGGAATCATCAGTTATGGAACTTACTGCGCATCATCAGTTCCTTCAGTAAACACCAGAATTACAAGCTACATCAATTGGATTGAGAGTAATGTTCGCGAGTTTATCTGCCGAAAAACTTAATTTCATGATGAAAATATGTCCTAGAAAGAAACGTCATAAAATAAAATAAACAATATTTGAACAAATGGTTGGTGTTTCTGAGAACAAAAAATTTATATTTTGTGTCAATTTAATAACAAGTTTTATAGTGAGTTGATCAGTTGATCTGAAATGTTGAATAAAACTTTTCAGTTTTTGTTAATTTTTACTGCAATTTTTGTCATAATAAAAGCAGATCCTTATGCAAATTGTGATTGGACAGTCGAGTTCATCGCAACAGGTCAAACATATTATGAAAGCAACTCTCAAAACGATGGATCTTGTCGCTTCAAACTAATTTCACCAGTCAACACCTTCATTGAAGGAAGTTGCACCGTTTATCTTGATCCATACTATTCATGCAGCACACGAAGATTTTTATCTTCTAGAAGTGGCTACAATGACATGCGAGATGGATATCAATTCTGTTATTCAGGCAAATACAATTTGAAAAGTATTGGCAATGAATTGGTCATTTCTATCGAGAAGGGATTCGCGAGTGCTGGAAGTTTCAATTGTGAATTTACAGCTGTTGCCCCGACCAATGATAACTGTGATTGTGGATGGAATGTTCATTCAAAAATTGTTAATGGAGAAGCAACCCAAGTTAATGAGTTTGTATCTCATGTTGGATTAGTTGATGCTGCTACCTCAGATATTTTCTGTGGTGGAATAATTAGTAAGTTGGCTAAATTAGAATCTAATTTATGATAAAACGAGATTATTTGACATCTAGTCAATCAGCAATGGATTGCAACTGCCTCTCATTGCTTCGATGCCTTTCCCGATTATACTAAAACAGTCGCACTTGTCGGTGACCATGACATTACAATGGGATCGGATACTACAAATACTGCATTATATAAATTGAAAGGATTTGTTAAACATCCTGAATATGATCAAGACAAAAAATCTAATGATATCGCTTTAGCTGAAATTGATGGCTACATCAAATATAAGTAAGTTTGTATTACTTTGAAATTCAAAGCAGAATAATCATAGAAAATTTTATAGCCCTGGTGTTGGACCTGCTTGTTTGCCTTACCTTTACAAAAATTTCATTTTTGATGGTGTAGTCCTTACAGCTGTGGGATGGGGAACAACTTCATTTGGAGGACCGTCTTCTGATATCTTACAAAAAGTGGATTTGCCTGTTATGAATAATGAAAAATGTGCTACTGCATTAAAGGATGTTGATGTCATTATTGACGATACAAAAATATGCACCGATGGACAAGGGTGAGTTGTGGAACCTTCAAACTATCGATTTTCATCCGATTCTATCATTTTAGAGAACGAGATACATGCGGAAAAGACAGTGGGGGTGGAATGTATTTTTTCAGCAATCGTTATTACGCCATTTCTTTGGTTAGTTTTGGAGTTTATTGTGCATCATCTTATCCATCAGTCAACACAAGATTGGACAAATATCTCGGGTTCATTGAAACTTATTCAAAAGGATTCATTTGTCAGAAATATTAATGATGAATTGTTTGTTGGGCATAAAGCATGTGAAATATTTTAAAATCAAATGTAGATTCAGTGTAGAATGATTTTGAGAATTTATATAAAGATACGCAACATTAACATATTTTGACACAGTTTTTTAATATTGTAAATTTACATTGAAAAGCACGAATCATTAATAAAACGGAAAATCTAACATTGAAGAATGTTTACGGCATTCTCAATTAAATTTAACAACATCAAAACTAATTAAATACAATAACAAAATTTTCTCTGTTCAGCATCTTCAATACATTTGCTTTGACTTCCATACTTGTTAAGCCTTTCTACAGGTCCAACTATTTCGTGTTTACTACAGGTGAGACCATCCATACAGCGAACGGTTGCTTGCATTATTCCTTTTGAAGGATCCACATCAAATGATATAAGAAAATCAGTTACTTTTCCAGAAGACTTCACCAAATCCACTTTGTGTGTTGAACGAATAAAGTCCAATGTTAAATTGGCACATTTGGGGTAATCAGAAAGATCTTTGTTCAACTTTTCTAAAACTATGTTAGCAAATTTCTCAGTTATGGTCGAATTCAAATTAACTTCTTCGAAGTTTTTACAAGCACACCATTCTTCACGAATCCCAGCGTCTTCACAAACTCGATCAATTGGAATCTCTTCGAATATACTTTGACAATTAGGGCAGGTGACATTCCATTCCTTGTAATTCTTTTCGGTCCCTCCAACAATTTGTAAAATATGTTTAACAGTCAAGTGAACGTCATAAGGAGAAAAAAGACGATTTTCATTCTTTTTCAGATTTTCAACTATTTCTGGATGAGAATCTTGAAACTTTTTTGGTATCCAAAGGAAGAAAAATGGTAAACGTTCCTCCACCCATCCGATAAAATGACGCCGAAAACGACCAAAACGTGCGCCATGATCACTGAAGAAAATAACGATCGTGTTGTCCAAAATTTTAAGACTGTCAAGCATTTTTAGATAATCCAACATTTTTCCATCCATTGATGACGGTAAATTAAAGTCATTATGTGAAAATGAAATTGACCAAATCAATCCGAATGAAGGTTTATCTCTAAACATTCTCATAAAATCGAACGCATATTGATAGAGATAATCGAGATAGTACTGATAGCCTACGAAAGCTTTGAAACCCGATTTTCTATTTATGTCATCACATTCGCCCGCCTTCAACTTTTTGTCTAATAGTGCTGCAAAAGTTTGAAAATAGTAGTCGACAGAATTTTCCTTAAAACCACTTTTAAAATATCTGAATGTACTCGCACCAAAGGAATCCTCGCCATAAATGGTGGCATAGCCAGCATCTTTGAAATCCTCCCAAAGATAACGAATCACTTGAAATGCTTTCCCTTCTTTACGAATTTTTCCGATATCTCCCGAACTTTTTCCTGTCATGACCGGAGCTAAGTTGGGAAAAGTGTTTTCGCCGACCTTGTTTAAAAAAGTGTATTCAAACCAACCAGATTTTCTCAGGTAATCGAGTGATCTTGGCATTACTCGTATGAAATGATTCCTTGACATGCTGTCGATTCCTAACAAGAGTACACTAACCTTATCTGGTGTGGCATTTTCCATTCGTTTCTTTACGTTTTCTTTCATTCTCACAACTGAATGGCCGTTTATATAAAGTAATTTACTTTCCGAATTTTCAATGGCTGAACATTTTACAAGCAAAAACTCTTCGTCTGGCTTGAGTAAATGATTTGTGTTGAATTGTGTGCAATTTGAATAGATATTGGCTGCATCAGGCTCAGTAGCATTCTTTGGTCGAGAACCTGTCTGATAGCAACACTTAACAATGAAAATGAAATCAAAAAATTATTTCTTTATTTTTAAAATTTAAGTTAAACTTAAAAACTTACTGAGAATTCCGATTGAGTTGAATTATTGAAAAATTGACTTATTCGATCTTCATGAATCACCAGTTTTGCAGTGTCTGTATCGAAATTTTGATCGATCGAAGTCAGAGGTTTTATCGACGAACAAGGTTTGTATTCTATATATTCGAATTCTTGCATCGCCTCTTCCGCAAATGGATCCAAAACAAAACTACTACAACTGGTTTTGTCAGTTCTATCCTCAAATGTAGATCGATTTATATTTTCATTTCCTGCAGAATACTTTGATATAAAATTACTAAGCTTGAAAGGAATTTTATATTCTTGTTGAATAAATGTTTTGATTTGGAATAATCCGAAAATGAAGAAAAAAAATACAGCAACTAAAGCAGATTTTAGGAAACTGCAAGTTGAAAAATGCTGTTTAAGATTACTAAACATTTTATTTCTCTGAACTATTTCTTATTCGTGAGATAAAGATGTTTCTGCTAACAGTGTATCTTACTTATTACTGGCCCAAAATTAATAACATCTACTTTGAATTAGGAAATGAAAACAGATTAAGCATTAATTAATTATTGATTATTTAATCATTCTTAATTAATAAATTGTTAGTAAATATTTTCAAGTTTGTTTCATTCAGGCCTCGGAATTATCACCAAAACACAAGAATTTATACCAAAGCCACTGAAACTAGGTAATTATGACCAGTTCAGAATGATATTAAATAGGAATAAAGAATGGAAATTATTACTCATGATTCTCAAAGAAATAATTTATTTCATTTTATTTTAGGAAATTCAATACTAAAAACATTTCAATTATGTTGAGTTTAAAATTAGATAACGATAGCAGAGTTTTCTCTTCTAACGATAGCAGAGTTTAAGAAATTTATGAAACAATAAAATTACTTCCCAACTCTGCCTTTTTTATAATGATCAGAAAATATTTAGACTTTATTAATTATTTATTATTTGATCAGTGCGATGTCAGGTAATTTTCATCTCATTAGCAGTTATCTTTTCATAATTATATTTTTTGTGCAAAAATGTTTATAAAAGTTCAAACATGCTCCTGTTACTGATCACATGTACTAGATGTTAAAAGATGTATCGTTAAACTTACTGAAGTTAAGTTCGTGGAAGAAAGCAGAGAAAATCGGTTCCTCAGAAATTTTGAGCTTTAGAAATTTCTCAATAAAAAGATTAAGCAGCTTTAGGAAGCTGATCGCAATTCTCGTAAGTAAATTAAAAAAAAGTTTATGTTGAGTTTAAATTAAATGAAAATTTATGATTAAGATATGAAATTTTACAATGTCATTTTATTTGTACAGTTTTCAAACAGCACTTAAATTACAGCACACAAAATACTTCAAACAACACAAAAGTATTTTGACAAAAATTCAAAAATAGAGCAATGAACTAATAAAAATTTATATTTTCAAGTAACATTTCGGAATTATTTTTTCCACGTTTCGGTACTAATTTTGTCGAGCTTAAACTTGCTGCTTTCAATCTTCATCTTCTTGAAAAGAAATGTCACCAGCGATAGCTATTGCTGAAGGTGAAGCAACTGAAAGTCCCTTTATGCCAGAAATTGCATTCGCTTTTGGTTTAGAAGATGCGACACCACCTTCACCAGCTATGGCAATTGCTTTTGGTTTTGCTTGTGCAATCGAAAAATCATCGGATAAGTCATGGTCTTAAAATATAATTAAAGAATAAGTGCATCAGATTGCCAACTCATCTTAAACACGAACTCACCTTCAATTTTCAATTGTTCTCGCTTATCTTTTTTGTTGTGCATTTTGTTGTCTTCTTCATGCTCTAAAATAATTTTTTCACGATTATCTGAAGGAGTCTTCGTATATTTTAATTCACTATTGTTGGTCTCTTTATTTTCTTCTTCACTTTCGTCCTTGACGTGAATTCTAAATGTGATGCTTGAGTCTGTTGTTGTTGATGGCAATTGCGATGGTACGATTGTCTGAGATTCAGCATGGTTATTATCTTCAATACGTGTTATTGGTTGCAATTGTTGAAGGCTGAATATCGGAGAATTTGGATATGTTTCAATGTTTCCATAGAATTTAGGAAAACTTCCGACAACATAAAACTGTTTGTGATCTTGTGTATAAATACGTTGAACAGGCATGACGTGTGGTGAATGATAAACATTCTGAAGTGGTTGCGTCATGTCAAGATGATCAGCTGAAATCACTGAAATTGAATCATTGTCATCTTTTTCTGGAACTTCCTTTGCTTCATCAGCAATTGAAATATTTTCATGGTCAGAATCTTGCATAACATCATTCGTAGACTTTTCACTTGAATCTTCTTGTTCTGATTCTTTCCTATTTTCATAGCCTTCGTAATGATTCCACAATTCTTGCCACGATGGCATGTCTTGGTTTAAGTTATGAAGTACTAAAGATTCTTGACCATCGTGCTGTGGTTGTTGATAATAAACAATTTGATGCTTAGGAAAATGAAAGTTTGTGAACGGAATTATGTGTTTAGGTTGAGAATGTTGCAAATGTGGAGATAACAAAAGATGTTGCTCAACTCGTGATGTTGGAGTTTCCACTAAACTTCTTGTATAATATGGTGAAGGTGCTGCCCTAGTCACAGCAACAAGAATCATTAAAATTATGTTTAAACACAACATGATTAAAATTTGAATCACATAAACCTTAAATTCTTAGTCGAGTTAAATAAAAAAACTACATGAAAAAACGTCACTGTCACTAATAATTCTTCCAACTTTCAACGATGAGAGTCCAAAACAAAATACGATGAGCTTTGTTTTGCACGTTGCTTTATAAGGCATGCAATTGCTGATCGTCTTCTTCATACACAATTCTTATTACAACCTTTTCTTCATTCTCATATCATTTACCGAAACGTAATTCAGAAAGAAGAAGAGAATAAAAGAAGGTAGAAGAACAAAATAAACACATTGAAAAATATGCGAGAAAAGTTATGAAAAATCAGTAAAATAATTATTTTTTATGACCAAAGATTTTTATTGGTAGACAAGGATTTTGTCTGAGAAATCCAACTTACTGCTTAAATGTTCTTCTTCTTTATTTTGTTGACATGAGAAAGAAAGGAAGCAGTTGTAATGAAATTCAATTCTTGTTAAACAATGTTAAATTATTGTCAGGAGAATTTGAAGAAGAAAGTGAACAGATGAGAGTTGTTCTGGAAATAAACGAGCTCCAATAAATAGAAGTCATTGAAATCATTAACTAAATTAATAATTTATTTTCTACAACATACGAAATTCCAAAAAGAAATAATAAATTTAAAGTTCTTTAAGAACTTGTCGGAATTTTTCAAGGAAAATGTTGACATGTTTCTCTTCGAAAATTAAAGCCGGTCGAAAACGAATGGAAAGCTAAGAAAGAAAATTAAATTAATTATAATTTATTATTAAAAAAAGCAACTTACTGTTCCACAACCACCAGCTTGTATCCCTTTTTGCTTTAGACTGCAAATAATATAATTTCGTGTCTTTTCATTGCAAGCATTGATTGCCAAAAATGTTCCACGTCCACGTGTTGAATTTAAAATATTTGGAAATTCTTTTTCTATGTAGTGCAAGCCTCCTTTTAAAAATGCGCCGGTTTTGTTGACATTGTCAAGAAGTTTATCTCGTTTTATAACGTTGAGAATAGCTTCGAGAATCAACAATTTACCAGGATCACCACACCATGTGTTGAAGATTCGATATTCTTGTTGTGGGTAGAATTCTCGACTATGAAAGAATCCCCCGAGCTGCATCTTCTTTGAAAATGTGACAATATCTGGTGATTGAGGAAGATTGAACCATTCATGTGCCCAAAATTTCCCCGTCGGTCCTCCACCAGTCTGCACTTCATCTATGCAGAACGCAATGTCATTTTTCTTACAAATTGTCTGAAGTTCTTGAAAGAATTCGGGCGATGCTTCGTTGTCACCTCCTTCAGATTGAATTGGCTCAACGATTATGCCAGCGACGTCTTTACCACACTTTTTATATTTATGAATCAAACCTTCAACTTCAGCAAGACATCGTTTGTCTTCTTGCTTGTTTTCACAAACATGAGACTCCAGTGGATATTTGTAAGCAGGAAAATGTGCGATTGGCCAATCAAATGCAGGAATGTCAATCTTATGAATGTATTTTGAGTGAGTTGTTGAAAGTGCGCCCATTGTACGACCATGGAAACCTCCGTGGAAAGAAAGAATTGATAAATTGGGGCAGCCAGGTGGTAAGTTGATGACACTGGTTTCTTTCTCTTTAGCTGTGAAATCACAATGTTCACCACGTCGTTTCTTGTTATACCAGATGAACATACTTTTGAAAGCATTTTCGTTTGAGCATGAACCACACATCATTGTCTAAATGAAAGAAGTGAATTGAAGGTTGATATGAATTTTAAATGAAATTTACAGTGACGCAAGTTAATCCTTTTGGTGCCACGGGCATCAGAACATTCTTCAATTTTTCAGGCCATTCTTTTCCTGGAAACACGCCAAGTGCTGGTCGATTGATAAGAGTCTTCATATTTGCTTCACATGCGAAGACTCGCAACAAATCAGGATGATTATAACCAATTGGAACACTTGATATTTGAGTGTAAATATCTTTCGAAGATATAATTTTATTAACTTTAATCTAAGAGGTTTTAATTAATTTATTCTCACCCAACAATTTGTTGCAATCAACATCAACTAAATAATTTCCGATGCTCTTGTTATAATCTGCGAAAAGTTGAACAGAGTTGGCTTGCTTTAAAAAGAAAGAAAAGAATTTAACAATAGTTTTAATATGATAATTTCAAACTTTCAATTACTTGCAGTTGATTTAAACATTTTAAAAGATTTTGGGATCTTGTTCCAGGTATTGTGCCACAAACAGAGGGAGCTTCTGGCTCATTAGGTACAAAAGAACTGTACATACATTTTGAAAAATTACCTATAAATATAAGAAGACATTTTTCTTAAATTAAATCAATTAGGTTTTTCTCTTAACTTACTTCGAACTTTCAATTTACTGATTCCTTTTCGTAACATCTCCAAATAGCAGAGATTTAATTTTATTCAAGAACCTAAAATAAAGAATTTCTTGTGATAAATATTTCAAAACTTTTCTTTAGTTGAAACTCATTGATTCAGATTAGAAATCTGGGTTTTATTTAACTTTTATAAATTTTATGTCTGCTATGATAAAAATGAGTTGAGAACAACCGTTTTATTCAAACAAATAAGGTGAAAACATTTTCCACAAGATGGCTCTGCAATCAGTTTAAAAGGCAAATATTAACAGAAAAAAGCTTTACTTAAAAGCTCCCTTCATAATCTTATTTTTATATAAAAATTACCACTGGGATATAAAGATAAACCAACTTACCTTAAAAAGCGGCATCATTTAAAACATGATAATCTAGTTTTACTTTCTTGTTAGTTTGATTGATTAACATCAACACATAAAACAAAAATTCTTTCACATCGATTCTACTTTTTATTTCAGACTTTCAAAATGTCCATTGTGTGGTTTAATAAATTATTGGCAATAATTATTAATATCAAAAATTTAAATTTCTTACTGAATAAAGAAATAGCGGTTAAAAGGTGAGAAAGCAGAAGGATTTGCATTTAAATTGTATCTGTTGTAGGCATCAGCATATTGGGGAAAGCTTTGTGGGTATCTTAAGTTTGCATTTTGAGTTCTTCGTTGTAAAAAGCGATTATATAGTGGAGGTGGGAAATTGAAATTAAAAGGTGGCAAAAAGGGATTTGGAATATAACTTATAGCTCCTTCATATGAAGGTTGAAAGATTGGATATTTTCCAATATCAATTCCATATGGATTTGGAGGGTTTTCAATTGGATCCACTTCTCGATCATCACTGCCATTCTGTTTTGAGTTTTCTTTTCCAAGTTCTGAATCGGATTGCTGAGAACCCCCACGATTACCTTCGTAAACATCATAAATTTCCGGACGTTCATTGTCAGATGTTGGAATTCTTTCTGCCAAACGAGATTGTGCAAAGTAGTTTGGTCCAACCAAAATTTGTTCATCGCCTTCGTCATCTGTGAGACTCAAAAGTCCATATTTGCCTTTGAGTGGAGAATCACTATTGCTTGCACCCAAATTTTTCAGTTTTGGTGGGAGTGAAAGTCCCAAAGCGCTGATATCACTTGGTTTCACACCAGCGATTGCAGTTGCCATAGGCCGAGCTGTTTGATATCAAAATTATTTAGAAATCATTTAATTAAAAATTTTAAATGTTTACCAACGGCAAGACCACCGGGTCCAACCACAGCAGTCCCTACAGGTTTTGACGATGCTACACCACCTTCTCCAGCGATCGCCAAACCAACTATTTACCATTTAAATTAATAAAACTTTAAATTATTTACAATAGAAATTTTCTCTACCTGGTTTAGCTTCAGCAACTGAAGAATTGTCTTCATCGTCATCGGCACTTGAAACTGCAATAACTTCATTCTCGGAGCTTACTACAACCGGTTTTGCTGTTGTCGAAGATGTTGAAGACGTTGAAGTGGTTTCTGAAGCTGTTGTACTTGTTGGTTCACCTTCTTCAATGACAGTTTCTTCATCACCACATTCTTCTTTTTTTGGTGGAGGATCCACAACCATCGGTTTTTTCCCAAAAGGTGGAAATCTAATGTTTTCAGGCTTCTTTTTCGATCCCTTGATGCGATCGCCTAGTGGATCTTTAAAAAAATTAAAATTTTCTTCTTCATTTCAAATAAAAATAAATTCATGACTGACAAACCTTCAAGTAAAATTTTGTAATCGTTATCATCTTGAACATGTGCAAGTTTTTGTGCAGATACTCCAAGTTTTTCAAGATTTTCAGCATATTTTTGTTTCTGACCCTCAGTTAATTTTCCATTCTCCTTGTATGATTGTTGGAGACTTACAAGTTCAGCTGCAGCATTTTGAATTGACATTAAACTGTCTTCAAATGTCGGTTCTGGTTCTTTTTGAGTTTTTATATTGTTTGCTGTCTCATGTTCTTCCTTTTTCACTTCATTTTTAGTTTCTTCTTCCGTTAGAATTCGGCTGAAAATAGAACCGTCTGGTCGTTGACGGATTTCAAGTACTTGACCTTTTGCCCCTCCAATATACGGAAGTCTTACAGCTTCATCTACATGTTCGAATCTAAAATAAGGTCTGTTAAATTCAGGAGAGAACGTATTTTGTAAATATTTGAAGAAAATATTGGAATTTTAAAAAGAAAAGTTTAAGTGAGCTTTTTAACGAAGATTTAACGAAAAGAAAATTATGAAAATATTTTCATAAAGGGAAAAATTTAAATTTAACTAACAAAATGAATGTTTCATAAAAATTATGATAGACAATTACTTACATAGTGGAATATTTAAAATTTATTGATAAAAGTGCTTCATGTGCCATAAGAAAAAGTGAAAAGATGGAAACCTTCAAATAGAAAACTGAAAAGTTGATAGAAAAAAGTAAACGCATTTGTTTAGAGAGAAGTTAATGTATTTACATAAATTCACTAAAAGATTTTTATCTACTCTTGTTAAAAACTCTTACAACTAATCGCGGTAACGCTTTGTGTTAATTCAATGTCTCTGAAAATTCTGTCATTTAATGTCTCTTCGTATACGTTTATCAGTTGAATTATTAAACTTATTCATCGTCTATGAAGTCAAGAAGGAGATCAGCTTGTGCGTGTGCGATTCCATTTGCTCCAGTGATGGCTACAGATTGAGGTTGAAACAAAACTTTAACGGATGTTCCACGACGTAAGAGTGCTCGAGATAATGGAGATGATATAGAAGTTCCATCGTTTCCGGAAATAGCTTTTGCTTTAGGTTCAAGAATCAAAGTTGCTTCTTCACCATTGCCAGGTTGTGTGAAAATAGAACGAGAGAAATACGCACTGTAGTCTGGAATTGGGAGATCAGCTGACGTCATTCCCATAGCTTCTGCTTTTTCTGTTACAACTTCTTTATCTTCATCATCATCAATTTCTTGTCTAAGGAATTGAAGTTTTTGTGATTTTTGCTGAGTTTTTGATTTCGCAAATTTTGGAAATGTTTTCATTTCAACTGCTGAAAATTTTACATTTCTTTTATCCGGAGCATACGCAATTTTCTCAACTAAAAATTTAGAATTAGGCTGCTGAATAGCTTTGACAAGTTTTATGTCAGTTTTTGGTATTTGTGTGAGTTTCTCAAGTTTGAGTTTGCCATTTGCACGCTTTATCATCATTGGTTCCATTGAAAGTTTCGAAGGTTTTTCCTTATCTTGTTCTTTTGAAGATAAAATTAAAAATTGCGGCACTTCTGGTTGGTAAAGTCGATAAGGGAAACCATCGAAATATCTTATCGGGAGGCTCACTGGATAAGATAACATTCTTTGTTGTCTTTGTTCGTTGACTTCAATTGGAACTCCCCCAAATACATTATTTGATTGTGTTGACAGTTTTGAAAATGTCGCTGCTGATAACTGGTGTGGCCTAAATTCAAGATTTATGTTTAATTTATTTAAAAAGCTTCTTTAAGCTTTCCACTTCATTTCATGCAACACATTTGACCAAAAATAAAATATTTGTTAATTTCCATGCAAATAAACACAGAAACGTTTTAAAAACTTCATTAAAATATATTTATCTCTCATAAAGTATAATTTCATTCATAAAACTTCACGCATTCAATAGAACTTTTACATAATCAAACAAAAACAAAAGAAAGAAGGCAAGGAATGTTCAAGTCTCATTGAAGTAGACGACAGGCCCTCGTGCTACAAGGACACCTTCATGGTTGAGATTTCTTGCTTTATGTGACAAAGCTAAAGCTTCAAGATCTGTTGACTCTGGTACAGCATAGATTCTAGCTCCTGGCCCACCAATTGCCAAGCCTCTAAAAGAAACTTTCACTTTAAATTCTTAGTAATTTTAATCTTTGACAAATATTACCTTGGATGTGTTAATGCAATGCCATTTGGTCCGACAATTGCTGTTCCCCCGCTGCCTGCCTAAAAACAAGATTTGAAGTGAAATTCAATTTAAAGAAAATTTCATTTATTTACTGTTGCAACACCACCGGGACCGGCAATTGCTATTCCACCTTGTCGTACTCGTAGTCTTTGAATTATTAATCCACCTTCTTTGTATGTTTGTAATTGTTGTTTCGGACCAAATGCAAATCCAAATGGTGACTTCTCATCTTCTTGATCTTCTGCTTTTTCATCTTCCTTTTCTTCAATGTCTAGAAGTGTTGGTGTGCTAACCGTGACTTCAGTTTCTTTGAGATTCTCAGCCTTTTGACTTGGTACTATTGTAAATTGTTTTGTGAAATTTTGAAGTTTTTCGATTGGATTAGAAAAGTTGAAAGCTCGATTTCCTTGTTGTAGAGGTTGATGCGGTGGTAGTTGGCGATTTTCGTCGTAATCCTCAGGCTCAAGTGGATGTTTCATCTCATCAATGTTAAGAAATTTATCATTTTTTATTGATGGAAGGCGTGTGATTGGAGTTACTGACGACGACACAACATTTTCTTCAATGCGCTCTTCTTCTTCCTCTTCGTCTTCTTCTTCTTCATCTGCAAGACCAAGTGCTTCAAGCTCATAATTTACAAGCTCTTCAATGATCGACGGGTCACTTTCTTCAACCTTCTGTTTATTTTTCTTGACCTTCTTTTTATCGACAACTTTTTTCTTGTCAACAATTGCTTTTGGTTTTCGATCAACACTTTCTTCTTCTGATTCTTCTGGTAACACGACAATCGTTCCAAGTTTAACTGAATTATCATCAGCTTGTTGTTTGACTGGCATCATATTTAATGTTGTGAACATTAAGGGATAAAAGTATTTGTTGATTCTAAAGTTTTGAGATTTTTCGTTGATTGGAGCTTGAAGGTATGGCGTTGGATAGAAATAATTTTGATTACTGAATGGGTTAATGGCACGTTTGTTACTTGATCTCATTTGGTTTTGTTTCGCTCTATGATGCGTCAAGAATTCAGGTCGGAATTGTTGACGAGGGTAAAAATAACCTTCGCCGTTATTGGCTACTCTTGGAAAGGCGACAGTCAAACGTTTCTTATATCCCAATGCCATATTTATTCTCTCAATTTCCTGAAGGATTCTTCGCGTTTCTTCCAAAGAGCCACGTTTTTCCGGATTATCTTGTGAAATCGAACGTTGAACATGCAAAAGATTTTGTTGCTCGATTCTAAAATTATGTCAAATTCTTGAATATTTCAGCACAATATTTTAAGATATTTACAATGTAAATTTGTACACATACCTGCAACAATTTTCATTTCTTTCATGACACGATAAAAAACTTTCAAATTAATTGGTATCATTACTGATTCCTTTCACAATAATACTTTAAAAATAACATAAAAACAAAACTAATAAAATGTCTACTTATATGCTTGAAGTTCTTTAAATTGAAAGAAAGATTCGATAAAGAAGAAATATTTGCACAATCAAATAGATTTGCGACTTGTTGGAATATGAAAATAATCCCCGCGACACGAGCGAAGATTTTTCAGATCAAAAAATTGTTACAGGTGAAGAAAATAAATGAAAAAATGATTAAATTAATGTGTTCAGATAAAACTTTTAATGAAATGCAAAATATAAAATGTTATTTGCTTGTTAGTGAACAGATAAGTAATAAAGATGTAGAGAAAAGAAAAATTGTGTTACTAAACATGATGTTTAATCAATTTGAAACATTGTTGTTAGCTTTAATAAAATGTTTTAAAGAATGACTTACTGCACAGTTTGTGGACGGCATGATGTGATTGTTATAAAGCATAATATCAAAGAAAGTGTCTGTAAATAATGTTGAATGTTTCATTAATTCATTTATTGACAGAATTGTTATTGTGAGTAAAGATATCATTTTTTATTTATTAATTTTTTGTAAACTCTTCGTTTAATTTTATATAAACAGACATAAAAGCTTCCATTAAGAATCTTGTCTTAATGCAATTTTTTTTATTGTCTAAATCTTCATTCAATTTTCATCGCACTTTTTAGTAACACGACAATTTAAATATGAAAATAAATAATTAATATTTAATCCTCATGTAATTATTTTAAGTACGAAGGAAAATACGAAAAGCTTTGAAAACCTTGAGCGCCTGAGAGACTTCAATGAAAGCGAACGCGGCGAACCTTCTTAATCGCCTTTAACGTTCACTCGACACCTTCGAGTCAGGAAGTTTTAACTGAGTTGATTAAACTTTAGCGGATTTACTTAAATTTTCAATTTACTAATCGAACTTTTATTTTCATGGTTCTAAAAATAAATCTTTCATGATCACTTCAAGCCTCGTCTTATTTTCGTTTCTTTATGAGAAAAAGCAGAAACAGAAACAAAAGCAAAAGGAAACGTACGTGAACTCATCAAAAATTCCGAATTGCAAAGTAATTTGAACTCCGATCACAAACTTCTTGAAGAGATATGCTTCATGTCTTATATTTAACGTACTCTTCAATGTATGTATGTCGAACAGTCAATTTGCATATGACGACGATAACTGTTGCTCAATCTTTCTCTCGCTGACATTGCGATAATATTACAGACACAAAATAACAAATTGGGTCATTTATGAACAATTCAACTAAAAATACCGGATGATAATCTCGAGAATTAGGTCAAGGTATTAGACTTCCAATTTAAGTAAACTCATTAATGTCAACTCTTGATTTTGAGACTAATGGACCTGGGAGTTCACTCATTAGAAGGTATGTGAGAACTAACCACATGTAATTTAAAGATTTTTATGTTAAGCTGCTAATGACATTCATCGACCGAAAATTCAACGGAAAAGAAAGTCTCATGATCATTAATTCTTGCTAAAATCGTCTTTCTTGGTTTACTTAATAATCCCAAAAGAGATGAATTTAAATTTCAATTTGCTTCTAGAATTTTAAATCTTTCAGTCGCCTACAAAGAATGAAAGTTTCCTTGATCGAAAGAATTCATTGTAAATCAACACTTTAATGATATTCACCGCTACAATTGATCACCGCATACTTTCCGCACGTAATAATTTTTTTATACCTGGCAATTAATTTGAGATGCTTTATTCATCTATGAAGACTTCTCTTAGACATATGAACGAATAATAATAAGAAAAATGAACGAGTTCATTAAACTTTTTCTTAAGAAAAATATTCTTTCGATTGCTACAAATTATTTGTTATGTGAATTAATTTTTCTCACTTATATTAAGATTGAGAAGGAGTTGATGATGATTCCTAGAAGTTATTTATTTATTCCTTCCAGCAATGATTCTTTTTTCTCTTTTGAAACTGCCGTGTTTTCATTGTAACCTTCGATTAAACTCAGCAATCTAATTTTATTGCATAATGAAACGTCATAGACTGATTCCTGTTCAACTCCAACGATTAGATCTTTATATTTCTAGTTTAAATATGTAAATCTTAAAAGAAGACTCAAACAATCAGTTCGTTAACCAATGATAATTTCAGCATTGAGAACAGGTTAGTCTTGACTTGCTTGCAATTATGGTCTTAAGTCCCTAGAATCTTTCTTCAATTGTGAATTTCGATTTCCATTGAAGAATTTTTTTTTCATCCAATTATTTTGTCCAAACATGGAATAAAAGTGAATCAAAATGGAATGCCAGCAGAAACTGAAGTTACAATTTCCTATATTTATTAGCGACACTTTAACGATCCGCCGTTATAAAAATATATTTAATTATAAACTGCTTAAATAAAAATGAAATGTTTTCATATCTTTCGTCCAATTGACACGAATTTCTTTCAACAACATTTCTTGTTGTTTTATTTTTTTAAGGGACATTAATAATTTAAATTCCCCTAATAAAAAATTTATAATCGCCAATGTCAATGATCGAGCATCAGAATTTGTGTTCCACAAAACTAATTCGACAGATACAGGTTTTCCTTCTTTCAAGTGTCACTACGCTTGCCAATTTGTAACAGTAAACGGTTGAAATCTTTTATTTATTATTTGCACTTTAAATAATCGAATGATTCACTGGGATTCTTACCACGCAAATCTTCATTTTTTTGATATAGAAATTTATTTATTTATTTATTTGTAAAGTCACAAGAGAAAAAAATCACAGAAATATTTTCCTTCCCGTTATCTTTGAACTTTATTTTTGATGTTTTCAAATCAACGGTTTAAAGAGAACTGGCCGATTGGATGGCTCTTACCTTCAGTTAAATTGGAATTATTTGAGAAGAAAACACACCTCGATGGATAATAGCGACGAGTACGTGGAGAAAGAGAGAAGAAAGTTGAGCGAGTGGAAGCTTCTTGTGCTTGGAATGATTCTTAAGATGTTTTTTCGTGGAGGGGAAAATTGATGAGAACATTGAGTAATATTTTTAAACTTCCAGTAGATATGTAAATCTCTTTCGACTGAAGACAATGTAAACAATGTTAACAATGTATAAATTTTATGTATTTTCCGATATGAATTTAAAATTTATTGCAATAAATGATTGTGTTAATCATAACAGATTTAGATCAATTTCAATTAATATTCAAATAGCATCTGATGAATTATATAATTGCCAATTGAAGTCGATTCAAATATTTGATTATTTTCTACATTGCACTACGAAAGCGTGAAAGTTTAAAATAATTGGTTTTGATCAACATAAATGAAATCACCTAAATTCATTCATCAGGATGCGCACGTTTGTTCAGTTACAACATGATGACATGCAGTCAAATGAATTTGGATTGATATTCATTTATTGAATAGTGCTTCGATTGCACCAAATGTTATTTTGCAACATTCTGATATTAAAACATTCATCGGCATTTGATTGACATGTTGGGTGATGTTGTGTTATGTGTTATTGACACTTCTTCCATTCAAAATTACTTAAGAACTAAATTTATTCATTGTGCATTCACCACAAAAGTTATCCCAAAAATTAATCTGATTTTTGCTGTATGTGATTGAAATTAATGTAATCAAATTTTATATGTTAACTTCAATTTATTTGATTAAGATTCGTAACTTATGTGACCTAAAGTTGACTTCATCTGTTAAGACTCATTAGATGTCTCATTAGATTTATAAAAGGTTGCACATCAACACTGTTACTGACACCAATTCTGAGACGACATCCAGCAAAAATTTTGATAAAATTTCAAAACTGTTGCACTGAAACGTCAAAAGAAAATTTGAAACTAGGAAGAGATGAAAATTCTCAAATCTTAAACCAAACACAAAACTTACTAAACCCGAACATCTCCAACGTCAAGTCCAACGTAATCATCATTTTAGTCGTTCAAGGTAAAATTTTGCGCTCTTGTTTTTGAGATATTCATACAAAGAAAATGTCATCAACATTAATCATTTCATAGGAATAAACAGTTCATGTCTGTTATCTAAAACATGTGTGCTTCCAATTAAGAAAGTAAATATTTCTGGGTACATTTTCTCAAACAGAAGCGACTATCGATTAGTTTTTATTTCAAGTTACTTTAGAATGTCATTTAAATATTAAGTAAAATTCATTACTTCCAGGATTAATGCTGGTTTAAAAATAAAATATTCAAATAATGTAAATCGCAAACAAATTCCAATAATGATGACAAGCTTAAACAATAATTCAATAATAAATAATAACAAATTGACATTCTGCTTCAATTAACTGTCTTTATTTATTCAATCATTTTATTGTTTATTCAAGTGTTTTCTTTACCTGGATCGATTTTATATGAGTTCGCAAAACAGTTTTAATTTTTATTTTAATAAACGAAATGATTTTTTAGTTTTCATAAATGAATTCTAAACTGTCACTTCAATCCATTCGGTGATGACGTTCAACCAATAATAACTGAAACTTTTCACAACAGTTGCGCTGAAATATCAGAAGAAATTAAAAGAAAAATTTTAGAGGAAAATATTCTTTAAATTTAAAAATTTGAAAGGAAAGTTAATTTACTTGAACCGAAAATCTCCAAGGTAATCCGAAGGAGCTTTCCATATCAGTTCAATTTTATCTTTCCTTTTGGCTCCGTTTTGAGTTGCAGCAGATGCGTTTCCATCACATTCGATTATTTTTGCAGTATCAGTAGGTAGAAAAGTTCCAATAACTATGGAAGAAGGTGCTGACGTTTGTGCCTCAATAGCGAAGCCTTGAAATTTTAAATTTCCACTTTCATCTTCAATAACGACGTTCACATTTTCTCCTTGACGAACACTTAACTTTGAGACTTTGACGCTAAAAGGACTATCGGTGATTTGTGGAGCCTTATTCCCATGATTTGGTTTCATTTCTATACAAGGCTGACCATCAAATCTTTTAGTTCCCTTAGACCATGTCCATGCACATTCAAAAAACATAAAAACTACAATCGCAATTAAAATCTTCATTTTTATTTCACAATTTTTCTTATTGCCACACTTCAGATGAACAAAAAATTACAAACTAATGAAACTTTTCATGATACAGATGATTAAATATCAATAACATGTTTTACTTATTTGCAAGTGTGTATGGTGACACAATATGGAAGTAAATGAGAAGTCTTATCATAAATATACATTCAGAGTTTCCTTTTCTGACAGCTACTGTGAAAAGTTCCTTTAAAAGCTTAATTTGTAACAGATAAATAAACAAGGGAAATAAAATAATTATGATTGTGTGTCATAAATATAGCCATGCATTCCTGAATGCTTGGGTGGAAAATATCCAACAATGACAGCAATTTCAGGTCGATAAACAAGTGTTTTGATAAGACGATTTGATGGTGTGATGATCGTATAAGTTGGATGAAGAAATTTATCGAGTCTGAATGAACGATTTCGATTTGGAAATGCGAGAAATCTTGCTAGTTGCCATCTATCTAGAAGGGATATTTGATCAGGGATATTGTGGATTGATTCTGATTCTGGTAAAATGCGAACCCAAGATGGAACATTTTCATCAAAAGAATTTACTAATGAATTGAAGTCAAAGTTTTCTGGATTTTGTTCAAAATTTTCATTCTCTCTGTTATCGATTTCAAATTGTTGTCGAGAGTTTTCATCTTCTGTTTGCAAAGTGAAGTCATCTTCGTTGTTGTTTGAAATATCTGAAGGTTCTGGTCTCGATTGTGCGTCATTTTCTAAAGAAAATTCTTGATTCGTTTCATTATTTCTTTGTTCTGATGAATTATTAAATTCACTTTCTTGTGATGATTGTGACAAAGTGTCAAAAAATTTTGAAATGAAATCATTTGATTCACGATCATCAGTTGTTTCAGAGTATGGAAAGATTTCTTCAGAGTTTCCCTCATTAGACTCTAAACTACCAGAAGATGACAAGAAATGTTTGGGTAATGGAATGATAGTTGGAAGTGGTGGAACGTCTGGTGGTGATGGCCATGGCAGAATTTTAGCTTCGTACGTCGATTCTTCATTGTTTTTCATTTCATTTTTAAATTCATTTTCAGATGTTTTCATTTCTTCAATATTTTTCTGATGCTGACGATTGTTTTGTGCTGGAAATTCTTGTGGTGGAATGAACAATGCTTGAAGTTTCTTAAGATTTTCTTCATTTTTAAGACTTTCTTCCGATTTTGCATTCTTCGTTTCTACTTTTGAAGGCGCATTCTCGATGGTAGTTTTCGGATGATAACCTTTCTCGTCGGCAGTATAATAAACCGTCACGGTCTTTCCTTCTGGAGTCTTGTAAGAGTAACTTCCTTCAACCTCATGATTATTTGTTGATTTCTCTTGCGCTGACATTCCACTGCCTGAGTCATATCCGTAATTATATGCGCCATCTTCTTCTCGCAGATAAAATTGTGTTCGACGATGTGATGGAATTTCCGGAATATTTTTAAAACAAAACATTGACTTCAAACTGATAAGGAAAATTGCAAACTAAAAATAGAAAAAAAAATCTATTAAAAGCTTTTATGGTATAGAATCAATACTTATCAGATTAAAATTTAATTATGATTAAGATTATGATTGTATTTTGAAGAGTTCAAAACAAGAAACTGATCATGATAACAAAATAATGAAGCGTACGCTGACTTTAGATAAAGTTATGGTGAAATTCGTATTATCAATCCGCCAAATATTCGCATAAAAGACGAAAAAATCTCGAATAAAAATCATGACAAATAATAAAATGCTGAAGATTGCAGTTGTTCTGTTATTGTTTGCCGTGGCTATCGCTTTCCGTAAGTGTAGAAAATAGTTTAGTTTCACCAATTCAATTATTGTTTCTTATAATCCACAGCAGCAACAAACGAAACTGTAAAAAATGAACCTTCTGGTCGTGTTGTTGGAGGAAATAATGCTGTCAACGGTCAATTTCCTTTCGTTGCATCAATAAGAAATGCAAATAATGTGCATACTCATCAAGGAGCATTAATTAGTAACCGATGGGTTGTCTCTGTTGCATGGATAATGCAAGGAAGAACCGCATTTAATACTCGTGTTGCATTTGGATCGGTAGTCCGAAATCAAGGATTTATGTTTTTTTTAAGACGCTTAATTGTTCATCCTGAATTCAACAGTACTACGGGAGCGAACGACATTTCTTTGTTGCAGACTATTATCCCTGTATTTCATGGCAGTCTTGTATTTCCTGCGAGCTTAACAAATTTCCGTCTCTCTGGTGGAGAAAGAGTTACAACATTGGGATGGGGAAATACAATGCTCGGGGAGAACACACCACAAGCTAACTCTTTGCAGTGGATTTCACTACAAGTAACCAACGACCAAACGTGTAGGAATTTTTTTGCTAATGATCCAAACTTTCCTTTGGCAAATGGACTTTGTGGTATAAGCGATGCCAACATGCGTGGAATGTGTGCGGGTGATGAGGGTGGGCCAATGGTTATTGGAAATACGGTTCATGGGCTTATGAGAATTTCTCCATGGTGTGGACAAGGCACGAATCCTGATATCTTTGTACCCCTTTTTGACTTCAAGGATTGGATTGCATCAGTAAGAGGGTTTTAAAGCTTTTAAATTGATGTTTTCAAATTTTGATATTACTGAAAAAGCTTTCAATTTAAACATATTCTTCTATCAAATAAACTTTTATCAAAAGCATTCAAAGATTGATTCTTATCAAATTGAACATATCTCGTTTGAAGATAATGAAGCAGATAATTCTATTTCTAAAGTAGAAGCTCAACTTTGACAATAATTGGTTGTGAACAGACTTGGACGATCCAAAATTGGATTCCCGATCTGGATCGGAAAATGGATCGCCTAACACAACTTATGAAGCTGAAAGCCTTATGCTTAAGTAAAATTCTTTAATTTGCAAACAATTTCTTCTTTCCCCACATAAAATTGCGTTTATCAATGAGATCTCTTCCAAGAAAAATTCTATTAAAAGCTTTTATCAAAAATTTATCAATCAAGCTTATTTCTAATCAAAAGATTAAATTGAAACCTTCAAAGTTGAACTTTGAATAACCAAAACAAAGTTAAAGCACCGCGCACTTTAGATATGCGTAAACTTGAGATAAAGCTATGGTGAAATTCACTTTATCAACTCGCAAAATATTCGCATATAAAACGCAGAAACTCCAAAGTAAGTCAAACAAAATATCAAAATGATTTTGAAGAGTGCAGTTCTGCTGTCCTTGTTTGCCGTTGCCATTGCTTTTCGTGAGTTAAAGTTTATTAACTTTGAGAAAATTTATTTAAGTTTGAAAAATTCACAGCAGCGTTAAACGAAACTTTAAAAGATGAACCTTCTGGTCGTGTTATTGGAGGAAATAACGCTTTCAACGGTCAATTTCCGTTCGTTGCATCAATAAGAGATACTAACAATAACCATTTTTGTTCGGGAGTATTGATCAGTAATGAGTGGGTGGTAACACTTCGCACTTGTATGCAAGGACGCACAACACTCAATACTCGTGTTGCATTTGGATCGGTGAATCGATCGGGAGGTTGGACTTACACAATATGGAACATATTTATTCGTCCTAATGTCGATCCTAGAGTGACAAGCAACGACATTGCCTTGATCCAAACTTGGAATTTTGTTACTCTTGATAATCTTGTATGGCCAGCAAATTCACCAAGTTTTCGCCTTTCTGGTGGACAGACAGCTACAGCGATGGGTTGGGGAAACACAGCACCGAATGGATCACCAGCTAATACTTTACAATGGACTACACTTACAGTAACAGACACAAACACTTGCGGAAATTTTTTCTGGAATATCATGAATTTTGACTGGGGGAATTCTTTTTGTACTGTAACTTCACCAGGAGCAAGTGTAGGAAGAATGTGTACGGGTGATGACGGAGCTCCATTGGTTATTGGTAATACTGTTCATGGCATTCTAAGATTTTCATCATGTGGAATTGGAGGAGGTTTCCCTGATCTCTTCCTTTCTCTTTTTGACTTTAGGGACTGGATAAGATCGACAACCGGCATGTGTTGCTTTTAATACAATATTTTCAGACATTATCCTTTCACGATATCTCTGATAAAAGCTTTTAATGTGAGAATATTCTACTATCAAATAAACTTCATTCAAGCATTGAAAAATTTGTTTTTGATTTACGAACTTTGTTATCAAACGTTCTTATTAAATTCGTTTGAAGATAAAGAAGCAGATAATTTTATTTCACAGTAAAAGCTCAACTTACTTTCAGAAAGTTCATTATTTAATTTAAGGCGGATGTTCTATAACTTTTAAATTCAATAATCTTTCTACACTTCTTAACAAAACAGTTCTGAAAGGTTTTGTTGACCAAACGATTCTTTTTATACAACACCACGCCAATCATCAAACATTTGAGCGTGTGAAATGCACGATCATTTATAGATTTCTTCTTAAGCGACTTCTCATTGTTGTAAGTTCTAAAATCATTTCGTAAACGAGAATTTTGAAGCTGAGAATAAGAAAAAAAACCCGGAACGGGTCTGACTTAAAGTTTCAAATTTGAAGTTGTGTGGAGTTACATGTAATTGAATGATTGATTTATCAATGTAAAGAATAAGCCTAAAACTGAAAAGTTTTCTTCCAATTAGTTTGTTCACAGCTTGCAATTGCTTTAGTCATCTCGCTAAGTGGTAGTAAAATTAAACAAACATTGATATTCGATCATCAATCATTCCAGAGAAGAGTGGCAAAGAACTTACAGACGCGTGATCCATTTTAATCCCAATCTCAACATAAAATTGACCTTGACAGTGCCATGTCTTCTCATTTGTAATCTAACGTCTTTGCTCTCATTAAATCGATATTCATGAAACCTTCTTCTTGCCCTAATTACCATGACAAACGCACATCGAAGAATGAATTGAAATGAAAAAGACGAACACGTGTTGAAGTTGAGATGAATAAACTTTAAAAAATATCAAGCAAGGTCAAGTTGAACGACGAATGAATTGTTTTTTCATTAATATTTGTTTCTGTTGTGACTACTTAGCAGATTAACATCTGATCTTCATGGAAGACGCTACCTCACTCACTCGCTCACACCACAAAAGCTGAAAGTAAAAGTTTTAAAACTTTTTGCTTGCTTCAATTTTTTACTGAGATAAACAATGTGAGAAAAGTTAACAATTGACGCGAGTCAAGTCTTCATCTAATTGGAATTTATTAAAATTTTAAATTAATTAATTTACTGTATTTACAGACGAAACTTAAACTACGAATTATGAATGAGAAGAACTGAAGAGTTAAATGAAAAAAAAATTGATGCTAATTATTCGATGGAATTTTCATGCTTCTCGTCACACTCGAGGATGGGAATTTTGGTGACTTCTGTAATGTCGTGACGCTTCTCTCTCTTCATCAAGTCGAAGTGCTTCAGATGGTGATAAAGCACGATTATGTGTTGGTATCAAGTCTATGTTTTGAATATGAGCTCTGACAGCAGCACCCGGTGGAATGCCATAAAACCATCCATTGCTAGTGTTCTGAATGAGAGCGTTAGTAGCTTCTGGATGTGGATGATAATGTTCAAGTACTGGTGGAACATAAGGATGAGGTCGTGGACCTTCTTCTGCTGTTGGAAGATATGTTGGCGTTGGTGGATATAAAACTGCTGGTGTTGGTGAAGCTGATTGGTGTAATGGAGGTGCTGGTGTGATGACAACCTGTAAGGGACCTGAAGGCGGTGACGCATAATGGGGTGCAAACGAAGGTTCTTCTTTAGGTGGTAATAATCCATAAATAATGTCAACCTCACCCGAACCTGATGGCGCTGACGGTGCTAATGGTGAAGGTCCACCACTCGGGAAAGTATGCGGTGACAATTGATTTCTATCAATCCCACCGATAGTGCTTGGCGTTGTCACAAAAACCGGGTCAGGGCTGGGTCGTGCAAACGGTCGTGGCGTTGATGGATGTGGGCCTACCGTTGAAAATAAAGTTGATGGATAAGGAGAAACTGTTGAGAATGGAGTTGATGGGTAAACAGATGGCGTGTGTGTTGGTGCATAAGTTGTGGGTGTGTATGGCGTTGATGTTACTGATGGAAGATATGGTGAAGGGGTTGTGTGTTCATAAGAAGTTGGTGGTGCAACTGTACTTGATACAAAACCAGGTCCAGATGGTGCTGAAGGTCCAGTATGGTAATGAACTTCATCGTCTCTATCAGCAACAGCAATTTCATTTGAAACTGCTTTGATTGAATTTTCAGGTACATCTGAATTAGCTGCAACATGAGTTCCAGGTCCAACAGTAGATTCCACGACTTTGTAACCAATTCCAGCCCCTGCAATGTACTTCACTGTTCGTTGAACTCCTTTATCGTCGAGATATGAATATGAACCACGAGTTACACCATCAGGGCCGGTAGTTTCAGCTCGTCGTTGATCCGGACTTGATGTGAGAAATCTGTGATTGAAAGAAATTTCTTTTAACATCACATGAAAATAAAATGCATATTAAACTTTGTTAATTACTTGTACTGTCGATCAGGTCCACGTTCAAAAGTTATTCGTCCCCTTGCTGTTGGTTCTGCTCGATATAACGGTTTGTTGTATCGAATGCTGTTTGATGCATCGGGGAGTCCATTTTCAACTTCAAACCCAGTGTTAGCACCAGCTTTGTACTTCACTCCATGCTTCTCTCCAACATCATCAACGTAAATGAATTCACCATGAACTTTTCCCGAACTGTCAGATTCTTCCCTTCTTGAATGTTTCTTGGATTTAAATCCAAATGAATAGCTAGGATCGTCATAAGGATCAGCTAAGGGATCAGTTGGTGATCCAACTGGAAGCTTTGGAGCTTGCGATAAATCTTGTTTCCTGTGAATGTTGGCACCACGTGCTCGAAATCTTAACATATGAAGGAAAAGTAATTAAAAAAGTTCTTCTTTGTTGATTCCATTTCCATTGTTCATCTTGCTGATGGTCCAGTAATTACCATTTAATTGCTGACCGAAGCGTATCAAGATGAATCACTGGAATGGAACCATGCGAGGTCACATTGGCAGAAAATTACCCGCGTGGACCAGCTGTGTAGACAACTTCATCAACTCGACCATTTATTGGACTTCTAGCTCCATAACGACCGCGAATTTTAATCGCTGGATGACCACTTGCTTGATGATAATGTCCACCTTGATCTTTATTTTGATAACTGATTGAAAATTGAATAAAATTTGTCATTAACTCATATCAGAATATTATGTTAAATGTTCACTGTTCACAGCTACTTTAAACTGGTTGTGTCTGTGTGAAGTGAACGACAAATGAATCGCGGGATTTTTTTTTCTTGTTGTTTTACTGTTTCAACTTTTTCCTTTTGATTAATTAAAATCGTAAATTAAGTCGCAACAAATCTCTCACAAATATGTGAATTACATGTTGCACAATTCGTCGTCATCTGAATATAATAAGCTGTCATGGTCAAAGCTAATGAATTCTGAACGAATCATAAAGATCATGTTAATTGGTCGTTGAGCTTCGTGAGCTTTTAGTCTTTAACATCGTCTGTTAGGTGCATTGGGAATTTCCCACGGTTTTGACCTTTTTATTTCTTCAGAAATTATTAAGAAGATGGAAGTTTCTTTTCATCTTAATAATTAATAATCATCAAAAAGTTCTTTCATACTAACCCAAATTGAAATGAACCGTCAGGATTGACTTCATTGACTTGAGTGCTTTTGGGATCTTCCGCTGTTATTATCGTCCATTGAAGGACGAGACCACATAAAGTTATAATTTTCATTTTTTCTTTATTTAATATTTTCTTTTTTTCTTTTGTTATTAATTATAATTTTTATTTGACAAAACTTGAAATGACATAACTGAGAAATTTCTTCTTTCACTTGTTCTTTTATCTTCTTTCTTTCTTTCTTTTTTTCTCTGAAGATTCTCAAATATTTTTAAAAAATTTCACAACTTTTAAGACAACAATTCGACTTTTCACACCGCACTACGTTGGCTCAATGACTGAATCAGATCTTATTATGATCCATTGTATTTATAAGTTTCAACTTCATGCGCCCTACGAATCGAGTTGCTTCTCTCAGTCAACCAATTTTCTCAAAAAAATCATTTTTTCTTGTAAAATGTAATTAAAATGTTTTTTAATTGAGCTTTAGAATAAGTTTGAGAGTTTTTGTGTTAAAAGATTTGAGTGAATGAAAGAGAAAAAGTTGATTCAGCTCAACGATTCGGGAGTCAAAGAGAAGCTTCTTCTTTGCGTAATTCGATGTCAGTTATTTAGAAGCAGCACTTATTGTTACACCTTTCAATGGCTTTGCAAGATGTTACGTTTACGTTCATTCTTCATCTCAATTGTGGTCAGGAAAATTGACGTTAACGAAGGTCAGGTTACAACTTTTTCCATCTCGTTGGACATGAAAAAGAACGCATCGCAAAACAAAGATTCACTGATACTCATCTTCAGTTGTTGTCTTACTTTACTTCTTCTTCATCTATCTAATTAAACATTTTTCCATTCATCGAGCATCATAATTTCAATTGTCGGAAAAACAACAAATGATGATGAATGAAGTTTTTTTATCTCAAAGGTCAAATCTGATTAAAGGTTTAAATTGAAATCTTTTCAGGTGTTAAATTCCATGAAGAAGAATGTCTTAAAGGTGGTAAAGTTTAATGGATGTTGAAGGGAAATTTAATAAGAGTCAGTCAGTATTTAAGATAATGATGACGATCAGTGACATAATTTAAAGTTTTGTGATAATTTACGCATAAGAGATCGTGAAATTAGTTAACAATCCCAGGCAAGATTTGAAGTTTCATTTTCATAAGACGTTTAATATGCCACATCTCTGAAGATTTCATTGATTTATTCGAAACCTTTTGCATTGCAACCACAAGGGAATTTTTAAAGTTTTTATTTAGGTACTCATTTCTTCGCAATTTAATTTAAAAATATTAAAAAAAAGATAATTCAAAATAGCTCTCAGTGGATCGTTCAAGTTCTCTTTCCAAATTGTTCCAAAACTATTTTAAAAAGTGGAGCGAAATTCTTATCGGCTGACGACTTCTCATGTTTGATTGTCTTTAATGATAAAAACTTAAAAGTTAATAACGAAAACAAAAATCTTGTTTGATTATGAAAAAGTCTTTTGATTACAGTGATTATCAATCAAAATGTAGAAATTGCTTCAAGGTGTTTGACGTTGACAAGAAAAGTTTAAAATATGAAGAGAAACATAAAATTATGATGGAAAATATTGTGGGATTTGAGGTTAGAACAAATTTTATCTTTATTCTTGATAAATAATTAATTTATTTAAATCTAATTAAGATCCCAGCCCATGGAAGCGAAAAGATTTGCAGCGGATGTCAAGCAGTCATTACAGAGTTTTCTAAAATTAAGAATCGAATGATTGTCTTGCAAAAAGGCTTCAACAATCACATGAACAGACAACAAGATACAGAAATGAAGACAAAGGATCAAGAAATGCTTCAACAAGTTCCAAAAAAAATCTCAAATTCACTAGAAATTGAACGTGTGTCGGATGAATATTTCAAAGAACTTATAGACAAACAAAGAAATTCATTCGCGTGTTTGATTTGCCACAAATATTTTTCATTCAAATTCTCAGCAGTTTCACATTTAAAAACTGTTCACTTGAAAATTAAGGTAAAAAATTTAATTTTTCATTCTCTATTTTTATATTTATTTTCCAGGGATACAAATGTGACATTTGTGAATATAGAGGAGGCTCAAAATGCAATCTTCAACGACATGTTCAACGCAACCACATCCCAGATTTTTCCTTAAAAGTTAAATGTCCAAATTGTGGTTCATTCATCTCCAAGAAATATTTGCTGCAACATCGAATGAGAATGCACAGTGGAGAAGTAGAAGGCGAACTGAAATGTCGAAAACGTTATCGTTGTTGTAACAAAACTTACGTTTCTCTTGGAAGTACTTTGAAGCACTGCAAGAAATTCCACAAAAGTAACAAAGTTTACGAAATCATTCCAAATGAAGTTAAAGTTTGAAGTTTTGAATTTAAATAAAATTATTGACAATTATTCTTGAATTTGTACGAAATGAAACGGTTTGTTGCTGCATCTTTATCGAGTGGTTGATTGCAAATACTAATTGCAAATGACAAAAGAGCTTCTTCTTCTTTCAGGTGAAGGAATTTATTTCCAGTCGATGACACAGCTGACGGTGGTCTTGAAACTAAACTGGAAAAATGAAAGAAAATATTAAAAAAAGTTTTTCTCTCTTCTTCATTTCTTTATTTTCAAAAGATTCTTTTTACAGCAAATTTTGGTGCAAGTCTATCAACAGCAACAAATATTCTTTTCATGTATTAATAATAACTTTTGTGTTTATTATGTAGAAGGTGAGACTTCAACTCGTGTTAAATTTAAAATGTTAAAAGTTTCAAAGACATTTCACTGAGAAGAATTTTCTTTTGTTGATCATTTTTGTTATTTGTAATCGTCAAAAAAATATTTAAAACTTTTATGCTTTTATTTTCCTTGAAACTTAAATAGATTTTCACATCATTTTCCTATTTTTGCGACAAAAGTCGTATCGTGCGAAAATAAATGAAAAATTTCAATTCATTTCCTGGATTAAAATATAATTTTTCTTGTTTATTTTTAATCTTTATTTTCGTTTATCGATTTAAATAAAGAAGTAACATGACAAGCATTTCTTAAGTTTTTCCTGTTTATGGTTTCTGATTAGCACCTAATCTATCTTTGCAAACAAAATCTTTGTCGACATTTGATGCTATCAAGTTTTTGTTTATTTAATTCTAAGAAATTCATCTAAAGATTAAATCAAACGCAAAACAATAAACAAATGAATAAGATGATGCCTGTCATCAATTCAACAAAACCTTGTTTCATAACTGCTTTCACTTGCAGGAATTTTATTCTATAATCTAAGGGAAATTTCGATACTTTATTCTTTATGATGTTATTTCGTCTTGTTTTGCTTTCGAATCAAACAAAAAGTTTTTCATTTCTTCTCTGTTTGCTTTCAAAGACGTCAAGATGAACAAACAAACATACAAAGAGTTTAAGAAGTCGCAGAGAAGAAAGTTATCCTAAGTAATAATAGCCTTAACTTAAAGAATAAAATAAATAATTAAATTAAATAACTCTTTTAAGAATCTTCTTCAATTCGCTTCATCGTTGAAGGAAGATCTGTCGAAAAAGATGAAGAAAAAGAAAATCGTTGATGATTCATCGCTGAGGGTAAATGTGTGACAAATCCAAATTTTGTTTGCTGCCCGCCCACACAAACTCGAACGCCGGATTAAAAAGAGCTGAGATAATTTAGATAGATGTGGCATCGTTCAAAAGAGCATTCAGTTCTTTAGTGTGCTGAGCTTTCGAGCCAGTGGCTGTTGAAGCTGCTGTTACACGACCAACATAGCTACACATCATCATTATTGATGATAAAGAAAATAAAAAATGAATTGTATTAATTACAATTTCTATCCTTCTTATAATCAATAATTTTATGAAATGAACAATAAAACAACTGATGAAGAAATCATAAAATATGTTTTCAACAAACTCATGATGAGAAACAATAAATCAACGAAAGAAACAACGTAAGCAGAACACAATAGTTTAATCATCAAATTATCAACAAACTGGAATGAGAATTAAAAGGTTGAATGAAAGATTCTGATGAAAATGACATTGACGTTGACATTTGTCATGCAAACGATATAAATTATTTGGTTAAATGAGAGATTAACGAGCTTATCTTAATATAAATATTGATTCCTTTTACACCCTCATAAACATATTTATGATGTTATACAATGCAACGTGTTGTCTGTCTGTAACTTATGTCTTTTAATCTTTGACAAATGCGAGATTAATGTTATGTTATTAATCATTTATGTTTAGAAGCATAAAGATTAAAAAGTGTTTAGTTGTGATTTTGTTTTTGTGAGATATTTATCGACGGATCATTCATGTTATGTTAGATTGTCACTTTACATCCATCCAACCTGAGTTAAGCAGAAAATGACGGCGAATTTCTTTTCGTCATTTTTCACCTCACCCAACAAAATTTGTTTATTTTTGTAATTAAATGTAAACAAGAATTAGTGTCGTGTAGATTTTGTAAACAAAATACTTGTGTAAGAAAGAGAGACCACCAAAGATAAAAAACTATAACAAGCCAATCAATTCAATAGACGTCAGCTTTTCATGGAAATATTTGATGATTGAAATTTCATCAAAATAAAATTTGTTTCGATGAAATTCTGAACGTCAAACAAAAAATGAAGAAAAGAAATTTTGCGAAAACAAAAATTTAAAACAAATAAATAAAATTTTCTATTTTTCTCTTTAGCCTGTCTGTCAATCTGTCGCGATTTCTTGTGAATTTATTCTCGTTTATGTTGTTGTGTAAGTGAATGTTGTTTAGACATTCGACTTCGATTCGAGAGACGACATCCCAGAGAAATAGAGATAAAGAAACAGTTCAGGCGACTCGACGGTCAACCCTCACCTAATCGTACGAATCGAAGTTGGACGTGACATTTTAATTAACTTGCTAGCTTCCTTCTCCTCTTCGGTTGGAGCATTGAAGTTGGTTTGACGTTCAGCACTCGACTTACGGGTGCTCAAGCTCTCCTTAGGGCCATGGGGCCTATTAGAATTAGTGACATTAATTTTCTTATCAGTTTTTTTTACTTTTTCGTCATCAGAGTCGGAATCGGTATCAGAATCATATGAAGACGATCCAAAGCCAAACCAGCTGCGCCAAAAGGATTTCTTATCTTCCTTGTGCATCAGCTTATTTCGCTTTAGACCGACAGATGAATCCGCAATGGTCGTTGAATCCGCGATTGAAGTAGCATTGCTGGAACGGTAAAGCGGTTGGTTTTTTGTTGCCGAGTTTTGTTTTTGGGTATCGTCGATATCATAACATTCTTAAGTCTTTTTTTCTTTTACAAAATATTTTATAATTACTAAATAAAAAGCAACTTATGAGTCTTAAAATGAAAATTGAATGCTTTTTTATGTTCAGAAATAGAAGATTGAAGATAATTGTAAACTTAAAGGAAAAACCAACATTTAATAATAAAAAATCACAAAAAAGAGAAAAAAAGATTGTTTGGAGAGGGAAACACAAATTTTTCGTTCTTGGTTCGTGCAAAAAATATTCTGATAAATTTAAAGATCATAAATTAAAATTCCATTCACCAATTTACCCAAAAAGAAATTAAAGTTTTTCCCATCATGCCAATGAAGAAAATTTTAAGAATAAAAATTTTTTCTTTTTTTTTATCAGAATTGCAAAGGAAATGGAAAACTTATAAGAATTAAAATCGAGTCTTATAAGTTTGATTCAACACCAGTAAATTACAAAAAAAAAGGTTTGGAGCAGAAAGAACTACAAATTCACGATGAAATTACTCACTTAATATCCCGTGTGCTGTTCAAGCTTGTTTCGAAACGTGGCAAGATGTAATTCCAAGCACCTTGATTTTTATGTTCTTCTTGAGCCCAAACAATCTCAGCATTTGGATATTTAGCACATTCAGCTTTCACCAAATNTTAAAAGATCAATCAACTTATCAAGAGTTGATTTGTCTTTAGAGAAAAAATCTACAACATATACTTTCGTTACACGAGAATGAAATGTAGACACTTTAATGTGGTCATACAAAATCGATTGTGGACACATTGCTCGATCGTTTGTGGGTAGTGTTTGAACCGGGCAACAACGTTTTAAAAAAAAGTCATATGTATTGAAATAATTCGAAATACTAGATAATTAATAAAAGTTATGTCGATGGTACATTTAATTGATTGTAATTTATGTTTATGATGTAATTCCGACGCTTTAAATCGATAATTAGAATAACTCTAGAGAATGCTCACTTTTTGAAAATCATCTCACCGTTAAATCTTCAAACATTCTTCCATATAAAAATGTTATGACCACATTTGATCGCGAAAATTTGTGAGCAAATGTTTTTATAGTTTAATTAATAAAAACTATTGTGAAATTATGTAACATCAATTCTTTTCTGCACATAATTTCTTATCTTTTTGTATATTTTGAATAGTAAAATAAGTTAAAGTAATGCCATTTTTCGCTTCTTAAAAATTCGAAGCGGGAACAAAAAATGGCTGTTTCGAAAAAGATTTTTTTATGTTGAAATGAAATAATTTATTTTGGCAAATTAAACTTATTTAAAGACCCAGTGAGTAGCCTAAAATGGAATTTATTAACAAAACTTTCAACACGTTTTTTTTTTCGGTGAAAAATATAATTTTAAAGGCCTAAAAATTAGTAAATTGGGTGTCCAAATTTGAAACTGACCACAAACGATCGTTCACCAGATTCGATTCAATACTCTAAGTTTGATTCAACACCAGTAAATTACAAAAAAAAAAGGTTTGGAGCAGAAAGAAATACAAATTCACGATGAAATTACTCACTTAATATCCCGTGTGCTGTTCAAGCTTGTTTCGAAACGTGGCAAGATGTAATTCCAAGCACCTTGATTTTTATGTTCTTCTTGAGCCCAAACAATCTCAGCATTTGGATATTTAGCACATTCAGCTTTCACCAAATCATAAGGGAAAGGTGAAATCTGAGAAGAAAGCAAATAAATAAATTTGGTTTTGTTATCTTTTTAATACTCACTTGTTCAACAGTTGAAATGGCAATTTCAGCTTCAAGACCTTTCTCACGACGAGCTTTGATAAGATCGTAATAAACTCTTCCAGAACAGAAAATAATTCTCTTAACGCTGCTTGGATTTTCAGAAGCTTTTCCGCTATCGGAAATGATGCTAAATGAGTTGAAAAAGAGAAGAAAGAAAATCGTTAAGAACGTGATGGAATATGAAACAATTGAATGTTATTTAGCGCCATCTATTGTTGATCACTTCAAACTACTCAATTTTAATGTTTTCAGTGAATTTTTTTATATCAACTTTCAAGTTACTCACCGTTTAAATTCTGTGCCTTCAGTCATCTCACCAAATTTGCTCTTAGCTTCGGGATGTCTCAATAAACTCTTTGGTGTCATCAAAACCAATGGCTTTCTGAATGGCATGGCAATTTGACGACGAAGGATGTGATAATAGTTAGCTGGTGTTGAACAATTAGCGACAATCCAATTAATGTCGTGAAGTTGTCTGATAGCAAATTCATCACTTTCTGGTGGGAAATAATCGGGGTCATCTGATGACATTTGTAAGAAGCGTTCTAAACGAGCTGAAGAATGTTCTGGTCCCATTCCTTCCATGCCATGGGGAAGTAACATCACCAATCCACTCTGACGAACCCATTTAGCTTGACCTGAGCTGACAAACTGATCAATAATGCACTGAGCTGTGTTGTTAAAGTCACCAAATTGTGCTTCCCAACAAACAAGAGCATTTGGATTTGTCATCGAATATCCCAATTCGAATCCAAGCACGCCATATTCCGACAATGAACTATTGCAAACTGTATAAGGAGCTTGATCGGGATATAAATGACAAAGTGGACGATAAGTTGCTTTATCGACTTCTTGATGGTGCAACACATGATGGCGATGCGAGAATGTTCCACGTTCAACATCTTGACCTGATAATCTCACATGAATTCCTTCTTTCATTAACGATCCAAAGGCGAAAGCTTCAGCCAAAGCCCAGTCAGCAATTCTATTGTCAACCATGTCTTTACGAGCAGCCAACACACGCAACAACCCTTTGTGAATGATAAATTCAGCTGCATTTGGTGGAGGTTGTGAGAATCTATTGCCGATGTGAATTAAAGTCTCTTCAATGACACCAGTTGGTGACACTTTCAATGGATCTTTTCCTTCAAAGAAACCTGACCAAGGTGAATCCAACCAATCTTTGTATTTAATGTGGGTTTCGGTCTTTGCTTGTTCCATTGCATCTTCGCAAATCTTTTCATATTTATCACGAACTGACTTCACTTCTTCAGCAGTGACAACTTTCTCTTCAATCAATTGATTTGAGTAAATGTCCAAGACGGGCTTTGTTTGACGAACACGTTTGTACATCAGCGGTTGTGTGAACATTGGTTCATCAATTTCGTTGTGACCATTACGACGGTAACTGACGATATCAATGATCACATCTTTATGGAAAGTTGCACGCCATTCAGCAGCAACACGACACACATGCATCACTGATTCGGGATCATCTGAGTTGACGTGGAAAATTGGAGCATTCACGACACGAGCAACGTCTGTACAATAAGGTGATGAGCGTGAATGACGTGGATCAGTTGTGAATCCAATTTGATTGTTAACGACAATGTGGATTGTTCCATGTGTTGTGTAGTCGGGTAAATCTGACAAATGCATTGTCTCAAAGACAACACCTTGTCCACAGAAAGCAGCATCACCATGCAACATGATTGACATGACTTTCTTTCCTTCACCATCACCACGGTAGAATTGTTCAGCTCTTGTCTTTCCTTGCACAACTGGATCACAAGCTTCCAAATGAGATGGATTTGCAACAACAGCAAGACGAATATTTTTGTTTGTTACACGATTCAAACGTTCAATGTATGTTCCAAGATGGTATTTAACATCACCAGAGCCCTAAAATGAAAGAAAATCTTAATAAAATTTATTAAGTTTTATCATCTCACTACTCACATCATCAGCGGCTTCCAAACCAGCGAATTGTGTAAAGATTTGATGAAGTGGCTTACGACAAACGTTTGCAAGAACATTCAAACGACCACGATGTGGCATTCCCATGATGATTGATTCAACACCAAGACGAGTTGATGTGTCAATAACTTCTTTCATAGCTGGAATCATAATCTCACAGCCTTCCAAACCAAAACGCTTTTCAGATGAGAATTTCTTTGCTAAGAAAGCTTCGAATCTGTTGGAAGAAAATCAATTTTAAATAATTTTCAATAAAAAAATGGCGGAAATTTTAATTTACGGAAAATCGTTAGAAGTTTTCCTCAAATTTGAAATTTCACTTTTTCTAACTTTAACTCACCCAGTAGCACGTGTCAAACGAGCTAAGATCAAACGCTTCTCATCATTTGAATAGTTAATGGCATTGGGAGATTCAAAACGTTCACGAATCCAATTACATTGTTCCAATGAATTAATGAACATAAATTCAACTCCAATTTTGTTGCAATAAGCATTTTCCAAACGATTAAGAATCTCACGAAGAGGAAGGAATTTTTCTTTTCCACCGATGAATGTTGTGCTGGGAAGTTTGAACATTCGATCCATGTCATGTTCCTCTGTTAAAATGATTATTTGTGAATTTCACAATATTAGTTAATGGAGCAAAAAAGGAAACATCAAAGAAGATTTTTTTTTCTTTTTTACCATCAAAATCAAACTAAATAAAATTATGAATGTATGGACATAAAACTTAACTTGAAATTCGGAGTGAATGAGATTTTTTTTGTCGTTTTCTGGGAGAATATTCTTAATAATTCTTTAATTAAATAGAATATTATCTCAGATGAAAGTCGATACATATGAGACAATTAGCCAACTCAACAAAAACAATCATCATGTGAACTAAAGATGGACGAACAAAACGAACGAAGAACGTTAGATTTAAAAAGAAAAACAACAGAAAACACGGCGGCTTATCATCCAAGATAGGGGAATAAGCATCCGTAAGTTATTTCATTCGATGATCGTTAATTAATTTAGAGACAGCGATTCGTTAAGTTCCTGACTTTAGGCTTTGTTTTACTACAAACTACTTAAAGCATTTTTCTTCTTGCCTGGTGTATGTTTTTTTGATCTTAGCTTAGGTAATTTATTTACAATAATTATTATATGTTGTGGGTGTTTATGTAGGGAGGCAACCAATGAACCAAGGAATGTTGTCACATTGAAACGTGAACTTATTTACAGTTTTTTAGCGTCAGATACTCTGTGAAATTAAATCTTTCAAATCGACACATTCAAATTCTTACTCAATGAGTCAATTCCCATCAATTCAGCGACTGTGTGACTTTTTTTTATTTTCGATTGATCTTAAATCGTCATTATCAAAGTAGGAGAACAGAAGATAATTAAGAAATTGCAATAAATAAAATAGAAAATAGATAAGAAGGGGGAGAAGAGAAAAGAAATTATAAATTAAATTAAACAAGAAGTTTTCTTCTTCTCAAGTTTGAGTGCAATAAACAAATAAATAAATTTAATTTAATTAAAAATATTTTCCCCTTCATTACACTTCAAACAAGAAAAATTTTCTAAAACGTAAAATTTTGCATGCAAACTTAAACATTGAAAGCAAATGTCTGAAGATTTTCTGTTTTTTTTTTGATGCTTCGCAACTTTTTGTTTTTAGACAATAAATATTTAGATCCAATTAACTGGTTGCATGCCATTTGAATTTGAAAAACAATTAGAGAATTCACAGAAATTCGTTTTCAGTCCCTTAAATCTCTGATTTGTTTATCTTTCTTTTTTGTTGATTAAGCTGAGATACTCACCAAACCGATAATGTGTATAAAGAAGTTCTGGTGGCGTCTTGTCATCCAAATCGGCGCTGTTAATTCCCAGTGGATCTAATTTTGCAATATGATGACCTCGTATCTAAGGGACATTTCGGTTGTGATAGTTTTTTTTTTTCTTTTTGTGATATTTTGTTTTATGTCTTGACACTTCATTGGTTATCAATCAATAAATCAACTAAATACTATTTCATCATGACTAAGAAATAACCTAAGATTCTCATCTCACTGCTTAAAATGTTAGTTAGCGAACCGAACCCATCAACCAAAATTATTCTACCAACTTCCAATAAAGGTTTTGAAAAGTGTTAGATTTGTTAATTTTTTTTACTTCATTAACTGATAGAAGTTAAATTATAGAAAGAAAGAAGGAAGGAAACGATAAAACCAAATTAAAAGATGAATTGATGATGATGACAATGATGATTAAGTGGAAAGTGACACAAATAAATTATGTTTGATGATTTGACTAAATATCTACAAACGTTGTTTGTTTGTCTCGAAATAATTTCAAATCGATTTTAATTACAATTGTGATGTGTTTGAAATTGTATGTAAGTGTCAGAATTTTATCTATAAATTATTAATTAATTTTCTAAAGAAATCTTTTCACTCTTTCTAGTTTCATCTGTTTGTCTCCGAATCTCAAATAATTTCTTTTCTTTTTTGTTCTTTTAATTTGAATGATTTGGAAAAGAAGGATTAAATATTTACCGAATTGCATGTAGTTGCGCGTTACTTTTTCATTTGCTCGTCGTGCAACCCCATCGGGACCGACTTGGGTCTCAGAATTTAAGATACCAAGCGGATCGATAGCAGCCATCAAGTGACCGCGCGACTATAATTAAGGATTGATTTTTGTTGTTGTTTTAATGGTTTCTCTTGCACAAATCAATTAATTCATTAATGAAATAAATAAATTTTGTATTGTTAAGTTATCAAATTAAGATTCTATCTAGCTATTAAAAATCATAACAAATTAAAATAATTTTCGATTGCTAAAAATTTTGTTAATTTTTCTGATTAAATTTTGAAAAACGATGTTAAAGCTTTGAAATTCTAATTAAAAAAAGGTTCAAGAAGCTTCAAAATCGATTGTTTCACAACATTCATTCCAAATGATACTTTCGAGACTTTCTAAAGCTAAATTGATGAATTATAATAATAAAAAAAGAAAACTTGAAGATGAACTCATTTTGACAATAGAGATGGTGGGTGGGAGAACCATTGGATGCAGTTAGCAATTAAAATGTGCCAAGGATGGAAGGAAGGAAAGATCAGGAAGCAAGTAAAAAAGTTTCACCGTAAATATTCAATTTTAAATGAGGAAAAAAGGATCATGCAAGATTGGAGATTTTAATTAGAAGAATAATTTAATCGAAGCTTCAGTTGCTGCTTTAAGTGATCCAATATCGTCTTCGACTGCTTCATTTAATAATCGATTTACACAATAATGTTACCTGATAACTTCTGATAATAGCTTGCACAGCCAAATGATCATCAATCAATTTATCATCAACACGACTTCCAGTGAGTGCTGGTCCTGCACCACCAATGGCTGGCAATGATGATCCGCCGACATATTGCGATACAGGAATATGATTTCGTGGTGGTGCCGCAAGTGATGGAGGTGCTGAATAAGAATTGTTACGGAAATAAGCATCCCAAGACTACGAAAGAAAAATTTATCGATTAATTTAATTGCCTTTGACGCAATAAAGTTAGATTAAATTAAAAAGCATTCAATCAACCAATAAAGTCACTTAATATACTCACAGCATGAACTGTTGTTGGATCACGAAGCCATGAATTGTACATCTCTTCGACATAAGCTGAACTTGATCCATTTAAGAAAGGTTCGGCACCTGCCGAGTTATAACTTTTGATGCCTGCTGCAGCCAAAAAATCATTGTTGAACTAAGAAAGAAGAAGACGCGATATTAACATTTACAAGCACTTCATCGTCGTACATAGATAAGAACTTCACAGGAATTGATCGTGACCCAGTAAAACGAAAGAAAGAAGCTTATTTACACTCTACTGCTACAATCGCTATTGTGTAAACAACGACAACCACTAAGGTTTTCTTTTATCTAATCTTGTGTCATCTTTAAGCTTTCGTCAAGTCTTTCTTACACTCACCTGTGATTTTTGATGTCGAATTAACCACGACCCGAAGTTTTGTTGTCCTTTTGGCGCAAAGGCATTGAAAGCTGTTCTTGCACGATGCATGTCTAATTATTTGTTGTCACTAAAATAATCAATAAGTCAATGAGATTTCTATTGGATGCGAGAATTAAACGAGTCTGATAACAAATATTGCGACATTCACTGGAAGCCACGGCAATTTACCAAGGAAATAATTAATCGAGCTTACGTCAATTATCGCACATTCCGAGAGTTCTCTTGAGTTTATGCCAACTGACTGTTAGCCACATGATCGACATAAGAATTATTTTTTCTTTCTCTCAAATTGTTTTCCTTCAAAATTTTTTGTCTATTTTTAAAAATAAATTAGACGCTTCTTCAATAATTAAAAATAATCGTCAAGTTTAGGTTGCAATGTCGTGGTGAACAGAAAAAATATCCTGCATGACGTTTCTTTTCTGCGTGTCACATGTTTACGATCGACAACAATTTACACTTTGATGACAATTTCATTAGCAACATCAAACAAAAGGTAATTAAAATCTTCTTTTTTCTGATAAAGCCAAAAAGAGAATGAAACAGCAACAAAGTAAATTGATAAACGACTTTCATTTGACGACGAAAAAGCATGTGACAACAAACAGTAAATAAATAACACGTCACTTAATATTTTTACTAAGTAACAATACAATTGAATTTAAATAACTTCGAGATTCCCGAAAACCACGCGAATGAATCATAAATCGTAAACGTTTTTGATTGAATTATGGCGAATCAAGAACCAGTTTTTGCGGCTTTTAACTTTTATAAGTGTGCGGAGTTTGTTTTCTCAAACATTCTCTCGTGATTACCCAGACAACAATTTTGATAATTTTTTTATGACTGCATCGGAATATAAAAAGTCACCGAAAAAAGATTACATAATAAACAGCCGCCATTAAATAGAGCGTTAACATTTATTTAATGTAAAATATCATTGACCTCAATCGAAGTGGTAACGTCACAAGTTTCTTGCAATTCGAGCAATTGAAAAATTCCAAAACGAATTCAGCGACTCGAAGTTGAATACTTTCACTTTAAACATTTTTTTCTCGCGATTTTAACAGTCATGGTCCATTTGAAAATTTGTTTTCACTTCTCAACCCTGATCAGCTTTATTTCAACAATTCTCACGCGAAAATATCTTTTTATACTTGAAAATAAATTCTTTTTTTCCTTTGCTTATGTAACAAATGAAAATTTTTCGTTCGATCTTGAGGAAAACCTTGCGACGCAAAACAATTTTCCATTAACTTCCACTGACAATATTTGTTATCAATTAGTTTTCCATAAAAAGCAGCTTAATCACCAACCCGAAAGTACCAACAGAAGTTGATAAGAAAATATAAAAAATATCTTAAAAAGACTTTTTCTCTTCTGTTTTGCGGTGTTTTCACACCGATTGTTGCGACTCAACTGAGTAAATTATTTCGATTTCCGAGCACACAAACTTGAGCAGATAGTTACATTTTCTCAGCGTTCATATTTTGTCTCGGCATCGTGAATACGACGAGTTTCTTATTGTTTTGACGGCTTCCCGATGTATTTATGATGATTGAGAAGTTTCAGAGAAGAAAGTGAACATGAATGTTTCAAAGTCTTCACTCATCTCATTGTTATCATTAAGTGAATCATAAATTACATAAATCACAAGCGTCTTTGCCCTTTTATTTCATTATTTGTGTAAAAAACTTAACAATCACCTCTCAAGGTTTCGTTTCATGTAAAGCGCGAGCGAAAGGTTTTCTCTCGTAACCTTGATTTGTATTATTGAGTTTTCATTCCTCTCAGAAAAATGATTCATAAATGCTGCCAATTGCCACCAAATATTGTTCATTTTCTTTAAAAAAAATTGTTTAAAAGCGCTAAAATATCTGACAAAAAAAAATTATCAAATATGTTTGGATTTACAAAAATTATTGACTTTAATATTCAGCTTTTAAGTTCAACGAACTTATCTTTCTAAATTAACTTAACTGATGATATTTTCGATACTATGGGACAATTCAAATTCTGGATTATCAAATTATTATTAGTTTGAATAAACCTCCAACAATCATATCAAGTGTCACGCAATTTTTGCGATTTCAAAGCTTTAGACTGCTATTAAATATCAGGAAATTACCCTAATGGAAATTAACCAGCTAATATATTTGTTATTATTTAATTAAATTCTTATTACATCCAACATATGCATAAAAGTCGACAAATTATTTAATTTCCTCATTCAAGTTCTATTAAATTCATTTAAGTGTTCATTCTATTTGATCAGCTTACAAACAGTTTCAAATTTTAATTGTATTTATGTGGATGTATGCACTTGATTTACTTCACTTCAAATAACAAGGAGAACCTCATGACTTGAGCTATTTGATGTCATCTGAATCCACTTATGAAAGCTTTCGAGATATGAAAAGTTGGAAAAAAATTGTTTAGTAACATCCTCATGATATCAGAATGAGATGAAGGATAAGAGACGTTTAACTTCCGATATCTCATATACACGCAAGCATCAATTCATTCAAAGAAAGCAAGAAAAATGAAAGCATCAAGGAAAACGTGTAGTCGACGAAAAAAATGAGTAAGAAGAGTGAACGATGACGCAAGGTGGTTCAGAATTCTCTCAGAGCGTAACATCTGTAGAATGAGAAGTACGACAACGATTTAGGTCAAAATCAAGGAGGCTCGTCTTCTTGAATAAGAAACTCATGAAATTTTTAACTTCCGCTCATACTTTTTGTGTGGGCATAAAAATATTTACACATGAATACTGAGAATCTAGAAACGTTATTTAAGAAAGCTTGAAATAAACGCTTGCTAATCAATGTACAATTATCTTAATAAAAGTACCGATACTTTTATTTATTGACAATAAGAAAATGTAATATTTTTAGGGAATCATGCGCAAGTCATGCTTGTTTCTGTATCAATATTTAGAGAATTCAAAATAAAAAAATATCACCAAAGTTAACACAAGGTATTGAAAGATATTAATATCATATTATTTAGCAATATTAAAGCACTTTTTTCCCATAAAATTGACACGCTTGGCTATGAAATGACTCATCTCTTGACATCATTCAATTTGGGAATCACTTTTTAAAAACTTAACATGTGAGGTTAGGTATATGCATGAAAAATCAATACAGTATTGCGACTTTAATATTTATAAACTTCATTGTGATTAAAAAAGTAGTTTTATACTCCAGAAACCATGCACTTTTTTAACTTCTTTAATTTCACGTAAGCTCATCATATTTTTTCTGAGAATTCTTTTCACAAGAAATTTTAATTTTTTTAGATTCTTATTTACCTTGAAAACTATTATCCGAAGCACTTTGATGAACAATTATCGTATTACTTGTATGTTTAAGTATTTTAGTTAATTTCACTACACTTAAATGCCTTTAACAAAGATATTTCTTAAAAAAGTAATTTGATAAAATTTTTCTCGGCTTGAGGAATTATAAACCACTAAATTAAACAGCGCATTTTAAGGTTTACATAAATTCAAAATAGACGTTGAATCATAATATGTCTTGAAAAGTGAATTTTTATTTCATTTTCCACTTTACGATAATGCTTATATAAAGAATTTAAAGTATAAAACTGAGTTCACTTAAATTTCAATGACTTGTACAATTAATTATTAATCAGAAGAAAAAATTTTTACAATTAAACTTTTGGAAAGATCAGAGGTGGCAACCATGATGGGGAAATATTTGAGAGACGACATGATTAATCTTCGTAAGAAAAAGTGTCTTGGCTAAACAAATAAGATTTGTAAAATTCTAAATTATTTTTCCGGATTTATAAAAAAACAGCTACGATTTCACAACTTTTGAAATACATTTTGTTTAAACAGGCAAAATAGGAAAAAAGTAGTGTTAAATCATTTGTATGAGAATAAGAGAAATATGAAATTATGGCGTTTATGAATTTATTAAGAAAGAGCTTAATTCTACAAAATCCAACAAAAAGATCCATTCTTGTATATTGTGAATACCAAAGAACAATTCGAAAGTGTTATAACTGTTACAGCATTGCCGTAAGGGTAAGTTCCGTTTTTTATCCAAACATGTTTGAAAATTTCCGACAATCCTACTACAATTGATTGTTCTCCCGTCTCCACATCACAATCAGCTGATTGATAAAACTCTTATTGTTCATTTCAGACATAAAAATCACCTTTATAAACACAAAATTAAACATTATCGTGTTAGAGACGGGAGAACAGATCAAAAGTGAGGACGATTGCATCACAATTTTCTCGACCGTGTCCTTGAAAATTAAAAATTTTCATTTAAATTAAAATGGGCCGAACGAAACGTGTTCGAAAACATCGTCATGATTACAATTTACCATCAGCCAAAGTTCACCATGACTTGTATAAGTTTTTATCAATACGTGGATGGAGAAATATCGATCAATCTCTCACAGTGTCAGCTTTTCCACAGACTGGTCGTGGATTATTCGCAAAGAAAAATCTTTCGGAGCATGACTTGATTATTGAATTACCTCATCAATGTTTGATATCGTATCTAACTTTGGAGAATGATGATGACTTCACAGATCTCTTTGAAAAAGATAAATTAGAAACAAGCAAGTCATTAATTTCATTTCAATCTTTACTCGCCTTGTATTTGCATCATCAGATTTTAAAAAAAGATTCTTCCGAATGGATTTCTTACATCCAAACACTTCCTGAATCTTTCTCTGTTCCGTATTTCTGTAAGAAGCCAGAACTTTATTATTTGCCTGACTTTCTCTTAGAGAAGATTGTTGAACAAAATGAAATAATTAAGAGAAACTTCCAAGAGTTGATGAAACTTATGAAATCAAAATCATCGGAAAACTTTTCCTTAGAAACTTTCAAATGGGCGTACTTTGTATGTAACTCGAGAAGTATTTATATTAAAGGCGAAGTTTTAAAACCACTTGTTGAGTGCATGCATTTTGAGGAGATTCTAATTGATTCTCCTAACATGGCACTTGCTCCACTGTTGGATCTTCTAAATCACTCGGATCAGGCAGAAACAAAGTCCCAGTTGTCTCATTCAGACAGATTTATTGCGGAAAACGCTGAAAAGATTAAGATTAATGAGGTTCGATTAACTTATCAATTGCACACGGTAAAAAAAGTTGAGAGTTATCAGCAAATATTCATCAATTATGGAGCTCACAATAACACAAAACTCTTGCTTGAATATGGATTCGTTATTCCAAATAATCAAATGGATTTCCTCGAGTTTTGCCTCTCCGACATTAACAGCTACATAAAATCCCATTCGGAATTGAAAACACTTCTGATTCCCAAACATAAATATAAATTTATCAGAGATCACAATCTAGATGAGCAGATGTTCATCGATTCTCGCGATGGTTTGAATCATAATTTTCAAGCTGTTCTTGCGATTCTTCTTGTGCCTCAGAATTTATATAATCTTACACAAGTCGCCTTTGGTGATGAATTAAACTTCAGCAACATCAAACAACACGCATTGGAAATCTTAAAACAAAAGAAAATTGAAATGGAAAAGTTCATCGAAGGCCTCATTCATCAGAATGAATTGAGTGGTAGTGGCAAGGCGTGTTTAGAATATTTTACTGAATCAAATAAACTCGTAAATAAAGTCTTAGGTTTAGTTGAAAACTCATGCGAAGAAAGTTAATGAAATGTTGAATAAAGTTGGTGTTTTCCAAATAATTAATTATATTAACACGTTTTTCATAATTACTTTAAAGTTTAAAGAGAATTCAAAGGTAATGTTGAGGATTTTCTTCCAAGAATTTAATAAATTTTACGCCCACACACATCTTCGATTTTTTTTACTTTCAAGATGATAAACGAAATTTAAAAAGTCATTACTGACGAGAGGCTCCATTTGTCGATTGTCATCATATGTTGAATCATCTCCATACTTGATCAATGATCATTGTCACATCCTCAGTATAAAAACAATTTTCCTCGAAATTATTGATTTTCCATTTTGTGTCTGTCAACTTTTTTTCACATCAATCAAATTTTTTGCTGATGTTATTGACAATACGGAATGTTTCTGTAAAGTTAAGAGTCGACTAAACCCAACATTCTGCTGAACTTCCAATTGTTGATTCAATTTGATTCCTGTCAGTTGTACTGTTGACATTTAATTCTTAATTAAAAAAATTAAATAAGTGAAGCTCAAATATTTTGTTCACATAAATTCAGTCTAAGTTATTTAAGTATCTGCTTAAAAGATATCCAAACAAATAAATTCCAGCGATAAATATTCGCCAAACAATATTGTTTACTCGAATAAGAATGTTGAAGAAGTCAAATAATCGGTTGAGCTTGGAAATAAAATACCTAAAAGACTAAAGCGGAAGAGAGACAAAGTAAAGTGAGTTTAATTCCACTTACAGCTTTCATCACCCTCGGAAATTTAATTTTCAATTTCCTTCTTCTTCGCAAACATTTCTTCTTGTATTTCCTTATTTAATTTTCGCAATCTTTCCATTTCATTTTCATCTTCTTATCCCTAGGCATCGTCAACGAAGGTTCAGTCGATCGATACCAAAAGCCCCAAGCACCATGCGAGTAAACAAAGTGTGTTACATGATAAATCACCCTTAGGAACAAATATTTTGGGAAATATCTTTGCAAAGAAAAGCGGAAAGTCAGGTATATATGAACAATACAGCGAGAATGTTTGTTATCCGCTTAAGCCTCGACATAATGCGGAAAAAATACTCTCGCATGATGCTACATACATGCGTGACTTTCGAAGTTGACATCATAAACTACCAGTGTTCTTTCATACTCTCTACATTGAATGCTTTTCCATTTACACGTCAAATCATCTTTTCAGCATTCTTAAAGCAGCAAATTTCTGCGCGCATTTTCATTGAGATTTGAATTGGTGAACGTGTTGAGACTCAGAAATCATAAGAAATATTACAAAACATGAATTCTTAAAAATGTTCCCTCTGCGCTACTTTCATAAGCTCAACATAATTTCCATTTCATTTTATAGAAGAGATTAAAAATGATTGTAATCACTTTTATTTTTACATACTTTTGTAGAAGGTCGGGGGAAAAAAGAACGAATAGAAATTTTTTTATTTGCTGAAATTAGATTTTATGAAAGACCAAATTAGATTTCGCTGCTTTCATTGGAATTTTGAGTGTGGAAATTTTCTCTTGTCATTCTGAGAGAGAAAAACTTCAATTTTCCATGACTGGAAAACAAAAAACAAAACAAAGAAAGCTTCTTTAAAGTCAAGTTCGTTTCACGAGACACAAATTTAAAGGGAAAGCTCTGAAAATCAAATTCAATGCAAAGCGTTGGTGACCCGAAAAAGGTCGGAAAGTTCCTCAAATAATACCACAAGGAAAACCTAATTTTCTTATCGAAAAGAAATTAATTTAAAAGTGAATTTCTTTGATCTGGTTTTATTTCACCAGAAAAAATTCTTTACTTCCCTTTCATTGATACTTTACAATTCAATTTGCAATGGCTATAAATCGATTCCGTCTCGCTGAATTTCTTTCAATTCCACACTTATTTCAGGTGAAATTCCTAACTTTGTTGGATTTGTTTTGTTCTCAACAGTTCAAAAAGCAATAAAATAAAAATCTTTTTTTCTCTCGTTAAATGTTATTCTTGGGAATGAAGGAAAAGAAGCAAAAAGACAATTTAATAGACGACAGATATCTTTTAAAACTTCTTTTTTATTTTTATCCTTTGCAAACACTCGAAACATCTTATAAAAATATAAAAAAGAGACTTTAATGGAACTAAATAAATATTTTAAATTGAGTCACATTTTGCAATTCTTAAATCAAAGCTTTCATCATTCTCGAGAGAAAAAGAAAGACGAACGAAATTAAGAACATCCATTAAAAGTTTTTCGCTTGATGTCTCCAGACCCATTTGTATCCATTATCCAATGTTCAGGACGAGAATGAGAAGAGAAATATTTCTCTATGTGAAAATTAGCGTTAAGGTTTTTGTAAAGTTAAAGAATGTTGGAAAGTTCTATCGTTTTATTCTCGGTTTATGTTTATCTGCACTCCGGGGTGTAATTATGCAGAACATTCATTCCACTTCTACATGAAGATGCTTCTTTTATGTTTCATAAGAATTAATTTATGACATCCAGGAAGAAATTTTAATTTTGTCATGTTTAACAAACGATAACTGCACGTACATAATCGACACGTTTTTAAACGCAAACTTAATTTCAACTTTCCCATTTTCTGCTGTGTTAAAATTATCTAAATAGATATCTAGACATCATCCATCATTTTCTGTTTCCTTTCTAATAATATTGATCAAATTTCATTTAGAAATTCAAATAAAAATGAAAAGCTTTTTGTAAATAATCCAAGACATTAATCAGCAAATCAAAATTCTCTGTTTGTGTTTTTTCTAATGGAAAATCGGTGATTTATGAGCCAAGTTCAAGTTTTTTTTCTTTCTTCTTGTTTTATTACTCTCGTCCCTCTTTTTATTACACAATTTCACTCAAAATTCAAAAAAAAAACTCAAAAAATTATGAAAAAAAAACGTAAAATAAAAAATTGAAAGGATTTTGGCTACATCAAGAACAACAAATACGACATTGTTTCCATCCAGGTACTTCATCGTTTGATGGAAATGATTCACTCGGTGTAATCAACGCCCCAGATGTGACAGCAAGCCAAATGCTTAGAGCGATGATGGCTTACATATGGCCAAAAGATGACGCGATGATAAGAAAAAGGTTAAACGACGGTTGTCAAATTAAGTCACCATTAATTACCTTAATTTTTTAATCCTTTAGGGTTGTGGTGTCATTAAGTCTTCTTGGCGGTGCTAAAGTCCTAAATGTTTGTGTTCCATTCCTGTTTAAAGGTGCCATTGATAGTTTAAATGTTCTTCAAATGGGAACGCCAGTCGAGACAACAATGACTGTGATTAGTGCAATGTTAATCGGGTGTAAGATTCATCACATTTAATTAATTGAAAATTGAAAATTTAAACATTTTTTCAAATTTAATCAGATGGCATTGCACGTGCAAGTGCTGCAGGTTTCAATGAATTAAGAAATGCTGTTTTTGCTCGTGTTGCTTCACACTCAATTCGAAAAATTGCTGTCAATACTTTCATGCATCTTCATAATCTTGATTTGTCATTTCATCTTAACAAACAAACGGGAGCTCTCTCAAAGACCATCGATCGTGGTTCACGTGGAATCAATTTTGTACTATCAGCGATGGTTTTTAATGTTGTGCCGACAGTGTTTGAACTCGCACTTGTATCAACAATTCTCGGAACGAAATGTGGATTGGCTTATGCTGGAATATCGATGGGATGCGTGGGAGTTTATGCTGCTTACACTTTAGCAATTACTCAATGGAGAACTAAATTTAGAATGTACATGAATCAAGCTGAGAATGAAGCTGGAAATAAAGCTGTCGACTCACTTATAAATTATGAAACAGTAAAATATTTTAATAACGAACTTTATGAGGCTCATCGATACGACAATGTATTGAAAAAATATGAAGACGCAAGTTTGAAGACGAGCACAAGTTTAGCTGCGTTAAACATTGGACAAAATGCAATTTTCAGTGTTGCATTAAGTGCTATCATGTTGTTAGCTGCAAATGATATTGCTAATGGAACTTTGACTGTTGGTGATCTTGTGATGGTCAATGGACTTCTGTTTCAACTTTCCATTCCTCTTGGATTCTTAGGAAGCGTTTATCGTGAAGTTCGTCAAGCTTTACTCGACATGCGTTCAATGTTCACATTGCTTGGTGTTGAGAGTCGTGTACAAAATAAACCAAATGCTGTTCCACTTATTGTTGATCGTTCAAATTCAACAATTGAGTTCAAAAATGTTTCATTCGAATATGAGAATGGTAAAAGAATTTTTGATGATTTGAGTTTTGTGATACCAGCTGGAAAGAAGATTGCGTTTGTTGGTGGATCAGGTTCGGGAAAGTCATCAATGGTTCGTCTTCTTTACCGATTCTTTGAGCCAACGAGTGGCGAAATTAAAATTAGCGGTCAGAATATCAGAGACGTTGACATGGACAGTTTGAGAAAATCTATCGCGATTGTTCCACAAGATTCAGTCTTGTTTCATGACACAATTCAACACAACATTCACTACGGTGACTTATCAAAGTCACAAGAAGAAATGGAACAAGCTGCAAGAATGGCTGATCTTCATGAACAAATCATAAGATGGCCAAATGGATATGCGACACAAGTTGGTGAACGAGGATTGAAGCTGTCGGGTGGTGAGAAGCAGCGTGTTGTAAGTTCATTTAAATTGATTTTCTACTTTGCTGTTCTCAAATAAATTATTCCCCTGATTGACAGGCAATTGCTCGAGCAATCCTAAAGAATTCTCCGATTTTGATATTCGATGAAGCAACAAGCAGCTTAGATTCAATAACAGAACACGTAAGACTTCTGCTTGTTTTGAATCTTATTTCATATTTAAATAATGTTTTGATGTTTAGAACATTCTTCAAGCACTTTCACGTGCAACTGAGGGGCGAACGAGTATTTGCATTGCACATCGACTCTCAACTGTTATGGACGCTGATGAGATTCTTGTGTTAGAACATGGAAGAGTTTGTGAACGTGGAACACATGACCAGCTTTTAAGACAAAAAGGATTATATGCGAGATTATGGGATACACAGAACCGTTTGTAAAGTGAAATGTAAATTTAATTGATGAACATTCTAAAATAAATTTCAAATCAAATCATTTCCATCCGATGTTTTAGCAAATGTAAATTTGAATAATTAAAAGAGTGAATTAAGTTTAGTCAATTTATTTTTCATGATATTTATTTAGTTGCATGAAAACGAGAATGAAGGCAAAACTTGTTAAACAAGAATCGTTTGTTGGTTCATTTGACAACTCGTCTGTCATATGTGCATGTATAGAATACTCGAAACTCAAAAAAAAATTACGAAAAACAAAGAACTAAAATAAAATACTTGTTTTGATATGAGCCTAATTGGCAAGGCGATATTCACAAGCACCCTTGTCATCGTACAACCCCAAACTGTAACACAAAACCGATGTTTATCGTGATGTTTTCAAATCTTTTTTTTCCTTTTCCTCTTTTTTCATCGTCTGTTTACTGCTTTTTCCTCGAATAGCTTTCAACATTAATTACAGTTGGATAAACTTGTCATGAGGATGAAAAATCATTCCGAAGGAGAGAGACAGAGAAAGCGAGGGAAAATGCTTTCATTTGGTACGCTTGTCGCTTTCTAACTCACATTCTTACTATCTGAGTGTGTATACACAAGACATTGTGTAAACAATTGAAATGTAGCGAAATCCTCTTAGGTTGCTTTTCCCTCTTTCAATGAATGAGAGATGATAAAAGTTATGGGGAAGATAGAGCAAGAAGAATATATAAAAAAAGGCTTTTAACCCACTTGCCCGTCTGATTTATTTCCTATTAAATGAAGCTTTCAGACGTCGTCCCAAAAAAAGATTTTGAATATTGCTTGAAGCGTATTCCGAAATCGAATACGATTTCGTGTTTTTGCAAAGGTTAATTGGAAAATGGATTAGATTCTTGCTCTTAAAACTCATAAAGTTCAAAATATGCGAAATATTCTTCAACCTCGAACGAAATTTCAAGTTTCTCTCTCTTTCACCTTTTCATAAATTTTCAAAGTGTCACCCACAAGTTTAAACCAACATGCGCTTGTCAAGCTTTTGAAATATCGGAGTTGTGGGAATCGTGAATCGTACAACATAAATCTCATGAGACCGCAATGTTGATTGCAAATAAGGTTGGCAATAAAACATTTTCGTTCTTGCTTTTGTTCGTGACAATGAAATTGGAAACGTATAAGTTTTCCAATAAATCGATGGATGAATTTCTGTCTTTTCCATTTCAATTGTGTGAAAGTTGACTTGCTTCTTATATAACGTCACAACATAAGTTATGTTTATCGATAAAATAATATTTTGCTACACTCCGAAATGTACGAAACCGTCTGAAATATCTCGAGGAAGTGATATACTTCTGATCCGGAATAATCAATTTCTCAATCAATGAAACTTTTCTCTTCTTAAGGCTCCGAAATCGAGTCGTAAAATAAAGTGGAAATAAACTGTTCGTTTTTGATTACAGTATGTAGGTGGATTTATTTATACGTTCGTTTGTGATGAGATTAAGGAGAATAATATTGCAAAGCACAGCAATAAATAAAAGAAGAAAGGATAAGTAGGAAAGAAAGTTTTTTTGTACTACGCGAGAAGCTGTAAAATAAAAATTGATTCAATATTTGTATGATGCTTACTTGAAGGAATACAAAACTCTGAGAGTTAAATTGGTTTATGTGATGGCCTTGACTTGACTTGACTACTTAACTTCACTTGACTTACTCGAGTGACTTGACTTGAATAAGAACCTAAACGAGTCAAGCCCCAGTTTATATCACTTTTAATAAGTGAACTCTTTGTTTCTTCAATTTTAATTACAGAACTCTTCAATAAAGATGTTCCATTCTCATAAATCCTTTTTCACTGCTGCTCAATCAATAATCTGTCACACTTCTGTTGCTATCAGCAGTTAAACATTTGTTAAATGTCATTTCTAAATTGTAACAATTTTACTTTCAAGAGCCATGTCATTACATAAATTAATAAACCAGCAACATTAAAAGTTTTCTGCAAAACATTTATAAATTTTATTCTAAAATTAAAAATTTCATAGATGCATGTAAAAAGTTAATGTGAAACGAATTAATCGATCTTTATTGCAGATTTATCCCAATCCATTAAAGCTGTTGTATTCTCATAAGTCCATTTCCATCGTTGCTCAACCAGATCAGCATCACACTTTGACAATGATATTTGATTATCATCATCCTTAGTTTCTAAGCATTCATTCTTACGAGGATGAATTATTTGTCGCGTTGAGAGATCGAATTTCCACCTCTGTGAACCTCTTTGATGATTGCAATTTGATAAATTTAAAGTCGCTTCATTCAAGCACTGATCAGATGTGTCATTGTATTTTATACTTTCTTCAAATGTGAAAAGGAAATCCAGTCCAGTTGTCTGATTACAATTGAAAAGTTCAACTGGTTTTTTGTAACTGCGTTTCACCAAACCAAGACACAAATTTCTGGCAATTGATTGAATTTTCCCGGCGGCAAAATTTTGTGGAGTGATTGGATAAAATTTTAATATTTCAGGCGCCACTTCGTCAAGATAATATTGAAAAGGTTTACAATTTAAGCTCTTCTTCTTCTTGAATTGTTCTGTCAAATCTCCAGGATCAAGATTTTTGTATCGATTGATATTGCCACGGTAGAAATATTGTTTGTAGTCATCAAGCCAAACTTCAGCAACGCGTTTGAGATTTCTCCCTTCAAAATCGGTTACTTCCTTTGTATTTCGATATGCAGAATGGGCTTTCGATAAATGTACTGCACGTGCACATGGAACTTCGAATAATCCTCCAGAACAAAGCCACAATTTGATTGATAATTCGTAGTTCTCTCCATTCCAAATAAGCAAACCTTCGTCATATCCACCAAGATATAAGAAATGTTCTCTTCTTATGGCGTATGCTCCACCAGTCATACATGCAAGTTCATAAGGAGCGCCTTCGATTTTTTTATCCTTCGATCGAAGTGGCAGCCATTGATATCTAAAATTCCAATCAAACACACCTCTAAAGCCATAACCAACATGTTGAGGTGCAAAAGTTTCATGATTCATTCCATCAACAACAGGGACAGTTGCAAATGTAGGATTTGTTACAATGGGATCTAAAAATTATTTATTAATTGATGATTCAATTGTCACGAAATGAATTAATTACCCAGTAAAGGTGGAAGCCACGAATTATAAACTTCCATGTGAGAATCAAGAAAAATTATAACTTCCCCAGTTGCTGCTTTCGCACCAGTCATTCTAGCTTTGATAAGACCTTGTCGTTCTTCATTCTCGATGATTTTCACCTTTTCCCCAAAAGTCTTTTTGATGTATTCTTGAACAGTTCCATTAAGTTCTGGGAAAGTACTCATGTCATTGACTAAGACGATCTCATGAAGAAGTTGCTTTGGTGATCGATTGTAAATAGAATGAACGCATCGTAAAAGTGTGCTAGGAATTTCATTGTGGAACGTCACAATCACAGAAACATTGGGAAGTTTTTGGAAGTATTTTTGTGTTTTGCAGCTTGATAAGAAGAATTTTGATAATTTTATTGAGTAAGAAAATATGCGTTAACTTACACCGCTGGTCTATGATCTGGTAGTGAGCGTGTGACTGAAATTTTATTGCTGACATCAACAAAAAATCCTTCCTTCTTTACCCATTCTTGATTCTTTGCCAATTCATCAGGATCAGTGACAATGACGGGATGTCCCTGTTCACCAGGTCCAACTCTTGTAGCTTCATAATTGATGAAATCCAAATCTTCCCAACTCACTTTTTCATTTGAAATGTTATTTACAAAATTTTCTTTGAAAGCTTTTAAAACTTCCCTGCTTGAATATTCTCTTTGATTTTTAATTGTAACGTAATAAACTATGTTGAGGATCGTCAACGAAAAAATTAAAATTAATATAGCTCTATAAAGTACTTTTCTGAAACTCATGCCTTATTGGCTTTTATACTTTTTATTCTTCTTCCTAACAAGAGCCAACAACGAATAACTGTATTGAAACAATTGTTTTACCAACTTTATTTATTTCCTTAGTCTTATCAAATGATCAACTTTTGTTTATATTTTCAAACATCACTTGTTGGCCATTTTTACCTAAAATATGATAAATGAACTAGTAAAATTAATTCTGAACATATGACTTCTGTTAACAAATGTAATCTGATGGCATAAAATCACTTTATCTATTACAAAGCGTGCTTTCACACCTTTATCGCTATCAATAATTAATACTAAGCAACTTTTACATATTCTTTCAATACATCTAAATTCTTATCTATTCATGGCAGTTTTGTCAATGTCTGTCATTACTTTGATAAAAACAAATTACGAGACTTTCCTGAACTGATTAAATTTTGCGGTTTTTTCGTTTTTGTTAATAACGACTCATTTTATTCGTGACCTCATGTTATCTTCCAATAATATTTTTGCAAAAAAATTATTTCATTTCACCATTTAATGTATGTTTTAAAAAAGCTGTAAAATAAAATGTTTATCAAATAAAAAAAATATTCCCACATTGGTGATTACGAAATCCACGTGCGTTTGTAAAAGAATTGAGACATAAACAAATTTTCCAATGAGAGAATTTGAGAACACAAATTTGAGAGAATTTCCATGGAAGTTTCGATTCTTGTTTGGGTAAGATTTTCTCTAAAAATTATTTAAGCATCACATCAGTGGAGCTTTGATTCGACAAGGAGAAGGACTTGCGATTGTTTTTAAATGAAGATATTAAAGGAAAGAGTATTTAAAACAGTGACAAAGTAAACAGTGAGTGATTACAAATAAAAAACTATCAACTTATGAGGGAAAATAAGAAATTTTTTGGATTAAATATCTACATGAATGTAAGTCTGAAAACCAATAAAGGATAAAATTCCGAATTGTTTCCTTAAATTATTAATCAATTCATAATTTATAAAATTTTCATTTTATTTCAATCAGAATTTTTTAATAAAATTAATTTTAAAAAAGCAAGAAATCTCCGATAAGGAATCAAAGAAATGTGGAAAATTATGGGGGGATGACTTTAATTTAATTTCTGTTCAACATTCTCGTACATGGTTTAGTATTTCGGAAGCATTTAAATTCTGTTCAAAGAAGTTTCAGAGAATTCAAAACTCTAAGAAAGCTCACAATAATTTCTTAGTAAAGTTTTCATCTTGTAAATAAAATTTGAGCATTCCTTAAAATGAAGTCAATATTTAACAAAGCTTTTGCAATTTGTAAAAGCTGTTAATTAGCCGAGTCGCTCATAAATTTTGATGTTTCTAATTGAAGTTGTAACTTTTTTTTCTTCTTCTCAAACTTGTGAACCTTGAGAGTATGCTTGAATATTTAAGGAAGTAAAAAAAAAACATGAAAACAAACAGACAAGCAAGCAAAAACAGACAACACAAATGTCGTTAATATTTTGTTCTCCTTAATTTCCGTTTATCTTGTTACACTTCCGTTTTGAAGCCTTAGTTTATTTCTGGCACAAATTTTAAGACAACATAAGATGGAAAAAAGAATTCCTGTTTGTTACATTTTATTTTTCAAAATTTTCTTTTTCTTGTGTGTAGATTTGCGAAACGAAGCTCTCGACAGTCTGAAAAAGGAAACTAAACCCAGAAATTTAATTTTCTAAAACAATAATTTATATTTTAGAATGTCATGAAAGTTTCGTTTCAGTAAATTGCTTCATTACGATATGAGCTTGTTACTTGGCAGGTTATTTGATATTTCAGGCATATTCGTAATGAAGCGACTATGAAGAAGCTTCTGAAGACTGAAAACTGAAATCAACAGAAGATGAAATTCTCATCGCATACAAATATTTGCTGTCGTTTCTTGAATTTTCTAATCCAAATTAACATGCTGTTAAAATATTCAAAATGACTATGAATATATTTATTCTAGTCTTAATTTGATCTGCTGGCAAATTTAACTTATTTAAGTTCTATGCAACATTTGTAATTGATAAAGATTTCTTAGAAAAGTTTCATCTTTTAAGTTTCATTCACAACCTTGATTTAAAACTTACTCGAATGATATAAATGTAAATGTTTGAATTTCCATTTTAAATTAAATGCTTTTCTTCTTTACAGATAAAACGATAAAGCATCAAACAAATAAAATCGATTTTCATTTATACCCTAGAGGATCCAAATTAATGAGTTCCATTGAATTCATCTGGCATTTAGAATTCAGTTTTAAATCAAAATGGATTTACACAATAAAGAACGAACAAAGAAGAAGTCAAGAAGAAGAAAGTCAAGATTTTCTGCGGTGAAAGAGAAGATTTCCAAGATATTTAATACATTTTCCGGTCACAAAATCACCAACTTTTCATCATTCAATGGATTTAGTAACCTAATGCATCAAAAGGCTGATGCTGCTAGTATAGGAATTGGACGGATGTTGTTTGGTAAGGTTTTATGACTTTAGAGGCGGGAAACTTTCCTTGAAGAAAGGAAAACTTTCTTATTAGGTACCTTTAAGGATGCCTTTTTATTGACCCAGAAACAGAAAAAAAGGAAAGAAAAGATCTCGTAAATTTCTTTACCCTTCCATTTCCATTCTCGTCTTTTATGTAGGAATAATGATGCTGTTGGATATACCAGAGGAACGTAGTGGAGATTTAGATTTGCGTTGGGGTGACCCAAAGGATTGTCGCTTTCCACTTTTCTCTTTCATAAAACCACTTACATTGCCAAAGATGGGCCTTGTTTATTGTACTATGTGGCTGGGTAAGACAAAACCTCTCGTGAAGCATCGAAATAAAAACTTCTGATGTTTCACTTTACATTGATTAAACCTTTAAGTTATTTACCATAAAGATTGATGTTTAGATATGTAAAGCTTTCTTTCGTAAGAATATTATCAGCCTCCCCGACATCAAAAATTGCTTATTCGATTTCATAAATGGAAAATTTCCCCCATTTCTCTTTTATGGCTTTTCTTCTTCACCACTCAAATATTTGATTTCAAGTCTAACTTCTCACAATAAAATTGTGGGTGAGATAGAAAGGATAATTTATCTGATCGTTCGATACATATCCCTTGTATTTACATTTTTTATTGAGTTGTGTGAAGCGTACAAAAAGCCAAATAGGCAATGTGGTGTAGAGGATTAAATATTCACCATGGAAACAGATAAACCGATTTAGTAAATACCAACTTGGATCGATGAGAATTAGAATGAAAATTTTATTGTTAACAACAATTTAGAGTACGTCAAATTAATTCATTTAATCATCCCAATTTAATTTAATTATTTATAAATATGGATTTACAATGTTTAAGGATGATCCAAGTCATTGGTATACCGTATACGTTTAGGAAAATTAAATATTAAATAATTTAATTCAGTGAAATAATGTTTAATGCCTTTGAGTGCTTCTGACCTTTGCCTTCAAATAAAACAAAGCTTGAGTTTCGTAATTTGAATCGAAACAACAAGACTGAAACAAAAGCTTTCAAAAGATCTCATAAACATAAGAGAAGAATAAGAAAACTCCATGAATAAGAACATTCAGATACCCTTGAGGGACGGAATACAGAAACCTTAATGCTTGTAAATTGAAATTTTATTCAAAGCATTTTCTCAAAGGGTGAAAATTTCCAGATTGATTTATGTGTTTGTTGGAAGCTTTTGATCTCAATTTCATCGACTTATATTGTACTACGAGATCCATTGAGCCTTAAACCTATTGACTTTACTGTTTCTTATGCCATTTACAGGCGCTTTGGGAATAACGCTTGGATATAAATTCAAAGCATCGTGTCTTGCTTTTGTGCTGACTTACTGGTACATTTTCCTGTTGGATAAAAGTTCTTGGAACAACCACAGTTATTTGTATGGATTGATAGCTTTCATCTTCCTATTTACTGACGCCCATCATTATTGGTAAGACTTCTTCAGTTATTTTTCAATGGTATGAGTGAAGGAAACTTTTCATCCACAGCTCAATCGACGCTAGGTGCAATGAACTTAAGCCTGAAGTGCCATATTGGAATTACTTCCTTTTGAAATTCCAGTTCTTTGTTTTATATTTTATTGCTGGTTTGAAGAAGATGTCATCTGAATGGCTTAACGAGTGGCAATATTCCATGACGAACCTTGACGTTCATTGGTTGTTTACACCGTTTAGAATGATAATTGGCAGTGACCTAACAAATCTTTTAGTCATTCATTGGTTTGCTGCTGTCTTCGACACAACAATCTCATTTTTTCTAATCTGTAAACATACACGACCCATCGCAGTCATATTCGCAACAGCTTTTCATCTCATGAATTCACATCTTTTCAACATTGGGATGTTTCCTTGGGTTTGTCTCGTGGAACTTCCTTTGTTCTATGAACATAACTGGCCTCGAACATTTTTTCGGAAATTAAAGTCTTCATCAAGTTTCTCAAAGCGAAAAGCTTCGATGGAACGAATGTCGTGTGTTAACGACAAGAACGTGACGACAAAGCGAACATTAAAGAAGAGATTTACGACATTTCTCATTTTAATTTATGGATGTCTACAGCTTTTCCTGCCTTTCTCTCATTTCATCACTAAAGGCTATAATAATTGGGTAAATGGAATTTACGGGTATTCGTTTGATATGATGATGCAACAGTGGCATCCGTCGTTGATTTCTATAAAAATCGTTGACAACGGTGGTCAACAGCAGCACTTTATTGACCCGTTGACCTTCACTGACAACTATCGTTGGACACAATATCCCGACATGGCATATCAATATGCGAAATGTATTCACGAAAACCTCAAATCAGATTTCCATGAAAATCCAAACAGTGTCTTAACATCCGCAAACATCTCCATTTACTTCGACATTTGGTGTTCACTTAATGGCAGATTTCAACAAAGGATTTACAATCCAAAAGTTGATCTAGTTAAAAGTTATTGGAATCCGTTTCGTAAACCGTCATTTACATTGCCGCTTCTTCGTGAATATTCGCATTTGAGGAAGGAAATTATGGAAATATCTAACGATGTTTACTCGTGGAGCAATTACACGTCTCTGATGTTTTTTGCTGATTTCCCTAGACTCACAATGGAGAATTATATCGTTCCGGAGATGGATAATGTTACGCTTACTGTGCTTCATGGCGCTGTTAAATTTCAACAAGAAAATGACACAAAAGCGAGCTCATTATCAGTGAGACAAAGTGTTGTTGTGAAGTCAGGAAGTTTTCATAAAATAACGACTATAAGTGATGTTCCATCATGCTACTTTTATACTTATATTAACGCCACTCAACAATTACTTAACAGCCCAGCTGATGACACTCAAAACTATAAAGAATGGCGCACGACATATTCAATATTTCCTTTCGCTCAAGAGTGGCGAATGCGTTGGGAAAACTATAAAAAGTTTCTCTATCACATTGCCAATTCGATATTATTTGAGTTTTATAAAGTTCCAATGCCATTACGAGTGAGAGAAATTCACGATATGTGAACAGTTACGTTGAAGTTTATTTCAATTTCATTTTAAGATAAAAGCTGAAAGAGAATAAAAATTGATTTATGAAAAAGATATTAAGAAAAACTTTTGTTGATATTAAGTTGAAAATTTTTCTAAAAGTTTTCAGCTTGGCTTTTAGTGTCTGGAAATGAGAAAGTTTACTTCAAAATTTCATGTGTAGATCTGGTAAGAAAGTCGAAATATGTTGATGCAAAACCAGAATTTATTTTATTTAAAAAAAATAACAATTTCATTGCAAATGTTTTAAAATGAATTTTTCGTTAGAAGCCGACAGATTGTAGAAAGTCTTGAACTAGGATAAAAGGAAGAAAATGATTTTTAATATCCTTAAAGTATTTTGAAACTCTCACCATGCTTTCTTCGATATTTTATAAATCAAATTGCTGTTGAACAAACTTGAAAATATTTTTTAACTTCAATAGAAGTCCACCAGAAATTATGTCGGGAGTGTAATCCTTAGCAGGTTTACGTTCTTCAACCATCTCAGCTTCAATTTCCTTCTCGTCAGTCACAGATTCAGATGGAGCATTCGATTTCAATTTCATGAAACTGTTTGATGTGTTGTCAATTGCATTCTCATTCATTTCGTCGTCTTCATCGTCATTCACAGCTTCTTCAATGTCATCAATTTTCTGTTCATCTTCAAAATCATCGTCTTCATTGAAAACTTCGTTTTCCTTAATTTGATGAATTTTAAAGAGTTTTTCGAATTCGTTGGCTTCTTTTTCGGGAGAAGGATCATCAGCATCATCATTTTCGTCATTGTTTGCTACAAATTTAAGAATATCGTCTTCATATTCTTCACTTTGTTCATTCTTAACAGTTGCATCATCAGGGGTCACAACAATCTTATCTCCAGATCCATTGATATCAATTTGAGCTTTATAACTTTTATTTAACTCATCCAATTCACTGAGAAGAAGCAAATTTTCATCGTTCTTTGTAAGTGAAATTCTTCCGTTGTCGTTTGATTCCAAAATTTCTTCAATGTCTTCATCTAAAAAGATTAAAAATGTTTATTTTTATCAATTAGGTAATTAGAATAATTTCATTATTTTCACCTTCTTCATCATCGATAACTCCTTCATCATCATCATCATCATCTTCATCTTCATTCTTATTATCTTCAAAGATTTCTTTTTCTTTATGATCTGAGTCTTCAACTGATGACACGATAATCCCTTCGCCTGCTCCATTTATGTTAATGTGAGCTTTATAAGTTTCACCTGAATCTCCAGTTTCCTTCACCAATGTCAAATGCTTATCATCACTTGTTAAAGATATTCCTTCATCTTCTTCAACTGACTCATCATTTTCATCTGAATCATTTGAGAGTTCATTTAATTCATTTGAAGGTTCGATATTTTCATTCCTTTCAATTTGTTTGCCATCTGTATTTGATAAGTCATAATTAAAGAGTTTTGAAATGATATCAATTGAGTCATCGTTTTCTTCAATATTTCTTTCCATCGAAGCATCTTGTGTCACCACATTTTCGTTAGTTAAAGCACTTTCTGATTTTTGTGTGATGTCAGATAAAGCCTTTGCAATTGTAAGAATTTGATTCATCACAGCAGTTAAATCTGCAGCTTCTTCATTTTCAACTTCATGTGGTGCTTCATCTTCACGACATTCTCCTTCCAGATCGTCAACTTCTTCTTCTTGCTTCATTTGAGGCAAACCAAAGAATTTACTTAAAATATCCATCAATTCTTCGGAATGGACAAAGTCATCAATTTCTTTCGAAACATTTGTCTGATCATTTGAATCATCATCAACTTTCAATTCAACCAATTCGCTCTCATCTTTGTGATCGGCATCATAACAGGTCGTCATTACGTTTTCATATAAATTGCCATCTGGAATTACGCCGTTCATTGTTTGAACATTTTGTGGAACAATTTCTATAGGTTGTTGGAAAAATATAAATTGGGGAACCTCTTGTGGTTCGTTTTCGTCTTTTTCATCAACAGAATCAGCATTGACAATTGAAGATGGTGAGAAAAGCCATGTGAAGAATCCATCAGAGTCATCAGATTCACTAGACTCGATTGCAGGTGGTCCTAAAATTCTTAAAAATTGCTCAAAAAAGTCTGGTGGTGCTGTAAGATTAAAAATAGTTTAATTGTTGTAAAAAGAAAGAAAGAATTTTAATTCAAATACCACCAACAATCTCAACCTCAACAGGGGCTGCACAACAAAGATAACATTGAAGCGTAATTAGCGCAAACAACAAAACACAGGAAAATAATTTCATTTTCTTTTATTAAACTACAACTTTTACCATTCCAATTTAAATTGATACTGAAAGATATTTTGAAGATGTTTTTGATGTCTTATGTGTCATCTCTCTATTGAAACAGTTGTTGATATTGGAAACTATTGAGAAGATGAGAAATAAATTTATTTTTATCGTCTTTTCATCTTAAACGTTCTTAACAAAGAGAAAAGTTTTTAAAGTCGAGCATCGACATGAATTGCGATAACACCAGAAGGATGATTGGCAGCAATGTTGATATCAGAAAATCCATCTGAAGTTACGACAAATTGAGCACCCGAACATGTCGTCCCAATTTTATTACCAGAAATGACATCACAATAAGTTCCAGCTGGAAGACCAGTTTGAAGTCTCACATTCATGTTCTGTCCGAATTGTCCATTGAGAGCAATGAATCCACGATTTCCCCTTGAAAATGCAATCATGTTATCTTGATTATCCCACCAATTTGTCACTGAAGTACCACGAACAGCATTACGAAAGCCAACCATGTTAGCAATTTCCCTCCAACGATGTTCACAAACCCATCCACCCCCACACGAACCATCAGCATTGAATGTTGGCGAACGAAGATTGCCATTGGCATCTTGAGGTGGACCTTGGTCATGTCCAACGAATTCAAATGAACTCATAATTCTTGGAATTCCATAGTTCCAGGCAAGATGAAAAGCTGTTGCCATTTTATATAAACGACCATCTTTATATGACAATGCGCCACCTCTTTGATTATCATGATTGTCAATGAATGTTAATACAAATGAACTTGGATGATAACCCCAACCTTCTCCGATATTGTTCAACCATCTTAACGCACTTTGACCTCGGAATGATCTCGACATATCGTTTGAGTATCGAAACTCTGTGATTGTTCCAAGTGAAAAATATTCATTTCCATTAATTGATTCACCTCCATTGTCGATGACTTCACCAACAATGAAAGGTCTTGAATTTGCTGGAAACCCAAAATTTACGTTTAAATTATTTAATCTTGCAAAAATGTTTGTTAAATCTCCAGGCCACATGTGTTTCATGGCATCAGCTCGGAAACCAGCCACACCCAAGTTAATTAAATAATTCATTGACTCAGCTAGCTTAGCTCGAACATGTTCTCGTGATTGATCTAAATCGGGAAGACCAACAAGTTGACATCTTCTGATACTGTCTGCACTTCCCCAATCAATTTCACAAGGCGCGTGGAAATCTGCTGATGAAAATGGAACGGCAGGATAGTCTCTCGTTTGTGCGTTTGCAGTAGATCCCGCTGTTCCAACTCCAGTTGTCGCTGACATGTGGTTCAGGAGTATATCAACGTAAATACGAACTCCAACTGCATTGCATCTTCTTGTCATGTCGACAAACGCAGCTTCATTTCCTGACCTCGTTATGACTTTATATGAGACTGGCTGATAACGTTCCCACCAAGGACGGTCTCCAATCACAGAGTTTTCAAACACTGGCGATACTTGAACACCAGCATAACCATTTGGAGCCAAAAAGTTCTCACATTCATTGGCAATATCAGCCCATTTCCATTCGAATAAGTGAACCATTACGCTGTTAAGGACGGTCATTAAAAGGAAACAAATCGATTAAGATTTTATTTTATGAGGTCCTTTTCATTATAATTAAGTACCTTCGACTTGTAAGCCAATGTGGATTATGTTGTGCGTTCACTGTGAACAAAGCACATAAAATAATTCCGAACAGCTTCATAACGACTCTCAAACTAAATTGAAAAGCAAACAATTTGAGCTTTTATAGAACAAGTTAAATGAGTTAAATGACGATGATTTTTGATAAAATATCAGTGATAAGATAAATAAAATATTTGGGAATTTGACAATAATCTCTTTTAATCCTCTCCACCTGGTCATTCGTTTTTGTAACCTGAAATGCTTCTGGAAAAAGCATTTCATGATGGATATGACATTGAAATCGATGAAACAAAGATTCTTGCATTTTCATAGATAAAAGCAATTTGGTAATTGATGCAAATAAAATCACGTTTCAACTGCGTGGGTGGGATTTTTAGCTTAAGCATTTAACCACCAATGAACATTAAGATAAGAGATAACAAAAATCAAAAGAAATATCTGCACGTTATCAACTGTTAAAGAATTAAAGGAGTGATTTTGCTGCTTTTAACTTGTAAGCTTCGGTTTAACAATTGATTAGAGTGATTGATCGGTAATTAACTTTTCGAGAAAGTTCGGAGAGAAAATCAAAAGGAAAACAACTTGAAGTGTTGTCACAATAAGAAGAAAATTTTAATCAATTGATAATTATTTTAACAATTTTTACAATCTTGAATTAACATGAATAGCAATGAAACCATCAGTGGCACCAGATGTAATGCTGAATGTTGCACGCCCGTCACTTCCAACTGTGATTCTAGTTCCAGTGCAAGTGCTTCCACTTTTTTGCCCACTTACAACATCGCAATAAGTTCCGGCAGCTAAACCTGTTGCCAAGTTCTGATTGAGATTTGAACCATCTCCATTGAAGACAATAAAGCCACGATTTCCACGTGAAAATGCAATTTGATTACTTCCATTGTCCCACCAATTACCCATAGCAGCAGTTCCCACATCATTTCTGAACTTAATCATGTTAAAAATTTGTCTCCATCGATGTTCGCAAACCCATCCATTCCCGCATGAACCATCAGCATTGAATGTTGGCGATCTTAAGTTTCCATTTCCATCAGCTGGTGGACCAGCATCAGGATTCGTGAAGCTGAATGAACTCATGACACGTGGAATTCCAAAATTCCATGCAAGATGGAAAGCTGTTGCCATTTTGTATTGTTTAGCTTCTTTGTAAGTCAAAACATCAGCACCACCGCCACCATGACCTCTTTGGTTATCGTGATTGTCAATGAAAGTCAAAGCACGGTTGGACGGTAAAAATCCCCATTCAGTTCCAAAGTTTCTCAAATATCTCAATTGATTTCTACCGCGGAAAGCTTTTCCGATCTCAGCTGAGTAGCGGAACTCAGTGACAGTTCCAAGGTGAGTGTATTCAGTTCTGTTTTGTAATTTACAATCAATTAAAGAATTAAAAAGTTAATAAAGATAACTCACGCTTTGATTGTTTCACCACCCAAATCGATTACTTCTTGTGTGATAAATGGACGTGAATTTGCTGCGAAGCCATAGTTTGTGTTCAAATTCTTTAGACGACCGAAAACGTTTGTCAAATCGCCAGGCCACATATGCTTGACGGCATCAACACGGAAACCAGCAACACCCAAATCAATAAGATTATTCATAAATTCCACAATCTTATCGCGAACGTATGCACTTCCAAGTGCCAAATCAGGCAAACCAACGAGCCAACAATTGCGAACTTGATTGATGTTATTGTAATCATTGATGTCACATCTTGGGTTGAAATCGTTCGGTCCATAAGGAACTGCTGGGAATTGTAAAGTTCCTGAGTTGCCTGACGATCCACCTGTACCGGTTCCAGTTGTTGCACTCATGTGATTGATGACAGCATCAGCATAAATACGAATGCCGACAGCATTGCAACGACGTGTCATGTCAGCGAATGCAGCTTGATTACCCGAACGAGTCACGAGATTGTATGACATTGGCTGGTAGCGTTCGTACCATGGACGTCCAGAAACAATCGCATTTTCATTTGGTGGTGAGATTTGAACACCAGCATAGCCATTTGGGGCAAGGAAGTTTTCACATTCGCTTGCAATGTCAGCCCATTTCCATTCGAACAGGTGAACTATTCCAGAACGTCCATTCCATTGATGTGTGTTAAATTGCGCACTTGAAATTGCAGCGAAGCTAATCAAAGCGATTACTACCAGCAACTTCATTGTCAACCGTTTTTAAGTTGCCGTCTCAAGAACTACTGAATCTGATTCTGAATTTTCCTCGATTTTTATAGGTTTCTTGTCGTACACGTCATGGCTTAACAATATAATTGATGTTGTCACCGATAAATTTTGATTTCTCTTATCTCAATGCATTATCAAAAAGCTTTAAAATTATTTCTAAGCTTTAAAGCTTCAACTTTTAACATACAAAAATTCTGTTGATTAATTTTTATGTAAACATTTTCTCACAATTTGAGGTTTTGCTATAAATATTTAAATCAGAATCAATTCGATTGATTTGTTACACTTGTTTCAATTTAGAACATAAATCATAACAACGACGTCATTTATGTTCTTTCCATGTTAAAGAATTTTTTAATATAAAATTGAAGGTGAAAAATTTTACAACATTAATTAGAATGTAAAGCCATAAAATGTTGTTAAGAAAATTCTTCAAAGGTTACTAATTGTGAGTGCTATTTAAGCTTCGTAGATAATGTTTAACAAAATTACTTTGTGCTACGGAAATTATTCAAGGATAAGTATAATCGTCGTCTTATAATTAAATTTCTTAAAATATTCTCAATAACTCTTTGTGGATGTTTAAACTTTTAAGAAAGGGTGAAATAACAGAATTCAAAATCATCTTTAATTACATTTCTGCTGAATGGGAGATTATCGTTGAATGTTTTTAAACATTAATTAGTTTGTATAACAGTTTAGAATGGGAAAAGCGTCATTGATAATTTCAATTGATTGATTGATTATCGTCTGATCTCTGTTTATCAAAAGCAGGTCACAACAATGGAGAAATTGTAAGGAAGCTCATTAATTATTCATATAATACTAAAGATATCAGATATTTAAGTGTAATCATTTTCCTCATAAATTATTCATTAGGCAGCATCTTTCATTAATCTAAGAGTTTTCTTATAAATTAATCAGCTTCACTCTCTTCTTTATCGTGATTCTATTTTTAATAAATATGTTAATTTGATTCTACACATGAAGTGTGCTTCATATTAAAAGTTTTATATGAGATTAAAAGCGAGATGTTGATGTCGATCTTGAAGAAACTTTTCATGAAAAATTAGCATAAACATTAGGCGCGACATTGAAAATTTTAAATAGAAAAAATACGAGCAAGTAAAATCTCGATAGTCTGCACATATTTACTCGAGTTATTATTTTAAGTGTTGAGGGGCTTATTCTAGCTTTCACCTTTCTGAATTTATTTTTCCTTCACACTACATTACCCAACAGAGACTTGCTGTAAGCAATTAATTTAACAGATTAACCTTTACCCCGAAAAAAAAATCTTTTTTTGCTTATTTATTTCCCTCCTTTTGTTATATTTTTTTCCTGTTAACTCCATGAGTAATGAACTTCGCCTTCGAATTCTGAAAGCTAAGATGTTGTGGGAGTCGGAAGAAAGTTTTTTATCTTATTCTAAGTGGTGGCAAATAACAACATGCAGTTGACATAATTGTCCTGACAAAAAGCGAAACTTTTCTTAGTGCTTTTAGTTTTATCTCTTTAAGGCTCGATACTTCGTTCCTGTGTTATTTTGTTCATATTTTAATCTGAATACAAGAGCTTGAGAAAAGGGAAGGTTGTGGCTGAAAAGAAGAATGGAAATTTATATTCATACAATAAAAAACTTGATGCTTTAGAATTCCAACAAGTTGAACAACAACAAGAAGCATGCAGTCATATGAGAATAAATATTTTCATGGAATTCTTTTGCTACTTCAAATATTTTTCAGCTTTTTTCTTTGAGCAAATGAAGTAGAATCCCATTCATGGGATGCATGATGAGAATTATATGAAATTTTCAACTCTTGCGACGACTCCACGGAGTGAAACGTCCCAACGATAAAATGTGAATTATTTTTCCCTAGTGTTCGAATAAATTACAAAAGATATCAGACAATTTTTCCACATACAAACATGCAGAGTGCCATGAAGCGACAAAACCTTAGGCTTAATCGTAAGTTATTGTTCAAAAGCGCGTACTGCACACATTGAACATTATTTATTTATAAATTACATTAATTTGTGTTTGTTTTTCTATCTAAAGGTTCGCAAGTTAATGAAGAACATTTTCTTGCCATCAAGGCAAGCTTTTTGGAATTTTCTCAGAAGTAAGCATGTTACAAAAGTCATAATTCAATGATGAAAATGGTGAAAATCTCTCACAAACTTGTTGGTGCAAAAGAAAAACACAATCATGAATCTTTTTATGATGTAATAATAATTTTAATAATATAATTTATGTTCTGCATCATCTCCATCAAAAAGCAAAACGAAAAATTCATAAGCTATCAGTTATATGAATGGAGCTTCTACTCTTCATACCTATCAAGGTTGGGAGATTATGTTCGGCATAAAATACTTCGTTGAAGTGAACAGAAAAGAGAAGAAAACAGAAAATGTTGAAGTAAAAACACTTTCTTAGTAAGTAAGAAAGCACAGATGAAAGAGACATCTCAATCTGCTTTCATGATTCGACTTTTATATCTTAAATTCGCATCCATGAACATGACGATGAAGAAACTGCTTCTAAATACAAACTCAGGACATAAATGGAATGCGTTGCCATGTAAAAGATTTATGGAGAAGATTTTCGATGAAAACAAGTCTTCAATGCCATTCTGAGAAAGATGACAAGCATAAAGCTCCTAAAGCTTACTAAAAAAAACTTGAAGCTTTTTTAGGGAGTTTTTGACGTGACTTAGCATAAAATGAGCTTTTTCCTCAACGAGGCCTCTTTTGCGCTCGATTGAGTTATATAAATCGAACAAATAAAAAAAATCACATCATTATACATGATTTGAATGTTCAAAGTAAGATGAAATTGTGAAAATATCTGTAAAATGGAAATCATCGATGAATGAATGGTTTTCGTTTAAAATTCCTGCTAGCTTCAGAATGCAAAAATCTGCTTCGATTCAACATCGTAAGTTGTAATCAAATTAAATCTTTAATTCCAAACACGAAGGATAAGAAATGAAACATCATTAATTTTACTCCATTCAACACCCAAAAACCACATCATCAACACTAGAAACAGAAGCGTTTAGAATCATTAAAGATTTAAAAGCTTTTTCTCTTTCACTGTTTTTCCTTTATTTTTCTGCCGCAACATTCATGCCTTTAGGGAAGAAGATTTGATTTCCCTTTTTCTCCATCGATAAAAACTGGCAAAACCGACATTCATTAATCTTAATTCAGGGCTTCATTGCTATGGAAAAGTAAAAAAGAATCAAAAGGAGGATAAAGAAAGCAATTTTTTCCCTTTCTTTTGTACTTACTTGAGTTAAATGGATTTTTTCTCTTTTCAACATTTCAATTTTCAAATAAAAATTATTTTCCTAAATATTTACTCTTTGGTTTGTAAGAGGCTTCATAATGGAACCATAAAATTAGATGTAGGAAATGTTTCCGCAAATTTTTTTAAAAATGTTTCGTTCTTGACTGAAAATTCTTTGCTACTTGTAATCTCCATGACATTGCTAATCATCAAAATTGTGCTTCTATTTGATTCTTTGTTAAATTCTTTTCAACTTGAAAAAGGAGAAATTAAAATGTTTCGAAGCTTTTTTCTTCTTAAAGTGACATTTTTGTTTTTATATAAATTTTCCCAAAATGTAGAAAAGTCTGCAAAATGTCTCGTATGTAGATTTTTAGCTTGGTTGAAGATCTTTTCTTAAAGAAGACATTTATTTGATAAATAATCTTTATTGTTATTCTTTCTCATCTTTCCACCATTAAAGAAAAAGTTCTTATAAACATCCGGATTAAAAGAAAACAGCTTGAGGGTATGTAAAAGGAAAATTATTTTTCATCTGATTAAAAGTTGAAGGAGACATAATAAAATGTTTATTCTCTCATTAAGTGCTGTCCTGATGCATGTAGAGTCATGTTATTGGTCTCCAACAACGTCCAGTGTAAATCTCACCTTAACATTCACACACAGTGTAAATTTTCACATAAAATCGAGATAAATATTACAGAATTTCGGTACAACTTTTTTAACCAGGGGACATATTTTTGTTCTCTCAATTGAATTCTATTGAATTTTTATGCTTGCGAGGTTTCAACTGGAAGTATTTGTCTGTAATTTAGCTTCAAAAATGACTTCAAAAAGTTTCAGATTACCATTAGCTCAAGTATTGTTGACATTAATTGCATTTCTGCTGGTCTCCACAATGATGATACTGACAAATTTTGGTTTTCAACAATTTCTCGTGACTTTTAAAATGAGCAAAATCATCGACAGTCTTACTGGAATTATGTGAAAATAAACGATTTGAATCCTCAACTTTATTTATATTTAATACATTTTTTATTGCACAATAAAAAATTTAAATAATTTTTTTCTTAAGAAGCAAGAGAATAATTTAATTTAATTAAATAATTCTCGTAGCTTTTAATTTATTTGTAGAATTCCGTATTTAAAGTACATGAAGATGCCTGAAAAGATAAGAGAAAGTTTTCTGTTTGCATTGATATTCGTCTTGTCTTTCATTCTAAGCTGTCACGGCACAGCGTTGATTCCAAGGAATAAATTATTTTACAAAACCACAAAACCACCAAGGATTTCATGCATTCAAATGACAAAGAAGGAAATCATTTCAATGAAAGGTGAAATCATAAAATTCTATTTGATTTTCTTAAATTATTTGACAAACAATTATCAACATAGTTCTAAAATTTTCTTTGAAGAATGTTAACATTCTCATATTAATCACAACATTATTCAAGCAAACATTTATGACACTGAGAACAGCAGCGGTGCAGAATTTTCATATACATCAAATGTCAGTGGCATTGACAGGTCATTTGAATAGATCCATTATAATAATAAGTTCACTTCCCACTGTGACAAAACCTAATCTTCATCACTCTTTCTTAATCTTCTTTAAAACTTCATCAAAAAGCTCCCGTTGTTTATTCATTGTGGCACTGATTGGTGAAGATTGCAAGGATTTATCCTCCGGTAGCGATTCTGAATCTTTATAATCATCAACACTTGTTGTTTGTGAATCTGTCATGAGACTTGTCCGTGGCATTGGAACTGGGGTAATCAAACTTAATCTAGTGGGTGGAAGACTGAGAAGTTTCGCAAGCTTATCACGAAAAACTTCTTTATCGATTGATTCATCGTTGTCTTTGATAAAACTTTCAACTTTTTCTTCTTGCATTTCATTTTGTCTTAGATAAATTGGAACTTCTTCTTCATTTTCTTTCTTGGGGATTACCACTTTGACATCTTTGTCATTAAAAGTTCCATTTTCTTCAGTCTCATAAGCATCCAACATTAACTTAAAGTCAGGAGCGCTATTTGATTGTTTCAGATTGAATTTCTCTTTTGAATCAGATTTCTTCTTTTCCAATGTCTTCGATTGCACATTTGATGTTGTTTACTGATTTGATTTCGATATCAGATCATTTAGGTGTGCCAAGAACTTTTGATTTCTGAAAACATTCTCATCTGTGTCATCTTCAATATCTGTTTGAACTTCATTGAATTGTCTTTGTTCTTGAATTTCAGCAACCGTTGCCATTGCTTGTTTAATGATGTCATTAATTTCGTTTTCAATATCACTTTTATCGACATTGAGATCGAAAATCTCAAATTTTGTTGTGTTGTTTGATGAAACTTCTTCTGGTGATATGAGTTCAAAAACTTTTGTTGTCAAAACCGTCTGAGACGAAAAACAATTTTTTGTGTTGATTGATTGACTTGAGTCCCTTCGATCATTAGTTTCAGTCTCAGTAAAGTCATTTTCTTCGTCTTCTGCTTCCAAGACCGTGTCCAACATTTCAATCACTAAATTAGCTTCATTCTCTACATTTATTTTATTATTAATCATCCCATTGCTTATGCCAGATGTGCTGTTCGTGTTATACTTCTCTTGGACGATTATCACATCTTCAGTCTCACAGGTGCTTTTTACGGCAATACCTTCATTATTTTTATGTCTTCCATCACAATCTAATCCAATATTGCTTTCTATGATTGTTATAACATTATTAGAATTTTCCCGCATAATCTCATCAGACCATTGAGTTGTAGAATCACGTTTCGTGTTGTTGAAAAACCATGCACATGGAAAGTAAATGATTATACCTTTTTATGGTTTGTTAATTAGATTAAAAAAAAAATGGAAGGAAACATGTCAGAAACATTAAATTTTTCATGCTTATTATAAACATTCACTTTTACGTCAGTGTTCGTAATTGACAAACTCAATTAAATCAAAATATTTAAATTTTCTGCTGTCATTTTTATGAAAGAATTAATCAATAAATGTCATACTTTTTGAATAAAATTGACTTGTCAATTACGAACACTTACTACAACATTAAAACTTTACAAGAACCCAAAATCTCACGGATGGAAAATACGAAACAAGTAATCACCTAATACCATCCAAATTCCGAAACGTATCCACGTGTAGTAATCCAACATTAACATTAAATATATGTTAATGAATACGCTTACAGCTGGCAGGAAAGGTACGATGGGCACCTAAAAGTAGATTCAATTTAAAATATCTTCTTTTTCTCTTCCAATAAATAAACAACCTTAAATGGCTTTAAATGACTTCGAAATCTTTGTCGAGGTTGGATAGAAATGAGAATGCAAAACAAGATGAGAAAAGTGGAGAGAACAGCCACTGAAACCAACGCCCATGTCTCTCCGTTTCCGATTGCATCCCATGAATATAAAATAGTTAAACCCAAGGCAAATGACAACAAACAGTAGCACATAATCAACGATCCAACTACACACATTGAGATAGTGTTCGGATGACGAGAAGCATTCAATCGAATCATCTGCATGAGAAATCCTTTAGCTGTAATGTTGTAGCCAGGACGTAAGAGATTCGATGTTTCAACATGCCTTTCATTTGCTGTTATCAACTCAGTTGATTGTGAAAATCTGTTTAATTAAAATTGGCATTTAAAAGCATTGTTGACAAAAATTGAATTGTTCATTTGACCTCAGAATTATTATTGATATTGCAACAACTGTGTAAGCTAATAGTACTCCAATGGAAAGCATGCTGACTAAAGATGCGAGATCAAAAAGAGCGGAAAATGAGCTCGTTAGGAATGCTGCACATAAAGTTCCTATCACGGGTGTTTGAAATCGGTTCGAGATTATGCTGAACTCTCGAAACATTAAACCGTCTTGTGCCTTGAAAATAATAATTTAAATCAATAAAAGTTTAACAAACAACATAAACACCCACCATTGCATATAAAATTCTTGGCAATGGAAAAATTGCACCAAACAAGCTTAAAAGTAATCCAATTATTCCTCCTAATGTTACAATCCATTTGGACGTGTTCCATCCAATTTCCTGAAAGGCATGTGGAAGTGGAGCTTCCGAGTTCTGAAGAAAACAAAAAATTCAATCAATAATGAATTAATTTATGCATATAAATGGAATTTACCAAGAGATAATATGGCCACATAAGCGTTAGTAAAGAAACCCCAAAGTAAGCGATAAAAATAATCAGTAACGAGTATAAAAGTGCTCGAGGCACAGTCTTTTGAGGGTTGCGAACTTCTTCTCCCGTTGTAGCAATGCAATCAAATCCAACAAATCCAAAAAAGCAAGTTGCAGCTCCTTTTAAAGTGCCTGAAAAGCCAAATGGAAAGAATCCCCCTGTGCCTGCACTTGAATTATTATATTGTGGGGGAATTTCGTTTGGATCAATTTGCCAGTTTCGGATGTCTGCGTTGAAAAGAACAGCGACGACAACATACACAACAATCCCAAGATTCAAGATGCACAGAATGTTATTGATCCCAGCTGACTTTCTCAATCCAAATGCTAATGCAAATCCAATAAAAAGTGGACATCCAAAAGCAAAAAAATCGAAGTAACTCGAAAGAAAATCCCAAGAAATTGGAGCGATTTGCTTGAAAGAATTTTTCATTGAATCGTTTATTAAACTATCGATATACAAGCTGAGCCCTTTTGAAATGCTTGCCGCACCAATAATATATTCGAGGATGAGATTCCATCCAACAATAAATGCTAGAAATTCTCCTATTGCAACATATGTGAAAATGTAAGCGGAACCAGATTTCGGAACTCGAGATGAAAATTCAGCGTAGCACAAACCTTAATTGAAAATAATATATCAGACGATTGTATAACAAAAGCGATAAGTAATAATTTTGTGTACGTTACCAGCTAGAAATGACGCTGCAGCGGCAATTAAAAATGATACAATAACACTCGGACCAGCTTGATCTTTAGCTACGTGACCGGCTAGAACATAAACTCCCACGCCTAATGTCGCACTTACTCCTAAAGCTGTCAAGTCAAATGTCCCAAAACCTCTACCAAGTTTAGAATCTTCACATTCTTGTTGTGGCATCGGCTTTCGACGTGTCATAATCGTCCAGTAATTAACCTTCGACATTGTTTTTTTTTTCACTTAAATTTCTCTTAACTTATTCAGAGCTTCGATGATTCAACACTAAAAATCTCAAATTGTTTTTATTCTTCCACTCATAACAACTTATTACTGTTTAGGTACGAGATAAGATAAGCACTTAAGTGTGTGAATTGACATTGTTAATGGAATCTCACTTGCAAAGAAATTAATTTTATTTCCAAAAGAAACTTTTTACATTATCAACTCGAAATGAAATCGTTAAAAATTTTCGTGGCATGCACTTGAACCGTCTTTTCTCTCCTTCAATTTCACTTCCCTAAACTTACGAATCGTAAATAAATAATAAATTTATGTATAAAAAATTCCCATAATGATAATGAATGCTGACATACAAAGTACTCGAATTGTTTCTTTGCGAGTAAACAAGAACGTCAGTGATAAGGAAAAATGCGCAATCCAAGTTCCTATGAGAGAATGAACGCACATGAACATGCTTCCCTGTGAGTTTTCAATAGATTGATTTAGTTTTAATTGTAATTGTTTTCTTTTCCCTTCGCAAAGTGTCACATCTAACTTTCTTCGCCTTCATTTGCTTTCTCATTAGACGATCTTGACAATTAAAGCAAATCCGCCAAGGTCAATTATGACGACAATTTTTAATTACTTTTTTTGTTCATGATTCGTGATGTCTTATCTCATGCAAAGTGACTCAATCGTCAATGTATGTTAATGATTTGATTACAATCTATGAAATTTGAATGTCAGTTAAATTGTTTCAGGTACGAGAAGTTTCGTTTTTCACTTTAATTTCTTTTTAATTGACTTGTTTAAATTGGATTGTTATAAATGAATTGTTTGTAAACACAAATTGAACTGCAACTTCGAATCTACTTTAATTGCTTTCGATAGTTACAACAAAAAAATGTAATAAAAATAAAAAACGGAGATCAAAAATATCACGCGACAGTAGCTATAAAGAATGAAAATTGAAATCAAGAACGTGAGTTAACCGTCTGAACAGTGATAAGTTTCCACGAGAACTAAAATCATGATCAACTCAAAACGAACAATTTTTGCTGATTAGAAAAGCAAAAGCAGAAAAAATTTGCTCGCGATTACTCACAACAACATTTTCGCTATCAACTCTCTCAAAGATGTTCCTTTTTCACTTTGAGATGTTGTGACATTAGAGCGCTTATCAGCTAAACAAAAATTAATTAAGTGAGAAATTTTAATGAGACACTTCGTTGCTATTTGATGCACGAGAGAATTTTGATTAGTCAATAAATACATAAAAAACATTGATGTGAATCATTTGATTTATTCTTGAACTTAATGACACTGGCTTTGTTCCACTTAATGATCTATTTTAAACTTATAAACTGACTTCCATATATCGAAAAGACAAATCGTTGAATGAAATCGATAAAATATTGCAAGCGGCATTGAAACGTGCGTAATTATCACCCATGCCCACTGTCCAAAGAACTCCAAATGGGCTGGTCGAAAGCTTGCATGTCCTTTAATTAAAGTGTTGATGAACCACAACGAAATATTTGCTACAAGAAGAAAGGTCACGATTTGACGACCAGGCCTAAAAAGCAATTAAAATTATAAAAGTTTTTCTTTTATCGCCTTCGTGATTCTTCTTCATACTTTTCTCTAATTTGTTGTGAACCTTTACAACGTCTCCAACATGAATTCAGTATGAAAAGTGTTTGCAATGAAACTTGAAACAAACTTAAGGCTTCAGATATAAGAGCGTCTCGAGCACCTGTAAAGTGTTAAAAATGTTTTTTATTCGTCATTGATATTAAAAAGCTTTTATTTCTACCTGGTAAGTTGTCTTGAAGTGCAAACGAACTTCCCATAATGCTAAACATTCCGTAAACATAAACACCAATACCAGCCACAACAAGCAATGTGCAATCAAGTTTGATTGTGTCAGCATGATGATCTGAAAGGAAAAGTTAGAAATCTTTATGGATTTCAATTTTCTAGCATTTTCATACCCCCAGATTTCTTCTGATACTTTAAATCTCTCATTCTGAAAAATGCAACCAACACAGCGGTACTGCAAACAGTGTAGAGAATGATTTCATAATAAGTGACTTCAGTTATAGCCATGTGAACATAGTTCGGTGTGCCATATAAGACAAAATACATTATCAGGCAAATAATCGTCATGACAATTACAACGATGCCAGCAAACATTCCACGATGCGCTTTCGAACAATCTATCGAGAATTGATAGTCGTTCTTGACATTGAGACTTGCATGACTAGCCCTGACAGAGTTTCTTCGTGTTTTTGCAATCTCTGGAATTGAACGCACTTTCTTCCACATTTCAAAAAGAATCACTGCGCAAATCAGAGAATATTCGATAGTGCAGGGGAACAGGAAAGGAGAAGCGTTTTGTACAAGCGATCCCATGATGTTTGTACGTTGACAATCATGATATTTATCCGATGAACTAACAATTGAACGTTTAACAATGTTATGTTCATCAATGTTAGTGCTGTTGACTGAAATGTTTTGTGGGATGTGCTCGACAAAAGTATTTGCAATCATATTCTCATGAGTACGATGATCATTGCTTGCTCCATGATGTGAATGTGTCAAATGATAAATTTCATGTTTTGTTTCCTCTACTAAAGTATAAAGCCACTCGCAAAGATTTGTTGCGACCATATGCATCAAACCGAAACGTGAAATGACTTTATGTCGCCCCATATCCACTTCTGTTGTGTTTAGAACTGGAAATTTAATTTATTTACTTAAATTTTGAAGGAATGAGATTTAAAATACTCACAGATAAATTGCATTTGAACAATCGATAAAATCATTCTTCCAAGTGGAGTTAAAAGCATAAAAATCTTTGAAAGAATTTTTTTTATGATTGTGACAGTTCAAAAGAAAAGAAATATTTTAAAGCTTCTTACATTGCTGCAGTTATTCACATCATCGCCGCTTTTCAACTCAAAATATTGACCTAACTCAATACCCGAATAAACCATGTTCCCGATACCAAACGCAATGGCTCCAATTCTAAGATAAAAGCTTGCAAAGTGTGGAACACGTTTCTTAATTGGAACGTCGCTGTTCTTTTCATCTGCAGATGATTAATGAATCTTAATGATTTTTTATAACATTCTGAATAAAATTAATTTACTTACGATAACTTTTAATTATTGTTAATACAGCCTTGCTTTTCATTTGCGTAGCATAAACGAAAATAACGAAAATTATGCTTACAAGATACAAATACACATAAAATCCTTGATACATCTCTTGGGGGATTCGATTAGATAAGATTTCGGTAATAGGAAATGCTATGCCTAAAATAACAATCATTTTAGCATATAATGCTGATAATGCTGTTGAAAGAGCGTCACTGTTGAAGAAATTCAAATTAATTAAGAAAGAATTAAAAGAAACTTCGAAAAATTTCACGCACTCTCCAATTCGTCGATTTTTCCTCCGATTTTCAATAGCTTCTGGACTTTTTGCTCCAGTGTGATCGTTAGGATCGTCTGACTTTCCACGAAGTGTATTGATAACTGTCGCTGACCCTCGTCTTAATGTCGCCATTATTGCTGATGGTCTTCTAGTTGATAAAATTTCTTGCAGAAGCACTGAAGGTCTTCTTGAACTTGAACTATTCGTTTCTCCAAGGTTGTCATGTAATCTGTGATGATTTCCAGTATTTAAATGTGTGTTTGCTTTGGTATCTGACGCAATATGCGATGAAAAATCTTGATCTTCTGGATAATCTTCCAACAATTTTGCATTTTTCTCGTCAGTATTTTCAGCTTCCTCAACAATTGACAGTTCTCTTGTGAGTTTATTTGATTTATGATTCACATCGATGTCACTGAAATTTAATTTATTAAAACATTACATCTCAGACACACGAAGGTGGTTTTATATGAGATAACGAGTAATATGACTTTGCTCATGACTTCAGCGTTTAATTATCATTTAAAGTTGTAAACTGAATAAATGATAAGTTAAAAATAGACAATCAGTGGTCTACAATCACGTAGAAGTATCAAAAATATACCTGAATGCAAGCACATAAAAGAGCTAAAAATATTTCATGTTATCTGCCATTTTTACACAGGAAAGCATTCAATTTAACAATATCGGTAAGAGCTTTTTTTTATTATCAGTTTAACTACCTAACTTAAGCAAATCGGATGGAACTTACGTCGATAATCAATGTAGACAATAAACATACGACACTTAAAACATTTAAAAGAAGAAAAACTTCAAGTGCAGTTATAAAGAAAAATTGAATACAAGCAAATAAAATTAATTGAAATTATTTCAGATATTTCAACAATGGAAAGTGATTGAAAAATAGTTTCAATGACAAGAATTTAAATGAAAATATTATCACAGTTTTCATAAACATTTGCATTGTAGTTCTGTTGGCATTTACAAATTTCATATAGCTTGGGGGTGAAATCATAAATACGTCCGATTATTTGTATTTATGTTATCACTTAGATAGCTTAAATCACTGATGATTTGATAGTCAAATTCACTCAATTGACCACAGAACTATTTATTAATAAATCATCTCTGTCAGAACCTTACTCATTAGTAATATCTGGCATACGTTCCCAACAATTCATAAAGTGAGGCATTTAAAATGCAATTGTTAATATTTTTCTTGTTAAATTTATCACACATCAATCACTTCATAACAAATATTTTTGGCAAAACTTCCCGTCATAGGCTTCAAAGTAAACTGAACTTTACCAGGTGAACGATGGCTTTTAAATAAAACTTTTTTATATCAATTAAAAATACTAAATACACAATTTTTATCAAATCAATGAGGGCTGTCAGTCATAAAACCGTCTAGAAAAGTCTGATAAGTAACTAATACTTTTAAAATCTTATAATTGGAGATATTTAGCAATTTATTGATAAATTAAAATTTAATTTATGATAGATAATGGAAGGAATCAACGCATTTTAATTTATTAATTGAAAAATTAAAATTGCGAAAATTAGTTGAATAATTTTTAAAAGTAAGAACAAACATAAATTCATGTTTTACCCATTTTGCTTCCAATGATTATTATTGTTAAATGCCATGTATTTTGCATTAATTAGAGCATCTAATTGAGATGTTGATATTCCATTTCTTGTTTTGCTTGACATTATTTTACATATTCATCATTTCTTCACTGATTTAATAAAAGTTTTCTATTCCTTCGGTAATATTATATCTTCAATATGAAAGTTTCTTGTTCTTTTTTATCAATTTAATTTGATTTCCAAGTAACAACATCAAAGGAATCAAAACACTACACGATTTTGCAATATAGAGAAGAGAAGTTCATGTTGATCAAAGGAAACTTTTAAAGAATACGGAAAGAGAAAAACTGAAAGCTCTTGCAAAAAAGTGTTCTCCTTTTATACCAGTTTCAGTTCAACTGGCTCATTCTTTTAATGTTGAAAATGAAAAACTTTTTTCTCCAACCATTTTTAATCATTTACAATCTCAATCACTCTTTCGATTTGCTTTGTGGTAAAGATTATAAAATGTCATTTTTATCTTGAGTTAAAATACGAAACATGATAACAAAACCATTACCACTTTAATTGGATCGTTATTAGAAGATTTTATTAAAAATCTTTTTTGTATTAGTCTGTGGAAAGCAAACCACTAAGAAATGAGCGATTTTACTATTTAAATAAATATGAAGATTACAAAAAGTCTGTTCCTTGATGTTCATAATGATATAAAAGAAGCAAACTATTGCGATAGTTAAAAAGTCTTATGATTTCATCACGTGTTTAACGTCATGATGTTGTTTCAAAATAAAATCTATTTTAAGATGTTCTTGCACATGTTAACAAGCTTGTTAACTTGACAAGTTTTCTCAACTTTTATCACCAATTGAAAGTTACCTGAATGTGACTGACGGTCGTCTAAGTTGATTATTGAAGTATTTACTCATTATGCAGATAGATCTGGAAGTCGACTAGAAGTAGAAAGGATTTATTAAGAAAATGTTAAAGATTCTCTTCACATACATATGACGAATTTTCAGTCGACTTTTAAGACTTCCAAATATTGTGTTGGGATTGGAAGTTGTAATTATTGTCAGTCTTACAACATCTGACTTCACTAAGATTGTCTGGCAGGGAATAAACTCAAGTAGCAAGAGCTTAATATTTGCATAAGATAAGAAAAAGAGACAAAGTTGCACGTTTTCTCATTCATAATGTCAAGAACGATATCAAGTTCTAAGGAAATTTAAGTCGAAAATTCTTGTTTTGGTGAAAATTTCGAGAAAAATCAAAACAAACATCAAAGTTTTGATATTTACGATAATGCATTAGAGTTGTGAGTGCTTGTTCAAAATAAAAAAGTGATTAATCATTTGTTTATGATGTTTCGCCGAAAAATTGATCAGTCTGTTGCCATCACTCATTTTTTTTATCGGTTAAGAACTCAAAATATAAATTCGACTATTTCGTTCACATGAATTTGCAACTGAAGAAGTTTGCGAATGTTTCTCTAAGAATTTGAATGGAAACAAATTCCTTAAACATTTTCTTCCTCATTACACATTATAAATGTTCCAGAAATATCCAGAAATATTAAACTAAAATTAACTAGCCAAATAGTATCATTCCACCAATCGACTTTACTTTATCAAATGAATATTGATAATTGATTATTAATTGATTTTTAATTTCGAAAGCCACTTCTCCAGAATGAATCAATCAACGACTTATCAACAATCAATTAATTATTTCTGGAAGCTTATTATGTAAGCTTTCATGTATAGATTTAATCACTTAAGGATCTTATTACAGTAGCATTGGAAAAATTGTTTGAAATAACTTTGTTGATACTCAATTACATTTCAAGTAGTCGCACGATTAAAAACCAATAAATTCGGTGATAACTGAAAAATCAATTTTGAAGTGTTACCAGCACGTGAATAAACGAAACGATAAGAACTTTTGTAAGATTCTCGTAAAACTAAAATAATGGCAAGTCTTACCTGCTTAAAATCTCTACAAAGACTAGCGTAAAAAAGTTTTTAAACAAAATATATTTGAAAAAGAAGAATAGTTATCTGCTTGATTGACTTGACAATGAGATAATTTCTCTTCTTATCACTGCTTAGATTTTATCATTGCCTCCATAAATTGTTTTCACATGTATTGTGAATTTGTTTTGACTCATCCATTGTTAGACGCAAGACTCGATGTGTGTGATTTGTTTTTTGTTATTCTCCCGAAGGCGGGACATGCATAAACTATAAAAACAAATTATTTGCCTTGTTTTGTAAATATCTAATATTTATAAAACTTTTCAATTAGAAAGAAGAGTAAAAATAGAAATAAAGATAAGACTAGCTTCCGGGGAATATTATGAAGCAATAAAAATGTTTAAAGGTATAATAAAACAAGTTTAAAGAATTTCCTAGCAAACAATCATAATTAACCTTATACTCAATTAAAATGCGGAAACTTCTCATTTACTCGACTATCTCCATATTTCCATTATGAAACTAGAAAATAATAAAAAGGAAAGAAAGCGAAACTTCCCAGCTTCCCTTTATAAAGCACAACTTTTTTCCTTTATTTCTTTCCTTTGTTCAAAACAATTCAAATGTTAATTCATGGAAAAAGGTAAATTTCTTCTTTTGCCTTAATACTTATTCAGAATGACATTATCCATCTTTATGAAAATGTTCTCGTTTACTTTGAAAGTTTTATTCTTCATGTTGAAGCAATTTGCTTAACTAAACTCCAAAGCTTTTATCAAATATTGTCTCATGGTATTTTCACAAGTTTCTTTTATAGTTTGAATATTTAATCCCGATAATACTTATGTGGAAGGAAACAAATCTCTTATTAATTCCACGTCTCAACCATAAATATTTATGCTCGTGATGCATAGAATTTGCATATCAATAAGGATAATTGACATGAGTTCGTCAAAGTTTATTTATAAATATGATTTATGAAGTTTACGTGTAGTTAAATCTAATTATAAACTTATTAAAAGTTTTTCTTGATGCTCTATGTTTGTTTATGAATTAAAAATTAAACTTTATAAAGAACCTGCAACATAAACTTTATTAGAACATTTAACGTTATCTTGTTAATTTTAATCTTCATTTTCTTATTAAAACATGAATGAATAGAACACGAAACATGAACATCTACAAGCTAGATTTTCATTTTAAAACAGATTCAGTTTTCTTTCTCGTATCTTGAAAGTTGAAACACTAAATGAAAGTTTTCTAAGCTTTGAGTTTTATGTTTTAGAAAAAGGAGATTAAATCTACATTATAAAAGTTAAGTTGCACGAACAAGAAAATCATTTTCAAGTATAAAATTTTTGTTTCAATCTAAACACTTAAAATGCACATTTCAGAAAATTCAACAATCTCATTGAACGAGTAAACATTTTGAACACAATGCACAAAGCTTTGCAAACCAAACAAACATAAAAGAAACAAATCCCCAAACAATCAATGCTTGGAGAATATTTTGCAGCATCATTCAATAACAAAACATCTTTGTTTTCATTTCAATTTAGCATCAACATGAATAGACTGACGGTCTTAACATTTGCATCTCTTTGAAGAAATCAATTTGCTTTAGCGATTCATAAGCTTCGAAAATTCTCTTTATAAATATATTTGTGGTGTGAAACTCGAAAATGAAATTTTATTGCACGTTTCAGATTGAAACCAATGCATTCATGTGAATACTATTTAGAGAATTTCAATGATTGAGAGTATCGAAGTATAAAACGCGCTCACCAGGATTTACTAAAAACCTGTAAATTGATTATTGGTTGAAAACCTGCGAAATGAAAACTGCAATCAACAAAAAATGCAAATACCTAACTGTTTTCATCAGAATCAATTTGTTCAGTGATTCTGCACCCAATTTTGTCACAGCAAACATTCAACAAAAGTTAAAGCTTTCTGAAACTTGCGACTTCAACTTGTAGAAATTCAACAGGAAAAAAGCATTGACTAGCGATTCATTATAGAGGAAAAGTATTAAAACGTTCATTAAATTGGAATTGATTCTCAGAAATATTATTTGAGATCGTTTCAATTATTGAAATTTTCCAATCGTCATTAAAATCTTCACTTGAATTTTTTTTTATTACAATTTTTCATTGCATTGAAATGGTCAATTCTTGATTATGAAAAACAATAAATTAAAATTCTTTTGAATGCTTTCCAATCATACGCTATTTAAAAAGCTTCATCATTTACTTATGAACAAATCAGCACACTTTAAAGCTTCAAAAAATTCAATTTGATATTTATTAATAAATTATTTTAGGGATTTAGAAAATTATGTGAGCGACAAGGTTCAGAGTGAATAAATCAATAACCAGAATGCTTGGAAACCACAGGAAACTTCTACCCTTTTTGATTTTGCTTAAATTTTCTAATTCCTTTTCCCCTTTTATTTTCCTAGTTTTCCTTTACTGTCGCTGAAGAACGTGAGAAAAAAAAATCAAATTCACAGATGAGGATATTATGTATTGTGGTTTCTTCGTTAAGGCTTTAAGGAACATCTATACGATAATTGACGAGACGTGAAGAAGCTTAATTTAAATTACTTTCATGTTAATTAAATATTTATTGGCATGTAGCGTTAATATCTTAGATAGGAGAAATATTTGATAACAGAAAATTTATATGTTCCATTGTGGAAGGTATTACAGTTTTCTCAGAAAAATAATACCGGATTTTGTGTTTTCTGACATCATGTCTAGAAAATTAGAATAGAAACATGATTGAGAAGTTCTATGTTAAAAATAGATAGAAACATAAGAACATCATAAGCTTGTTTTGTTGCCAATTATCAATCTCTCTGCTCAATTTCACTTTATTTATTAAAATTTCAAAATTTAATCAGAAATAAATAAATAAAAGTCAATTTTTTGTCTTCTGTAAGCGTATAAAGTTGTTGAAGTGAGTATGATTTATGATGTTATCGCAGAATAATTTTATTATGAACATTTCATGAAAAACTTCACTTCGGAAAATGTTGTGCATTTTTCTCTCGAGTCCATCTCCAACATCGTTCAATATAAAAGATTTTTTAACAAAAATTTTCCAACGTTTCATACAATGTCAGTGAATAAACATGACGAAGTGACATCATCGATTTTTTTATTAAAGTCTGTAAAATGAATGATGCATTTCTGATTACACTATGTTCATGTTGTGTCAACGCTGAGAAATTATAAATTGCTATGAGTGTTCAAATGACGATAACTAAATTTTTATACAGATTTCAGGAACAAAGTGTATGACGAAAATAAATCATTATTAACTTATAATAAATTTTAAGTCGATTAGCTATGTGTTAGCCATTTATTAACTGCAACCACACTGTCCTGAATATTTATGTATGAATATATTTTATGTCAAGTCGTTTTTTAATTTTATAGTTAGGTTGGATTTATTTGTCACCATTTAATTACAATCCCAATTATGTTTGGTGACATGAAACAAAATAGTTATTTACACAACAAATGCGAAAAACAATAAATGTCGACTATAAATATAAATTTGCAGTTTAATGAATTGGATGAAGTTAGTGTCATAAACTCGATGTTAAAATATTTTATTTGCCAATTAAAAAGATATTCATATGACAATAAAATAAGCTCTTGGAGATTTAATAGTTAGATATATTTTTCATGATTCCAATATTTCTGAATCATTTAATTTTTTAATTAAAAGTTATGTTAAGTAGCCGTAAACATGTAAATTATTCATTAATCTTACCTATAGATTTTCTGCTATCAAAGAAAAAAAATATGTTGTAAAATTTAACGGAAAATAATTATTCAAAAATATGTTTTCGCAATTGCGCAAATTTTCGAAAAAGAAGAAAACATTCGAAGATAGCGAAAAAAAACTTTAAGTGTAAAAAAATCTGCCACAATTAATAGGAAATAAGTTAGTAATAGGAAGTGAAAGGCTCAAAAAACATTAAATATTGGTTGGGAGAATCGCAAATCAACTGCACATCATGGATAAAAAGGCAAAGAACGCGGTATGTCAAGATATAAAAGAAATTTAAAAAATTAGAAAAAATTATCGATCGATTTTTCTTTTCCGAGAGCTTTTAAAAAATTTTCTCCTTCACAACAAAAATAACAAAATGATCTCATCTTGTCTTTATTTCTTTTTCTTTCAATTAGGCAATACGTAATGAATGCGTGCAGGTGATTGTGAGATGTCGACCATTAAGCAATAAAGAAAAGGCGGGAGCGTATCAGCAAGTCGTCGAAGTTTACCCGAATCGAGGTGTGATTGAAATTCTGAATCCAACAGAAACAACAAGAGAAAATAAAAAGATGTTCACATATGATGCTGTTTACAATGCAATCTCAACACAACAAAATATTTACGATGAAGTTATAAGACCATTGGTGTCATCTGTCCTTGAAGGATTTAACGGCTGCGTATTTGGTAAGAGATTAAACAATATTAATTATTTGACTATGATAATTAATGAGTATATTTTCAGCGTATGGTCAAACTGGAACGGGTAAGACATTTACAATGGAGGGAACGAGAGAAAGTCCCGAACAAAAGGGAATCATTCCTCGTACATTCGAACAAATCTGGTCGCACATCAATCGTACACAAAACATGAATTTTCTTGTCGCTGTTTCATATCTTGAAATTTACATGGAAGAGTTGAGAGATTTGCTTAAGCCTGGAAATAATCATTTAGAGTTACGTGAACGTGACAATGGAATTTACGTCCCAAATTTACATTCCGTGTTATGTAAAAGTGTTGATGAAATGCTCAAAGTGATGAATATGGGAAACAAGAATCGAACTGTTGGTTTCACTAATATGAATGAGCACAGTTCAAGATCTCATGCCGTTTTTCTCATAAAGATTGAAATGTGCGATGTTGACAGCACAGCAGTGAAAGTTGGTTGTTTAAATCTCGTCGATTTAGCGGGATCAGAAAGACAAAGTAAGTCTGGCGCAACAGCGGAACGATTGAAAGAAGCAAGTAAGATAAATCGAGCTTTGTCTTCATTGGGAAATGTCATCAGTGCATTGGCTGAGAAGTCACCTCATGTTCCATATCGAGATTCAAAGCTTACACGCCTTCTACAAGATTCCCTCGGTGGTAATTCAAAGACAATTATGATTGCGAATATTGGACCGTCAGAGTATAATTATAATGAAACATTGACAACACTTCGTTATGCACATCGAGCGAAAACAATTCAAAACAAACCAGTTAAAAACGAAGACCCACAAGATACTCAACTTCGCGAATATCAAGAAGAAATTGCGCGTCTTAAGAAACTTATCACTGAGCGACAGTCTAAAGAGAAGCCAATTCCGAAACGTAAGAAAACTGCGAGAATTCGTAAAACTTCTGAATCAGAAAAATCAGAATCGGAAGAAGAAGAAATTGACGATTCGATAAGTGAAAAGCAACAGATTCAAGCACTTGATGCTGAGGCAATTCAAGCAATTGAACGTGAAAAAGAAGTCACAAATGAATTAGCGAGTAAACTTCAAGAACTTGAGGGTCAGTTGATTCGAGGTGGTAAAAACATTCTCGACACTTATACAGAACGACAAATGGAGTTGGAAAACAAATTATCAGAAATTGCTGAGAGAAAAAAACGTGAAGTTGAAATGCAACAACAATTGGAATTGCAAGAAGAAACGACAACAGAAATTCGTGAAACTTTTACATCACTTCAACAAGAAGCTGAGTTGAAAACACGCAAATTAAAGAAATGTTATGCAAAATGTATGGCATTGAAACAGGAAATTCAAGACACAAAAGAAGAGCACAATCGTGATCGACGTGAACTGGAAATGACGCAAAATGAATTGATTAAGGAGCTTAAGAGATTGTTGTTGATTATCGATAATTTTGTTCCATTGGAAGTGAAGTCGCGTCTTTACACTCAAGCACATTACGATGAAGAACTTGAAGAGTGGAATATTAATGGAAATCTTCTCAATGAGAATCAATTTAAGTCACGTCCAGTTGCACATTCACAGAATCGTCGACCAATGTCGGAATATGCTTTAAATTCAATTAAATCAAATGTTGGAAATGTTGTGAGATTTAAGAATGAAAATATTGTCAATCATGAACTTGATATGCCGCTAAGAACGACTTATGAGTATAAAAACCCGAAAGTTTCCGCAAGTCTTCAAGCAGTGCTTGCTGAAGCGATGAAAACTGAAGACGACATTGACATAACTGAACAGGTTTGTCATTTAATTAGATAATTGTTTCTTTCATTTCAATTTTTCTTTCTTTGTCTTTAGTCTTATGCAAGTCAAATGAAAGCTCGATTAAATCGAATTACAAATCCACAACCACAAGAGCCTCAAGTCAATGCAAGAAACAATGGCCCTATGAGAGTCCGAACTGCATCGGAGGCACGACCGAGTCTAGTCGAAACAAAGAAAGCTCAATCAGCTGTCAAGCATTATCCAAAAACACGAGGATTGATTCCAAAATAAGAAGAGTTCCTCATTTAAGTTTCGTATAAATTAATGTCCTAATCATGAATTTGCATCATTTTGTCATGTCGCAATAACATTGCCGCTTGCCTTCCTTTCACCTAAACACATACACAGCATTTAGAGTTCATCATCCCACTGAGATTTTTCACCGATTCATAACTTAAGAAATCTTATTGTGCAATTTTTGATGCTAATCAAGAAAGAATGAAAATTTGCCAGCAACTTCATCACGGAAGATTCCAAACACACATTGGCTGTAAGTTTTTTTGTTGTTGATGTTGCAAGCGATGGAGAATGAAAGAAAAGTCAAATTAACTTAACATTTAAGTTTCTTTATTTATTGTGATTTTTTTCACTCTTTCGTTCATTTCATTTTAATTTATTTACTTAACGATGGTTGTTGAAAGTTTTAATTTTAGTCAGCTTATTTAAAAATACAAAATGATAATCTTCACTTCTAAGTTAACGATTATGAATTTTAAATTATGATTTATGCAATATTAATTGATAAGAATGAAATGGCTATAAAGAAGATTTATTAAGCTTTTTTAGCTTAGAATATTTATTAATTGTAATCGAAATAAAAGAAATTATGTAAACATTAATGTTTAGTAGCAAAGAAAAATATTTTTTGTCGTATCTATAAATCAAACATTTGTAAATTGAATTCAATGCTTTCAGCAAAATTCGAGAATAAATAAAAAAGATTGTCGTTTAAATATTTATTGGATACGACATCTATCAAATACCTAATTATCTATGTGTTTAGTCAGAACAGCTGAGTTTGTTATACATGTCTGATGGTAGTTTACAGGGCAACCTTTCTGGGTGAACGAACAGATTGCGAGATTGCTGATTGTTAGTTGCAGCATTATTACCAACTTGTTAGAAGGCTTCATTTCGCATGTCATGCTACTGAAATTTAATAAACTTTCAAGAAATGAATAAACTTGTTAAGACAAAAGAAGGAAGGAAAAAATGTCAAGAAGACTTTAATCTCGTTCAACAACTTTCGTTAATCAATCAAAATAATGGTTCGACAATTTGAACATTCACTGTAGAGAAAAAGAAAACATTGAGCAGAACGAGTTTCGTTTTCTCTGCAAACATTTAAAATAATTTTATTCTAATTGAAAATACTCTCAGTTCTTGTGAAAACTACGCCAACTACGGATGGGAAAAAACTTTGGTACAGAATAAAATTGAAGTTTAGTTGATTTTCCGAAAAGTTTTGAGGTTTTACAATAAAAAATGAATTTCGCTTCAAAATCTTTGAGAATAACTTTTAATATTGCAACACGTCAGAGTGAATTAAAAACGTGGAATGGAGGAAAATCATATTTTCCAGCAATCTGCAGAAGCTTTGGAGCGAGAAACTTTTCTCAACTTCACTCAAAATCAGTAAGTAAAAGTATTATATGAATAAGAGCGGATAATGGATTCTAAATTAATTTAAAGTAGCATTGAAAAAATGACGTTATATTTCTTGTTTTGCTTTGTTTAAATTCAATTAAAATAGAAATCTAGAATAGTAATGAGTGTAATTAGAACAGAATTATAGTTGCAGCACAAATTGCATTAAAATGCAAGAAGTTAGCAAATATGTGTAAAAGTTTTCGAACATCATGAATGTGTGCGTGAGAAAATGTTCGAAAATTTATTTTTCTTTGCAAAATCAGTGACTACCAAAGATTTTAATTCTAAAGCCCGTGATAAGTAAACAAAGTATGAAAATGTGTGACTTCAGGAAAAAATAACAACATCTGTTGCGGTACGGACACCGGATTAGTGACTTGCGATAAAACATAATAGTTTGATAAGAAAAAGTTAGACAAGAACTAAATCTATTTAATATTTATTTATAAATTAAAAAATCGATAAGAGAATTAAAATTTAATCTTTATTTGACTCCAATTGTAGAGTACTTCGCCTTCGGTGTTTTGTCAATCAAAAACCGACTTACTACCAGCAACAGTACCAGCTTCCATCATGGTTAAGCGTTACATGTCCGTACAAGAACTAACCAAGAATCTTTATCTCTTCACCGAACATGAAAGAAAGTTTGAAAAAGATTCAAAAACCTTGAGGTGAGTAATTAGAGTGACCTTCAATTAGATATTTGGGTAAATAAATGAACTTGACATTGACGTAGGTTGAAACAAGATGTGGATGATAAGCCGTTGGTCGTCATTCTTTCCTGGTTGCAATCAAAACAAACACATTTATCGAAGTTTGCAAAGCTTTACATGGATCAAGGATTTGATGTTTTGGTTGCACAAATAAGACCTTGGCAGCTCCTTTGGCCAGTAAAAGGAAGTCAAGTGAGTTGAATTTGGTAAAGAAAATTTCGGTTATTAAATATTTAATTGAATTCCAGCAAGTTGCTTTGGACATTGTCAACTTCATGGCTAATAATGATAATTATAAACAAATGGTATTACATGGATTCTCTGTTGGTGGCTACATGTGGGGTGAATGTCTTATGCAAATGGACAAGGATCGTGAACGTTATCAAACCGTCCTCGATCGAATTATTGGACAAGTTTGGGATTCTGCTGCTGACATTACTGAAATTCCAGTTGGAGTACCAAAAGCTTTATTCCCACGCAATCCAAAGCTGCAATCAGCTTTAAGAAATTATATGTTGTATCATTTAAAGACATTCCAAGAAGCTGCAACTCAACATTATGTGAGATCATCGCAATTATTTCATATTAATTATTGTCATGCACCAGCATTGTTTTTCGTGTCGAAAACTGATCCCGTTGGTGCTGAAGCATCGAATCGTCGTGTTGCCGACTCGTGGATCTCCAATGGTGTGAATGTCACATGGAAATGCTTTGATAAGTCGCCTCATGTTGGCCATTTTATTAAACATCGGGAGGAGTACCTGAACTCATTATTTGAACATCTTCGATCAATTAACATGGTTAAATATCCCGAATTAATGCGAGCGAAATTGTAACGTACTCAAAAGTTATCATAACTTGTGATTTAATTTTAATTCATTTTTTTATTTTTTTGGGTTTTTGAGAAACTATGAATTTTATTCTTGACATATAATTCGAACAAACATACAAAATAAATGATTTGTATCTCAAGCTTATGTAATGACAAATTAAAAGAAAATAAAGGAAACTTTGTGATCTTTATGATTTTTATTTGAAATCTCGTTTTTTTCATATCAGGTTGTGAATGTTGCATGGGAGTGAAGATGGTAATTGACAATTTAAATCTAATTAATTTATAATTAGTAAATAGATATAGTTATTTTAATTGATCAATTAATTGTCAAGTGAATTAAAATAACAGAACCAAAAGAAGCCGATTTATGTCAATTAACTGATTTTGTCAATTAACTTCCATAAATGAGTGAGAGTACCGAGCTACATTTAAAAGTGAAACTTCTTTTAATATGTTTGCAAAACATTCTCTCCCGCAGATAAAATTTGCACCATATGTAGCAATTTATGTAGCTCATAAAGAGACAACAAGTAACTGACTTTAATTAAGTGTTCTAAAAATTTCTTTTATTTAATATCAATGATAATTAATGCTTTACAAATGATGGAAACTTAAGCAATTAAACTCATTGATTTCAACATCAACCAAACGTTTCACAGCTTGAGCAATGAAGAGGATAAGCTTATCTTGTTTCATAGGTCAGTTACTTTGTTTGATGTTGTTCTTTCTTTTTAACTGGCACACTTTGATGTACATAAATACATTTCTATAAGTATGTTTAATTCATAACCCAGTAAATGAAATTTGTTTTATTCGTTTTTAACTTTGCGAACCTTTAAAACGATTGCCGACCTATTTTGGAGAAAGTTTTTATATTTTATGAGACAACTCCCGAACGTAATTTATGTAATTAAGTTTTCTAACATCACAGAGCATTCAATTTTATATTATTTTTGTGTGCCGTGCCATTCTTTTAAAAAAACACATAAATGATTATAAGACGACAAAAGAAGTTTTTTCTAATTATTCTCTTCAATTTCTGACGAAAACTAATATCAAGTTTGCTTTGCAGTTTAATGAAATTAAATCTAACATTTAATTTTAATCACCTTTGTTCCGATCAGCTCAGGTGGAAATAAAAATTGCAAAACTCTCAATGCAATGTTAAAATTGTTAATTAAAGAAATAAATTTTCTAACACGTTTATTGACATTGCGACATCGCTCTGGGAGATTCTAAACATTAATATTATTTCCCATCAAACATTAATTAATTAAAGAACATCATTCGATGTATTCAGATATGTGTTTGAAAATTAAAACATGAGCTGCGATGGTAATAAAACAAGCAAATGTTTAATCATATCTTTAGCATCTTAAAGCACAAATGACATAAAGCTAAATTTATATTTTATTCCAATATGATATGAGATGGAGAAAAATCTAAACAGAAAGTTAAGAAATCAGTGATGAATGAAATGTGTAAGCAGATTTGTTTTTCTATTTATTCTGTGAACGACTTTGATAAATATCTCAAGAATATCATCGACAGTGAAAAGCTCGTTTCATTTTCATTTGAATTTCAATTTATTATAAAAAGCCGGTTGAACGTCAGCATACCACCCAACATCTTCTTTGTAATTTATTATTGGCGCATCCCGACAAGTCAACCAATAAGTTTCCATTAATCCTTTTCCCTAGAAATAAAATTATGCAACTTGAACGTTTAATTGATAATAATAAAAAAAGATCTACCTTGACGTCGATGAGACCTCGTGCTTCAGTCTTAAACCCACCAATTAGTTGCCTTGATTTTATTGGATTAAGAAAACATGCAAAATTGACTCTTTGAAGAAAAAGGAATTTCATAAAAACTCACAACTCATCGTTGACTTCTGAAGTGATGTGAATTTTAGAAGCTGTAGGTGAAAAATAAATATTTACGCTTCAGAAAACTTTCATGGATGACTGTTCATAATTTTACCTTCTCCTGTTGATTCCATTCTGCTTGCGACGTTTATCGTATCGCCTGTTAATGTTTAACTTATAACTTTAAAAATGTTTGAGAGTTCAAAGAAGTTTTTAAATTTACCAAACAAGCAATATCGTGGCATTTTCGTTCCAACAATTCCTAAAAGAAGTTTAAGGAAAGAATTTATAAGAAATTTTCATATTTATTAGATATTTATAAGCTTTACCAGCACCAACACTTCCTGTATGTATCCCACTTCGTATTTGAATTTTCTCGTTTTTCGAATGTGGAACTTTGAAATAACTCGACGCATGCAGTAAATCTAAAGCCATTGTTGATATTTCCGACACGTGTTTCTTCACATCACTTCGTTCAGGTATACCGCTGGCAACCTAAGAGATGCATTCAAACTCTTTCATAATTGGATTCATGGAATTTGGACTAATCATGAAAATTAAACTTACCATGTAAGCATCACCGCATGTTTCCACCTTGTAAACATCATAACATTCGATTCGCTCATCAAACATCTTGTAGATGGAATTAAGGAAAGAACAAACTTCCAGTGGAGAGCAAGTCGAAGCAATTTCAGTAAAACCAACGATGTCGGAGAAGTAAACAGTAACTGATTCAAAGAATTCAGCTGGAACCTGTTGAAAATATTATTAATTAGATTTGCTAATTGGAATAAAAGTTTTCATGGGAAGATTAATAACATACTCGGCCAGTTTGTTTTAATCGAATTGCAACACTTGATGGAAGCATTTGAAATAATAATGCGTCGCTTTTCTGTTGCTCAAGTTTCAATTCTCTCGCTTTCTCCACGAGATTCAATGAATAAAGCTGGCGGGAAGATAATAAATTAGATAGTTAGACGAATGTAAGCAATCTAAATTAATCTTTAATTATTGTATTGTCACCTGAATGGTTGCGACCACATTCTTCACGAGTATTATAATTATAGGAGAAACAATCAACACTGTAACAAGAATTGCTATTCCAATCGCTTCTTTATCGAGTGCTTCCTTCAACAGCATTTGAACTTCATCTCTATTGATTAGCATTGACATCATATTGAACAAACAAACATTTTATTTTGAATACCTGATTCGCAATCTTAAACTCATGTGAAGATTCCTTAACCCTTCAATATAAGATGTCATCGATTCATAATATTTGATTGCGTTTTCAATGCTGGCATTGATTTTCTTATTCATCATTATCGTTTTACTCCTTCGAAATTATTTGAATATTTAATAAAATAAATAATTTTAGGGAAATGAGAAGCAAACAAACCGATTTTTGATGCTTCCGTATTCACGGAAATTTGTAAGATTTTTATATTGGTCTTTTAAATACGGAACAATATTCAATGAAGTGTTCAACAAATCCTTTCCCAGAGTATCATATTTGATAAAATTGACATAAGGTTCAGGAGCAAGATGACCCCGTCCGAAGTAGCTTATTCCGTAAACTGCAGACACTCCAATGTTCTCGATACTTCGAATAAGGTTTTTAAATCCAATTAAGAATCTAACGAGAAACGGAGGAAAAAGATGACAAACAGTTTCCATCTGTTATGTGGAACGATTTTGATGGTTTCAACCAAGCACCGACACTCACCGCCATATTCCGCTTTTGTCTGACTCTTTGATGTGTTTTGTCAAGTGATCAAGCATCGCATTATTGACAGCCATATACCACAACATCGCCTATCGAATGTCATAAAAGATTAATGACTCATCAATCAAATGCACACACGATGGAGATAGTAAGCAGTTATGTACCTCAAAAACTGTATTGTTATTTTCTTCGGAATGTATTTGTGTACGAAAATCATTTAATCTCATCTGGAAGCTCGTTTTATTAAGCATCACTTCGCCTTCATCGTCACTACCGTTTGGCGACGCCGGAATAATTATTTCTGTCCATGTTGTCATATTATCTATCGCTTCATCGGTAGTCGCATAGCGTTGTGTCAAATTTGATTTTAGCATGCTTCCGTTTGTGTAAATGTAGAAAGCAACTTCACCTCTTTCCAATTGTAAATGTGTCACCATTTTTCCTAAATCGGTTGCAGTAACGACCTTTAAGATGTGATTCACGAATTTAAATAGATGAATGATGGTTGGGGTGGGTTGGGGATGGAATACATTAAAAAGGAAAAATTTCATTCATAAATTTATTAACGAAAAAGAAAAAAGGAATTAAATCCCTTTTTTCATTGATCAAGCACAAAATAGTGTTTACTTGCGTCTCAATATCATTGACCTCGCTACGATATTGGAGAATGTCGTAAAGGGAGAAAGATGTTTGGATGAGAAGGGCCAGTATTGGGATGAAGGGTAGCGTTATCATCTGCGAAGATATTTGACACGGAATGGAAAATTTGGAGATATTTTAATAAGCATTAATGGTGTTTGTTCTTGATTTCAATATTTGATATTCACTTTAAATAACTGCATTTGACGGTCTTGCTTTACAGATGAATTTTGCGAATGGAAGCCAAAGCAACATGTGGATTTCTTCGCTATCCTTGATTCATCACAATTTGAATTAATTGAATCATTATCTGTAACATTTAATTTCTTTGTTTTGTCGAAAATTGAGATATTTAAAACTTAAGCTCACCTTTCAAGTTCAAGGCCATTTTTAAAAACATTTAGTTTAAAATTGTAAAAGTTTTAAGAATTAAAATTTATTTTTATATTTTCTAGCAAAACACTTGATTCATTAATCGAAAGAATTATTTGTTTGCTTCTTTCCTTATTTTCTTTCGATGTCACTGGTTTTATTATGACAAGACAAAAATACTTTTATTTATTTCATCTTCTGTTTTTTAATCCTTTTCCAAAATTTTTTCACAAATCTTTAATTTATTAAATTTCAGGATATCTTAATGTTATTGTTTCACATGAACTCACATTTAATTTACTATATTAATTATCCAAAAATATGTTATTGAAGATTCAACGGATGCTTTTTGTAAGTTCTGAATCAAACGATCATAAAACACGAACTGGAGGAAATTTATTAACAACATTCGAACTTATATCCTTTTTCACTTCGTGACTGCATGCACGAGTTGGTAAGATTATTGATTGTGCGCAGTCTTGTTTAGGATGATTATTTTTTGTGTCTTTTAATGATATCACAGATAACGTATGAGGTCGATGTCAATGATGATACATGCGAAGTATTTCAGTAGTAAGAAGAATGAACTTTAACGTTAGCGAAAATAAATAAAATATAAACAATCTAATTCCATATGACAATGAAGAATCAACAAAACAAAAAAACGGAAGCTTCAAAATTAAATTGCGTCTATTTATCGTTGCTTTTTTATCTTAACGTAGTACAATGACTCAGCGGCTATAACTTGACAAAGAAACTTTCCTTTTTTTCGTTCATTCTTATGAACTGTCAAGTATTAAATGATTTATTGAGCTTATTAAAACATCATCAAGCTTTGACTTAGAGCGTGACACCAAATATATTGTCACTAATGGAATATCGTGACACCTTCCGTGCCATATTCAAACATCTTCACCTAAATGAACAAATAAGCTTCTGAAGCATTTTACAATAATTTATTGTTTAAGGATATCCGAGAATAATGAAACTACGAAAAATGTTTGCTCATGAAATCCATTTCACACTTTCTTTAAATAATAATTAGAAAAATCTACAATAGTTATGTATCTTTATTTACAAAAGCTTCAACAGAAAATTTGTTTCAATATTTATTCATAGCACGTTGAAAATTGCTGCTTGCTTAGAATTCCACATTGCAACATGAATGGATCCTACATAGGTATTAGTTATTATCAGTAAGATATTGTCACCATTAATATTGACGAGACGAGACTGTATGCATGGAGATAGGAAACTAATTTTCAGTGATATTAATGAAATTCGAGATCTGGTTTGTTACACTCCACTTTCATGGATGCTTTTAGTTCATCGGATATTTAAGCATCTCTAGAGAAAAAAAAACCTTCTGTTTCTTTTAATTGCCAATTGTCAGTAATAAAATGAATTTACTTCCCCAGCCATGGATTGTACAAAATTAGGTGCGGCAATAAAAATAAGCTGCGATAAGCATCCTTCTTTTTAATCGCATTTTATATTCAATTAAGTGGAAAATAATCCTTAGCTTATAGAAGGGGCGGCTAATGTTTAAATGGTAGTCTCTTGTGACTTGTAAGTTCATCGTTTGTGGGGCTTTATTCAACGTTCAACAGGTTAATAAACTAATGAGTTTAGTAAACAATTGAAGAACTATTTGTTCGTTTTTACAAACAATGTTTGTTTTTATTATTTATTCATTCAGGTTGAAAACTTTCATCAACAAATCAATTCACCGAATAATATTTAAATAGGCCATTTGGACTAAATCAGCTGTTAAACAATGATTCTGTTAGATACTTTTGATTTTTAAAATAAATTATTGCCAGCCTGATTTCTTCACATTACAAACTCATTTAGGTTGGAAAGCGTTCGTTCATATGGTCGATATAAATAATTTGAATTTATGTTAATTCGTGAAATATTGAAAAAAGAGAGAAACTTTTACTTTACGAAGAACAAGAAGTTGAAAAAAACAACAACTAACAGGGTAATTAGGTGAATGATGTATGCGTGTTGCTACATAGATTTTCTGATTTTCAACTTTTCTAATCACATGTATGAGATAATTTAAATATCCAATCTTAACTCGTAACTCACATCTCATGTTGAAAGTCAGCAATTATAAAGGTGCGAGTATTGTGTTGTCTCATAAATCTTAAAATGAAGTTTAACAGCCATGATTTGGCATATTTTTCAATTAAAATAGAATACAGAAAGAAATCATAAATGGTAGCAAATTTTCACGTTTGATTTAATTGATGATGTTTTTTGTTTTCTTCTTTACATTGACCCAGTGATATTAATTTCACAGCATTGGCAATGCCACTAAGATATCTAGAAAAGTAAATAATATGTTTTTAAATCCTATTAAACCACAACACGTTCTAAGCAATCAAATGATATGTAAAGACTTAAAACAAGTGTGTGAATATTTTTTTCCACTCAACTTGTTTATTGTAAGATCAAGCGATACAAATAACAAAATATGAATTAAAATGTTAAGGAAAACAAGAGAATGAGTGAGAGGCGAGTCAGAGGGAAATCGTAATTTGTGAGCATTAATAAACCTCAATATTAATATCAATTGCAAAGAACAATTTTCTTCGTCGTAATGTGTGTGAATTGAAAATTAATGATGAAACAAAATTAATTGCACAACAGACGCTGAACAGATTCATGAAGATTTGTTAATGAAAAAAGCATAAAGTGAAGAAGAAGAATTTATGTCATTTAACCACAATATAAAAAGAAGAAGATGGAGAAGGTAAAATCAAAATCATCATCGATAATGTTCTCAATTTACGCTTGAGATGAAAATGAGTTTTTAACCGAAGCATTGATGATCAACGTGCCGTGCCTTGCCGCTAAATTGATGAAAAAGTTTTCTAGACTTTTGCAATCTTTTTTTGCTTCTTTTTTAATTCCTTTCTTTCCACAAGACAATGCACTTTGGCTACATGAATACGAAGCTGAGAACGAATGTCAAGCAATTTCTTCAGTTTCCCATGATTTATTTGTATAAGCTGCAAAGCTTTTTATAAGTAGGAAGATATTATGATAAATTTTATTCTCTCGTTTCTTATGTTTTCCTTTGGCGTTTTTAAATTGAAAAATAAATTCAATGTTCTCAACAGAGGAGTTGAAACATTGCAAAAAAGGTTTGATTATGGTTGTTAATTAATCAAAGAAGAAAAAAAGGAAATCCAAATGGCAAAAAGGTCATTGATGAACGTCTCAATTGACTTCTCGTTGAGGGAATGTCGTGACAAATGCTGTTTAATTTACAACATTGCAAAGTATCAGGGTCAAGAAGTTTAAGTTTAACAAAAAAAAAAACGGTGATCAACAATAGCCCGTTCTGCCAGCAGCACCATAAATCAGTTTTTCTTATAAAGACATCGATTCATACATAAAAGAAAGTTTGTAAGAGACTTTTGACAATATTCCGTTTGACCTATTCGCTTGGCATTTCAACGACTCACCAAGGGAATTAGTCGAAGATAAACGAAAACTATTCATTACGAGACGTTTTTTTGCTGACTAATTGAATAAATTACACGCTTTTACTCCTCTGGGGAATGCTAGAAGGAAAAAATTCAATTCTTTTTGATTGTAGCTTTCGTTGGTGAAACTGAAAGTTTTCTTCACGGTCTTCTAAAATTGGGTTTGATATGATATCTGTAATCAAATCGTTCGCAAAAAATATGAAAATCATCGGATGCTGTAATGTGATATTAAAATTTATTCCCTTTTTTTGCAAGCTTATTAAGAAATAATTGGTCGGATTTCATTTCATGCTTATTGCTTACAATTGCTGATCTCTTATCGTCTTCGTATTTCAGTAAGACGGTCAAATCTTCTCAAGTGATTTTCATTCATCCAATCTCGAATGTCAATAAAAGCTTTAAAGTTCATAAACTATTTGACTTCGTTTTCTAATTTTAGAAACGAAGAAAATGTTTTTATGTCGTTGAATTGTTGAAATTATTAGCCAATTGCTGTCACAAAAATGTAAATATTTGTTTTCTCAAATACCTCACGGCTTAACATAAAATAAATATGAACTGAAGAGAGAAAGAAAAAAACAATTTTTTCCATTAAAATCAAATTGCGAATTGACTAATAAAGAAAAAGAACAACATTTAATAAAGAAGCTACTACTGGGTCAGCAGTTTAATGTTTTCACTATTAACGTCATTCTCTTATGTGTTCGGGAGATTAGCAGCGTGCTTTTTTAATAGCATCCATTAGTTATTCAATTTTCAAGCAAATCTCATTTTGATGACCAATACTTGTTCCACAAACATAAAATGAGATTAAGTATTAGTGGTGAGCGGATGAAAAATTGTTGAATTAGAAGAAACAGTTATCAATCGGTGCTTCTGTTTTTTTTTTCATTTTATAACAACTTGATATTTCGCTATGTGTACACTTAAGCCAACATTTCTGATTGTAGTTCACACCGTAAAATTTCCCAAGCGCAAAATGACGTCCACAACAAACGAAAATTGGATCGTTATGGTCAATCAAAATTCAAATCACTCGAATCTAGAGCTGGTCGTGAGATAAAATTATCTGTAAATGAATATTAAGTCAGCGAGTGAATAATTTATTTCATACATTGCTGGATTTATTGTTTCAATTCTTTTACAGTTCATGGGAACATAATCAAGTCAGGAATTTTATTAAGAAATATTTAAATAAATACTTTCAACTTGAAAGTTCCACGAGACATGATAAGAAATATTTTATCACAGAAAAATCTGACTGGAATGTCTTAATATCGTCAGATTTCTTTTTACCATCATCAATAAACTTAATTGAACCTTTCACAATAACACCAAACGAGTAGAATCAAAATAAATAAATAATTAAATGAAATGAATAGAGCGCAGCATAGTCGTAGAATCATTGACAGATTTATGATACCGTCAAAAAAGAAATTTAAACTCAAAGCAAAACAATAAAACTTTGAAAAGCTTAAATTTGATGGACGACCTTGCTGCGCTCGCTTTTTGAAGTAGCATTTTATTATTTTATTATAAAAACTAAACCTAATGAATTCAAAGAAGAAGCCAACTAATTAGTTCTCCTTGTTAATTGCTTCTGACGATGTTTGTGGTGTGTCAGGTGCCGCTGCTTCGATTGTGGTGTTCTTCGTACGATAAGTTGTGTGAATTGCTGGTCGTTGACTGATTTTCCAATTGAATTTAGTTGGTGAATTTGGAGGCACACAAAGCATTCCGTAAACGTTGATTCCAGGAAGTCCCGCATAAGTCGGTTGATCATGTGGCAGTGGTCCCTCTGTTGTGAATGAAATAAAGCGAGAAAATGAATTGACCTCGTAACCTGATTTAAGCTCTTTCTCAAACTCACCTAATCTGAAGTTGCTGGGACATTTGCAGATCACCAAGTAATGAGATTTCCCTGTTCGAGTGTTCTGCAAAGCTAAGATCGACCAGTCACGTGGAGCTCGACAATCACGCAATTCATTAACCTGCTCGCAAGTCTTTGCCAAAGTCACCGCTTTCTTATTTGCATTTCCAACGAGCGTAATTGTGTGATTATCATCTTCATTCAGACTTAACGAACATGGATCGCGATATCTGTGCATGCAAGAAATATTTAAGCGAAATGAAAAGAATTGTTTAGCATTTTTGGTTTGTTTTTAGAAAGTTGTTTCGATAATAATAACGACGAGCAGATTTTCATTTTTCTTTTTTTTGTAAGAAGTTTGCAGATAAGCAAAAATATTTAATGAATGAGTTTTGTTTCTGTTGATCGTTCGTTTATTTATTCATTTTAAATAATCCACGATGACAGCAAATTATGGTATCGGAGATTGTTGATTGAATCTGACGAGTGATAATTAGAACAAATTAGTTGACAAAAAATTTGAACGAGACACGAAACGGAAAAGAAGAAGAACGAAAAAGTGCTTTATGGATCCCGACGATCTTGTTGATTTCAAGAGATGATTATGATGATGATGACGACGCTGGTAACATCGCAAATTGATTTTGAAGCTCGGCCTTGAAGCATCAGAATCGAAAGCTAAACTCGTGTCACGGAAACCTCGAAACGAAATCAATTGTGACGCTGAATAAGACGATGGAAAAGAAAAATAATAACGAGAAGGAGAAGAACGAACAAGATGAAGATGATGATGAACAATAATAATGAAAAACGAATCTGATTCAAGCGTCGCCGGTTAGTAGAGCATACGAGATTACAAGATTATTATGACATGATATCTTCGTTTATCCAACGCCCGAAGGTAGAACTTGAAAGACGAGAAAATATCAAAAAAGAGAGAAAGAAATGAAAACATTTCAATTACGCGCTCGCTTCACTGTCAACTGACAACATCAAAAAAGCAAGCAAGCAGCGTAAGCAATTAATTAAGGCGACAAAGTGTGAGCGATGTGATGCTACATTCATCTGATTGTTGAGTAATTCACGAGATTCCCAACTCGCTGCTGTTGCTGATAATTAACGTTCTTGTTCAATCTCATCTCTCTTCTTTTCCTTTCCAAAGCAATGAGCTTCTCAGTTGTTAATATTTCCACTTCATCTTGGCACGTTCATCTGGCCGGACCATGTTTGATTGTTTGTTAATTTTTAATGTGAAGTTTACTTTTGGGAATTTCACTTGCCTTAAGTAATTTAAACCTGAAATCGTTTGTAGCTTTTCTGTTTTATCTTATCTCGATCTTAAGATGAAGACCAACGCTGTGAATTTGAAGTCACTAACGTCTTGTGAATGTGAATATGGTTTTGAGTCGAAAGTTATTCTTTTCGGAAATTGTTTAATTATCTGGGATCGCAAGAGAGAGAAAGAGAGAGAGATAAGGTGATTGATGAAGCGAACATTTTATGATAATAAATCTGTGAACATGGAAATTTTCATGAAAATTGTTTGAGATTTCAAAAACGAAACACGATCTGAGAATTTACTTTCACATGTCGGAACGAGATTTACGTTTTCAAGTTTAACAGCAAGTTAAGCAGCTGTTAATATTTATGTTGAATCTTATCGAAGTTAAGTGAAGAATAAATATTAAATGGCGCCTACACACAACATGAATCTGTTATGGCTTTCAGCTTAGAGCCAAAGCTGAGCGAGAAATAAAATATTTTTCTTATTCATTGGCGAAACGTTCAATTTATCGTTCTAATTACACAAATTTCCGCTCAAACTCATTCACTACCAACGAAACCATCACCGCATTTGCATACAACAACCGCCAGTATTTCTTTCTTTTCTTTCTTTCAACTTTCAAGCTTCAATGTGCTGAATATGGTAATTTTTATGTGCAACACATCGACTATTTAATTAAGCATTGAAAGCAGTGATTAAAACTTTACTTCTGTAAACATTAAACAATCGAAATTCCTTTACGCTTTTTTCTTTATCCACTTGCGATATTTATAAACATTTTCCACCCACAATCGATTGCATGTTCGAGAAAACTTTCGATTAAAAAAAGAACAAAAAGTTAACGAGACATGAAAAAAGAGAAAGATTCAAGTTCAAGTTCTTGTTAATTCGGTTCACAAAACATTTTTCATTCAAGCTCAGCCCAATTTGAATTCGTTTTCCCTTTTTACACGTTCAATTAACTTCCATAACTGCGAAGACGATGGCAACAATGACGACAACAACTTCGTGAACATGCAGAAAAAAGTAGAAAAGATTAAGTGGAAAGACGCTGCTGCTGTTGCTGCACCATAAATGAAAGGAGGAAAACAGTTTAAGAAAGAAACTGAATGGGAAAAGCTTTTCCATTCCTTGCGATTATTGAAGTTAATTATATATGATGTCGTGGATCGCAACAAAGTTTAATTAACAACAGAAGAAAGAGAAAATTGAGATCAAATCTTCATTTCGTATCGAAAATGTGCAAACTTTGCAGTTTGAAAATGTCACAAGTCGTGTGGATTCAAATTCGCAATTGGAATGCTTCTTACCTTGGTGGACACACGCACAGTGGTTGAGTAAAGTTGAGACGAACATAAACAGCATTGCAGACCTGAAAAGATAGACAATTAAATTTCTTTTTCTTCATCTTCATCGTCATCTTACCTGCTGAATTGCACACTCGGGCAGGAAGTAAGGCAACTGATTGTGTGGATAGTAGTGATACTTTGTAGGTTGAACGCTCGGCTGAAAATGGAGAGAAAAACGAGATTACAAATTATAATATTTAGATAAGAAATGGAAATGATTGTCGCGCGTTCAACGTTTCTTTGCAATCTCTCAACATCAACCAACATTGGCAGATCTTGCCAGCACGAGATTAAAATCTAATTTCTTGACTCGCGCTAGCAAAAAAAACTTCAATTTCCTGATCACATTTTAAAGCTTTTTTTGCTCAACGACTTCATTTCTTGTCTCGCGGTGGTGATCGGTCTTCATGAATCAATTTCTCGATGGGTTAGTTGTGCAACATTAGCTTTCTAATGACTCTTCTCTCTCCCTCTCTCTTTATTCTTCTTTCACTCCCTTTCTGCTTCGAAATCAGATTTAATGGCCTTTAAATGAGACTCATCAAAAAGAAAGAATGCAAACGAGACCAAAAAACAAAAGAGATGATTTATGAATTGCTATGCTAATCTTGGCAAATAAAACTTTTCACTTTCTTTCCTGCGATTCATGACTTGAGCATCTCAACCAGTTGCGGGAGAAAAACAGAAAGAAAATTTAAAATTCACTCAACTTTATGATAATGCGAATGATGCCGTCACCGTCGCCACCGATTCAAGACGACCTCATATCTGATGGCTTATTTAAAACGATGAAAAGTGAAAAGAATTAAACTGTTAAAGTACTTAATGAGTGGAGTTCGAGTTTGAGTTTGAGAAGACAAAGGAAAGTGGCTGGAAAAGGCGTCAAAATCTGCCCCGAAACTTCATCAAAACTTCCGAAAAAGATGAAAAAACACTCGAAATTCAGGTTTAGCGTTAATTAAAAGCGTTTCTGTCTGTCGATCACAATGAAGTTCCTTGTAAAACAGCTTTCGTTGTGTTCACTCGAACTTCTGATTGATTTCTCGCATTAACAGCCTAAAAGTGGACTTTTGTAAGTTGTTCGATTGCGGTGTGCATTTAGAAATTCTCATTAAACGATCGAAGCCCACACAAAGTTTTGAAAACTTCATTGTCGATTGATGAAGACAAATTGCACTTTTTGACTTTGACACGATCAATGAATGTCGATTGAAGAGTCGCTGCTAATCCCGCTAATCCCGATCATGAGTCGTGAGAACTTCATAAATAATAATTCGAAGATTCACGAAATTATTTGAAGATGGGAGGGAAATGGGTCGCGCACAATTAAATGACTCACTTAATTCTTCATTCTTCTCTGTTCTCCCTGCCTGCTGGCCGTCCGTCCATCCATCCAATGCGATACGATGCGATGGACGATGGGAATTTGAAACCGTAAATGGAAAAATTGTTGCGCACTCTCCGAAACAAAAAACATTCTTTTTCTCAGTTAAAATGATTTTTGTGTTTTTATGTTTTAATTTGATGAGAACGCAGAAACATGAAATCATAATCAAATATCGCTCGAGAGGGGAAACAGTCGAATGGGGCCGAATTATTTGCTCCATTTAAAGATTGGGGAACGTAAGTTACGATGCCAATGATCTGATTAGAAGATCGATGACCGAATTTTAAAATTTTATTTAAGTTCCCCAACCAACAATTTAGTTTCGATCTTGAAATGAATTGCTGGTGATCGACGATCAACAACCGCGTCGAAGAGAATTTGCAATTGAATGAAGCGTCAAGCTTAACAAAGGAAGTTTCGTTAATACTTTCTTGGAGATCATAAATCGGATCAGAAGTGTTTAAACGCTTAAATATTCTAAGTCTGCTTACTGTGTCAAATCATAATCAAAGATGATCGTTAATTAAATGTAACAAAGTAAGTAAATTACTTGGATCGAAGTCAAGTGGAAAGAAATGCAAGACCGGTGGTTTGATCATGATTGTTCGATTAATTCAGGAAAATGTTGATACTCTTTCTACTTTTAAAATGTCATAAAAACTCAGATGGAAAGCAACGAAGAAAAGTCATTTGAATTGAATACAATTGCGATTGGAATAAATAATTTGTTTCCACAACAATTTCTGTAATGTTTTCATCTCCGTTTTCGTCGTCTTCTCTCGTTCATTGCTGTTTATTTTATATTCTCAAAATAATTTCGGTTCATTGTTTAAGTTAGCAGGGAAAAGCTGAAAGCATCGTGTTTAATGGGATAAAATCCATAAATATTTTCGAGAGCGCAGAACACTTTTGTGGGCATCGCAACATAACAAAACAACAGCATCAGCAAGTATTTATCTCGTTCAGTCTTGAGCACAAAGAACTGTTATTTTTATTTCTCAATCGATCCATCCATCCATACATCCATCGACTAAGAGCTGAACTTCAACATGATCGACTTTTCTCGCGGAATTCTCATCACGCTAATCAAATATTTTCCATTGTTCTTGAAGCTTGTTGTGTCACGAAACAAATCAATTAATAAAGAGTGAGTGAGTGAGTGAGTGAGTGTCGGAATGTTTTAAGTAAATATTGAATTATTATTTGGAAAGGAAATTCACATCATTTATTTATGAATGGATTTGTTGATGATCTCGCGTAACTAACTGATCAGCTGCCGAACAAAATCGACTGACATTCTTTCTTCTTGTACAACTGTTTCGTCTTTCATCTCAATCCGCCACCATTTGAATTGAATTAGCGATTGAAGTTCGAAGTAGAAGCAACTGGGAATGAATGGGAAATGAGATCGTTATGGTTTGGATTGGTAATCAAGCAAAGATGCATAATTAAGTCAGACGCCGATGACTGACTGAGAGAATCTCGAAGATGATGAAAGGAAACTGCGAGGAAAATTAATTCCGAATTTAATTAAATTTATTTAATAATTAATTAACGATTTGTGCTCTTTGAGACTATCAACGTAAGTTTCATGTTAATCGTCCGTTTCCCCTTTCACATTCAACTCGATGAAACTTAAATGAAGTCAAAAAACTTTTCGTGTTCGTCGCATTTCAAGATTGTGATAAGAACGTGGCCAAACAATAATTTCCATGATGAAGACGACGATAAAGTTTTACTTTAATTAAAGTGCAAAGAGTGGAAATATTTAATAAATGCATTGATGAGAATTATTTATGATCTTAAAGCGTGAACATTTGCCAGCAAATTGTCGACACCCGACAAAAACCGTCATCAAGTGATGAAGGGAATTTCTAATGAACAGCAATTAAATGTCAGATGAAAGAAAGAAAAGAGAGAAACGCGAGTCATAAAAGAATAAAATGGATTTGTGTTGCTTTTCAGATCAAATGTCAACTGCAACTTCTTATTTATTTACCTTAATTTTCGATGAGTTGTTGTTGCTATTGCTGGCGCTGAGACTTGGATTTATGACAATTGCTGGTCTCGTGACGGGCTTAACGGTAGCTCTAGTCGATGGCGTGACACGACTCTTCGATTTATTTCCTGTTTGAGTCACTCGTCGTGTTGGTTTTTTTGTTTTAAATGTTGTGGCCGAAACTTTGCGTGTTGTCGTTGCTGCTGCTCCTACTGATGCAACTTGTTTAGCTTGTGCTGCCGAAGGAGCAGCTGGAGATGGAGTATCATCAGTTGCAGTCGATTGAATGTCACGTTTATATTGTCGTTTCAATCTTTTGCTTTCATGTTCCTTCACCAAATCTTGAAACACGACATCGCGCATCATTCTTGTCACGACTTCATCGTCCCAAATATTTGGCAACGATGATAATGCATCGTCGTCAGCTCCTTCAACTACTTCTACTTCCGATTGTGTTGTCAACACAACAATCTGGAACACTAACATGAATTTCACAAGATACTTCACCCACATTTTCACCACGAAACAATTTTCTCTCTTCTGTGTTCTTATGTTTAATTCTTTTATATTTTTTATTTATATTTTTTGTGTTTCTTTCTTCTTTCACTTCTTTTCTTTTTCTTTCAAATTGAATATTCTTTGAGATTATTTTCCGGCTTATAAATCAGCACTCATGACAAATATCGTTCGGTTGCTTGCTCGTGAATTATAAATAAAACTTTTAATGGCAAACGAATCGTTTCTCACACTGCAAATGCCTCTTCAATTCTTTCTCGAATGATTTTCCTTTGAATTCCTTTCTCCTTGACTGAAGCTAAAGTTAAAGCTGTGAGATTTTCGTTTTTCTTACTTGATGAAACTCAGACTTAGACTGAGATTGAGTTGAATGAGAAAGAAATTCCTTCCGTTCCGATACGAATTTTAATGAATTGTAATTCTAGTTCACTTAACGTTACATTTGTTGTCGATTAAAACCAAAGAAGCTGAGAAGTCTCTGCTAATGCTTTCAAATCATTGACTCAAATTAAATTTAATTAAATTAAAAACCTTGCAGAATTGAATTGAAACGATTGAACTTTTATGAAAGAATAAAACAATAAATTTATTTCGAAAATGTTCGGAAAGTATCGAGTAACGACGACAACGTCTGATTGCTTCAAAGAATCGCGATTCAATGAATTACCAGCGAAGCCACTGACAGAAGCTTCAGGAGAAGAAAGAAAAGAAAGATGAAAGCAAGCAAGAGGGAAATAAAGAAAAAAGAATGAAAGAGAAATAAAACCGCTCACGGTATCGCGCGCGCGCTCCATAGAAATAGGAAATGTTTGAAAATACTTAAATGTTGTATTGTTGTGCTGAGCATAAACGAGTAAACGAATGAGAGAAACATGAAATGAAATAGTTTAATGTGCATCAACAGAACTTTCTGTTGAACCTTGAAAGAGAAAAGTCTGTGAACAACGATGACGACGACTACGACGATGATTAGAAGAAGAAATTTGCAAATTGCAATCGATTTCTCGATAATTTTCCGATTTCTTCATTCAAGAAAACATTAAAAATCGTTATGGGAGGATTATTAGATGAAAAGATGATGTTTGCAAACATAACATAAAGAATTCGTTTATGATTAGAGAAGAAGAAACAACGGAAAAGAAAACAACGAACGAGAAGCAATTTGAAGGAATTTTGTGGATCGGAAGAAGCCGATTGAGAATTTCTTTATGTAGTTCTTCGGTTGAGCTTAAAGATTAGTGTCAGAAAGCAAGCACATTGACTTCTGGAATTATTCAAAATTCAAAGTCAACTAATTGAGTGAAGCCATCATCACAAGTAATCGTTACGACATGAGTCTGAGAAGTCGGCTGAGATTGAGCCTCGTTCCAATTTACAATTTCGGGACAACATCAAGAAGAACCAACATCGACACAAGAATCATCTTCACGACTGCCAATTACGCTGACGGTCAACAGTTGTTTGAATGATGTATGAAAATGACTTAAGACAATCTAATCTCTTCACACAGTGTGTGTTCGGATCAATTGTTGCCGTCACTCGAGCTCCAATTAACTGTTCTCGTTCCTTTGTTGTGATTATTTATGTGATTGTTTCTTCAGCTCAATTTTGTTCATTTGTTGGTTGATGTTGTTATTGTTATTGCTTCTGTTGTCATGTCGTGTTCTTGCATTGAAATCTTTCTGATTCATCACATATCATTCACAATTGCAACTTTAGCTGTTGCTTTTGATGATGATTTTATGATATATTACAATTTGTAAGTAACACAGAAAAGGTGAAGAATGCTGGAATTGAGAAGAACAACGAAAAGCGATTTAAGCTCGGGAAATGGCCAAGAATGAGAAACGACGACGATGAAGAATGTTGGGGAAATATTTCGATTTGAAAAATTGAATAACTCTGTTCTGTTACATATTGAACGACGTTCCACACTCGATGATCAATTTCATGTTCTGGTCAATTTCACATCACGCCACGCCGCAACTACAAATCGAATTTGGTTTACTTTGATGATTGAAGATGCATGCACATTAGGGTCGAAGTTGTAGGGCGAATAACAAAAGTCGACTGATTGATCGATTAATAATTATGGAGAAGAATTTTATTAATTGACAGGAGAATGAATAAACAAATAGATAAACGAGTGGAAAAGAATTTGCGCAATCAATTTCAAACTTTCCTTCGTCGCTGTCTTAGTTGACGAGATTTATCGCTCGTTGATCGCTTATTGTAAATACTTGGAGCGTTTTTTTATTACATTTTAAACAACAATCAAACATTTTTTCTATTCGTTTTTCGCTCGATGCCATAAATCGTTGTTATTCATCGAAATTTTCGATAAAACACAACAATGCCGAAGATTTAGTGACCCAAATAAATGAAACTCGCAACTTGCGACTAGTAAAGAATGGAAACAAATAAAGTTGAAGATTTCCATTTTCCACTCTTTTTGTGTGCTTTGAAATCGGATAAGTTGAAATCCAAAATTTATTTCAATGAAACATGCGAATGTGAACACATCAATGATCATTGCAAATGAAAAACTTGCCACAAAACATTAAGAAAATTGAAGAAGTTTAAGTGGATTTAAATGGAAAAGAAACGATGGAAAGGGAAAACGATTTTCTTTAGGCTTATTCATGAAAATTCTTCGCTTTCAAAAGTTCAAAAGTGCAAAAAGGTGTTAAGTTGGAAATTGCGAAAATTGTTTTCAATCATCATCATTACTTATTCCTCGACAATTCACTCACATTCCTGCTGCTAGGCAATCGGTTAACACGAATTGAACGTAGAGAGTGAAATAAAACCCATAGACAAAGTTGCATGTTGATATTCGGCAGAGATAGTTAGAGTCTAGCGCTTAAGAACATGAAAGTTATTGCATGAGAGTCTTCGTTAATTTCATGAATATTCAGAAAGCAAAGAGTAATAAAAGAATTTATGTCATCTAACCGCAGTGTGAAAAGAAGAAAACAACGAAGAAGATAAAATAAAAATCATTACCGATAATATTCTTAATTTACTCTTTCAATGAAAATGAGTTTTTAACCGGAGTGTTGATGATGAGCATGCCATGCCGCTAAAATGTTGAAATTAATTTCTAGACTTTTGCAATTTTCACTTCTTCTCAAATTCCTTTGAAAACAATTCACTTTTCCTTTATGAATACGAAGCGATGGAAAAATATTTCGTCGAATGGTGTGCTGCATAAATGAAGTAAAATAGCGATTTATTTGAATGCAAAACAGCATAAATTTGCTAACTTTAACATGATAATCTAATCTCACTCTTTCTCTAAGATATGTTTTCTTTTTTTATTTCTACTCTCGACTCAAATTTCATTTTTTTATTTCACCGTAAATCAAGACAAAAAGTTCCCATTTAACTGGATGATTGCTGTAAATGCAATTCGCTTTGAGAAGCCACAGAAAACATATTAATTCAGTTAATGAATGATTTTTATTTCTTTTAACTTTTCTTTTTTCTTATGTACATATCTACATAGATATTTATGTTCATGCTTTCAAATGATGTGTGAGGGGAAAAATATCTATAAAAATTGTCTTCTAAGCACAAGAAAAAAGTAATCAAACCTCAAATCCACTTGATGAGCTTAATAATAATTTTGCAAGTAACTTAATTAAATTAACACGTTTTCTTTTTCTTTTTTCTTTATCTAGGAAAATGTTTCGGGGAGATTTCGAAGCGAAATGGAAAGATTTTACGATCTGATGTCATCGAAGGCAGCGGTATGTGGGTATTGGAAGCGGTTTTACCTGTTGTTGAGTCTTTTGATCTTGCAAATGAGTTGCGAGTCAAAACATCCGGCTTGGCAATTCCGCAGCTTTCTTTTAGCCACTGGGAAACCATCGAACAAGACCCTTTCTGGATCCCAAGCACTGAAGAAGAGTTGGAACAATTTGGCGACAAAGCGGATTTTGTTAATAAGGCCAAGCTCTATATGGATTCAATTCGTGAGCGAAAAGGTCTTTATGTTGATAAGAAACTTGTTGAATTTGCTGAAAAACAGCGCACACTCTCAAAAAATAAATAAAATGATGGATAAAATGTGAAAATTTAAATCATTCAAATTTTTATTAGTGTCGTTTTCTTTTCAGAAGTGCCAAGAGAATATAAATATCATCATTATAAAAGTTTCAATTTCATTAATGGGTGGCGACATTCACGATAAAAATGTTAATTTAGAAAGATTTGAAATTTACAGAAGGGGGATAAAGATATCAAAATAGGAGGTTAAAGATTAATTGAATTTCTATTTAGATTTTGATTCAATGATAACGATACTTGTTATAAACAAGTTGATAAATTGTTTTTATTAAATGATATGAATTATGAACATTCCTTTTTTCCAGAAGAAATAGATGAAAGAAACTGAAAACAAATTATGAAGAAGTATCATGTCAAAGATGTCGTCCCACTCCATTTAGTGTTGTTTTCATTTCAATTCATTTATCTTCATAAAGCATGAATACTTCAATCATTGTTGTGGATCGATCATCTTAATCACAAACCTAAAAATCTGAAAATCTCTGTGAAATTTCAAATAAACTTTCGAGAATGCTGAAAAGTGAGAGCATTCTTCGGATGATTGATTTTATAAGTCGCTTTTAAATTTTATTTTTGGTTCTGTTTTTCTTTTCTAATTTTTTGTTTTTGTTTTTATTTTCCCCTAAAGTCACGTTTGATTGCAACAATGAAAATTACAATTAATCATTAAATGGTATTCGACTTGAGGCTTGATAGGTAGGAAGGTAAGAGAAAAAAAAGAAGGAAGGAATGAATCGTGATAGTGGCCAAAGCGATTGAGGTTAAGCGGAGAGCGAGAAAATGTCTCAATTGAAAATTAACCATCTTGCAGCTATAGAATGAATGCTTCGAGATGAGATGCCAGCGTGATGTGCACTAAGTAACAACTGACTGACTTAGATAATAAGTAACTCCGTTTTGGAGCTTAATTTCTTTTCTGGCGATGGCCACTCAAGTTGAAAAGCATGGAAAAAGGTATTTTTGATGCACCAAATTAGATTCTTGTAAGCTTAGTGGAAAATTGAACATCTTAATTACCAATCCGGATGATTGACGTCTTTTCAAGAATTTCAAACTGATGAGGCGCATCGTGATTCGTCGGAAATTCATCAACAAATTTGTTCGTTGATTACTTACTGAACTTGAATGCTAAGTAAATGAGAACGAACATTATTTTGACCCATATCTAATGGCGTTGTTGATGCATGTAATAGAAACATAAAAAATAATCTTCAACAAGACAAGTCGCAATTTGCTTTCACTTGGCCCACGCCAAACTTCATTGACACCTTAACATTTCATTGCATTGCCTCGTGTCTGATGAAGAGTTTTATTTAATTTAAATTCTTTCATCTCCAAACACAACAGCAACATCAACAGAAAATGCTTATGATGTGATTATTTTAATTCCTACAATGATTTTCAATTTTCACTCAATTTACCGTTTGACCACTGAAACCTTTGGGAATTTCTTCATTTTATTTTTCCTGTTGTCATTGTTTGCATGCACCGCATAGCAATCTTCACTCATGTACCTCTAGTCGACTCTAGATAGAGAGACTCTAAACCAACCTTAATTTGAATGTAAAAGAACTTTTTTTTCTTAATTTATATTTCTACGGTCACCATCATAAATTACAGAATAAAACGGAAAATAATGTTTTTTCTTTATTATTTTTGGGAAAAAGAATTTGGGAAGTGGGTCAATTACGAGAGACAGAGAATGTAAATGTGATTAAGCCAAGTACATTTTATGTATTGAATTAAAAGTTTGGACCACGTACATCTGTCTATGACAATGTACATCGTGGTTTGACAGTTAAGCAAGGTAGGTAGGTACATTAACATAATGCATAATAAACGAAACCTGAGCTGGAAAAGGTCGAGTACATAAATATCGTGATGATGTTCTTTAAACGGTACTTGAACTAGAATTTGAATTACCATTTGGGTTCGAAACCAAGCGAATATTTAATTTATTTTGATTCTAAATTCTGAAGTTGCACGTCAGAAATTAAAATAAATTCGATTTAAAATTGAAAATCTACCACAAGTCTAGAACATTTCTTGCGGCTTAAAAATTTGATTTAGATTTGATATGATCTTAAGATATTATCACACATGTGCCCTTTTAATGTAAGACAAGTGATTGCCTAGCAGCAGGAATGTGAGTGAATTGTCGAGGAATAAGTAATGATGATGATTGAAAACAATTTTCGCAATTTCCAACTTAACACCTTTTTGCACTTTTGAACTTTTGAAAGCGAAGAATTTTCAACGATGAATGAGCCTGAAGAAAATCGTTTTCCCTTTCCATCGTTTTTTCAGCATCCATTTAAACTTGTTCAATTTTCTTAATGTTTTGTGGCAAGTTTTTCATTTGCAATGATCATTGATGTGTTCACATTCGCATGTTTCATTGAAATAAATTTT